GGGGTTGGTGTGGATCTGTCTTTCAGACCCACAAAGATGTGGTTCTTTTCAGTCCCTAAAGTCAGATCACATGATTAGTCAGATCTAACGTGCCGACGTCACTGAGGTCAGATCGAAGGTTTACGACGACAGACGGCTCGTTCTGTCTCAGTATCTGAGATCAATAAATGTTTGAATTGATTGAAGAATATTTCAGAGTTGAGGACGGAGCGAAGCTGTCTGCCTATAAATCGATCAATAAGACGTTTGTTGGTTCAGGAAGTGGAGCGTCTCAGATTATCGGGTTAGTTTGAGGTGACAGCTGCTGAGTGAGCGAACGTTTTTATCAAACCGTCTTCAAAGGGTTCAGAAACCAGACCTGAACCCGTCAGAACCAGACCTGAACCTGTCAGACCTGAGAGCAGCTTTAACATCATCCTAACATCCTGACACACGCTCTCTGCTGATTTCAGGATCATCTCGTTCTATCGGACTTTATTTCATCATCAGACTCCTCAGAGAGACTCTTCAGACCAGACGAGAGGAAAACCAACATTTAATCTCATCATCATCATCCTCATCATCATCATCATCTGATCAAATTATGGATTAGCTGTTTAAAAACCTTCCCTGAGATAATCTGATGTAAAAACTGTTATCTAATGACGTGTCGTGGATCAGAGACGATCAGCTGCTCTTAATTCACTGACTCCACTCTATTATGAATCTAGTGTGTGTGTGTGTGTGTGTGTGTGTGTGTGTGTGTGTGTGTGTGTTTATCACTGAGAGCAGCAGAGTTCACGGTTCGAGTCCAGAGAGGAACAGAGTCTGCAGCTGATAATCCAACTGAGCATGAAATTACTCCGAGTCCACCGGACTGCAGAGGAAGAACCGAGGAGCTTAAAGCCTCGCTAACAAAGAGCCGCACACACACACACACACACACACACACACACACACACACACACACACACACACACACACACACACACACACACATAAGAGGAGAAGTCAGAGCAGAGGAAGGCTGCAGACACAGACAGAGGATGTTTCTGGAAATAGTTCTTCATGGGTCCAGATCAGAACCAGGTCTTTAAAGGAGACCTCAGACCCGGGTCCAGGTTTAGGTGGATTAGTTCATGCCTGCAGAGTCACCTGTGTCCAGATACAGACGTCTGTCCCTCCTCTGATGGACACACAGACCCTTCAGGGTTCATTTAAGTCCATCTGACCCGTCAGCGTCATCGCGGTCTCCTGGTTAAACGGACCTGTGAGTATCTTGGTTCTGAACCTTCGTCCAATCAAACGCAGGGCTGACTCACCTCTTCAGGAGGTTACCATGGTTACAGTCTAACCTGCAGACTCAGAGTTTAACCTCGTTACTTTAAATCCAAGTGTCTTAACTTCCTCCTGAAGCGCGTGTGTTACAGCGCCACCCTGTGGTCCTCAGAGGACGATGTTGAAAATATATATTTTTAATCGGTTTCTTCATAAAGCCCCAGATTATGCTCTGTTGCCATGGTTACTCACCTTTAACACTGACCGAAACAGAGACTCTTTAAATGGAGTTAGTGTCAGGAGTCTATCAGCTGTCATCCAGCCAATCAGAATCCAGTATTTCACCATGGACCACGGCCAGTATTTCACTAACTCAGTTTTATGATTTTTCAAAATAAGAGTTGGATTAATCTGATTCTGCAGCAGATCTCTGGATTATTTCATTATCATTTTTATTTTATTATAAATTTGTGAAAAACAGAAAGAAAACAGAGAGAGAGAAAGAAGGTACATACATTTTATAGATAATGACACCAAATCTGCAGCCGAAACACGTTTACATCGTTTACATGCACGTCAGAGTGTGAACCAAATACTTATAAGAGAGAGAGAGAGAGAGAGAGAGAGAGACACGGAGCGTCCGCCCGTCTGAAGATGGAGGATCAGAAACAAACCAGGACTCAAACACAGCTTCATAACGACCCACCAGACCCTCATCTGCCTCAGCGATGAAGACTAACAGAGCCGAGAGAGAGAGAGAGAGAGAGAGAGAGAGACTGCAACCTTCCACTGTGGACAAACTCTACCGCCCCCTAACATCAGTAACGTGTCTGTTCAGTAAACATAACATAGGAGAAAAAAAAGGAAATGTTCTACTGTGGAATGTAAAATCACAAAATAAATCTCGTCAGTGTGTTTACTAACTCTGCTGTGTGATTATTCATGTCTGAGAAGGTTTATCCACCTGAAACACAGCAAAAAACAAACCTGCAGTACTCAGAGTGTCCACTAGAGGCTGAGTCCACAGTGAGTCCGTCCCCATAGGTCTGTATATTATCCATCCATTTAATTATTCCATTTAATCTAGTAAACGAAACACGAAAAAACGAGTCGATTTTTTGTTTATTTGTTTTTCTGTAAAACCAAAAAATAAAAAATTCATGTTTGTTTTCGTATCTTTGAGCACCAAAATCTTGCGTTGTTACAGAGATCTGGTTGTTATGTTTTCTACGGTCATATCTTCCTCCTTCAGCGGCTTTGAATAATACGTAGGATGATGCGTCCGTCTCCATGACAACAGGTTAGCCTTTCTCTACCGCTCTGGCCTGGAGTTTTTGGTCCACGTTGTCGGCAACTTTGTTGTGGGAAATGAGGACATCAATAACCCGAAAACAAAAAGCAGATTTATTATTTTGTTTTCGTTTCCATCTCTATTATATCTTCTGTTTTGAACTGAAAATACAAAAACAAACACTATATTTTTATTTTTTGGGTTATATAGAAAAAGAAATAAACAAAATATTGACTCGTTTTTTTCATTTCCTAGATTGAATAAACAGATAATACACAGACCTCCATACAGCAAATACAGAAGAGTAATAATGAAAGTTTAATGTTTTATTCGATTTAAACAGAAAGTCTTCACAAATGTTTTAAAGGTGAACCTTCAGACGTCTGAAATTTGAGTCTTTGATTTTTATCTTAAAGCAAAACTGAAACAAATCAGAAAAATAAACTCAAAACTGCAGTTTCCTGGAGTCACGACTGAGGACTTATCCCCAAAATTGCATTTTAACATGGAGCTCAATGGTGACCGACTCATGACTGGAAGCAGCCTCTAGTGGACATGGTAGGAACTGCAACTTTATATACTTTTGCATTATAAAAAAAGATTTCTTTAAAATCTATTCATTCTAAAATGTTAAAAAAATTATTCTTTTTTTTACTCTGAACAGTAAATTTATTTGGACTCTTTTATTTCTAAAAAGAAAGAACCTCTCAACAGTTTCTGAGACGGTGTTTGTCTTCATGTTACTTTAGCTGTTCAGACTCAGGAAGGTCAGATCCAGGTAACCCCACCTGTGTTTTCTTTATTCTGTGGACTTTAATCTGCTGTGAGTTCAGGTTCTGTCGTGGTTCTGCGGCCCGTGGATGAGTCAGTGCGGCCGATGGAGCTGCTGCGGTTCAGAGATCATTAGGAGCCGACTCTAATGAGCGTGTGCAGACAGCAGGCCTTTCAGTTACCATGGATCTATGAATAATAAATGCTAATTGACAGGATGACTGTTAGTCGACTCACTCATTAACCCCACAGCTCGTTTCCACAGGAAGAGAGCGACTCTCATCAGAGATGATCACTGTTTGTTTCCACGACTCTGAGCGTTAAATCTGATTTAATTCATGACGACCAAACTTTGAGTTTAACTCCTTCAGATGTTCCTGATTCAGGACAAACAGCACATCCTCGTTTTGAGTTTTCTTTAAACGTTAGTCTGCAGGTGGAGACATCTTCAGTCTGTGTCGACATGAGCGTCGGGTTTAGAAGAAGAGGTTGGAAGTTTCTGTCTGGATCCAGTTGAACAGAGTTTTCGAACCCTGGATGACCTGATGGTTTTAAACTGGTAATATCTGCAGTTTGGACCAGTCAGACCATCAGTCTGAAGCTGGAAAATGGTCCTTACTCGGGATGGGAACTGATAAGATTTTATCGATATCGATGCCATTATCGATTCTGCTTATTGATTCAATTCCTTAACGATTCCCTTATCAATGCCTTTCTTTGATTTAAAAAAAAAAGTTAGACTAAAGATTTTCACCGTTAACTCAAAATGTTATTGAGTCTCTGATAACAGACAAAGATGTTTGCCACCTTCAGTGAGAGTCTAAAATAATCAATCGAAACACTATCTGTTCAGCATTTACTTCGGTCAGTATCAAGTCAAATTAGGGGGACCCTATTCTGGATCCCCAACAAGAGGACACTACTACGGGTGGCGGAGTCAAGCGCAAAATTCTGAAGGTTTTTCAGGTCAGGTTGAGCGTTTTTTACACGCTTCTAACTCAGTTAGTCCAGGCTACACAAACTCTAAACTTCCGTACAAAACTCGCTTCATAAAATTAATCACGCCTTAGATCGTTCCTGCCTTCTTTTTCTACTGTCCGTCATGTTTTTTTTCCTCAAAGTCTCTGTTCTCATTTGCGTAGACTGGCTCTCGTAAGTCTGTTTTTAAACGCACCCAAAAGAAAGGAATCATTAAGATAAAATGTAAATAATGTCGATGGATTGAACCATTTAGAAACAGTTTTCAACAAGAACCGGTTCTCGATTCTGAAAATAATTTTCACCACGACTTTCTGGAGACCGAACCACAGAACATTATATCAGGAACTATTCCAGCCCGTAATCCTCAGGGTCTGATTCCTTATGGGATTAATAACAAGGACTCCAGATTTGCTCTGCAGAGTAACTCAACTCAACTTTATTTATAAAACACTTTAAAACAACCACAGCTGAACAAAGTGCTGAACATAAATAGACAAAACATCACAGACATGAAAACAATCAAAACAACGGACAAAATAAAAGCAGATATTAAAAAGTGAAATATAGTTTCAATGTTTTTAAAAACGAATTTTAAAAAAATAGAGACAAATAACTAAAAACAAACGCCTCTAACAGACAGATCTCAGGTCAGTCTGCAGATAAACTGTTACTGCTGTTTACAGACTCATGAGTTCAGCACCTGAGGGTCTCTGGACAAAGACCTGATCCTGGACCAGGTGTTCTCTGCAGTAACAGGCTCCTCTGTGTCTGAACCTGCTGGAACTAAACACACCTGTACAAAATAACCAATGGCATGCTGCCCCCCAGTGGACGCTAAGTGAGAGACATGGTTTCCCACAATGCAGTGCAGTGAAATGATGTCATGTCCTGGTTGTGTCTGTGAAGTGAAGGTGCAGACTGATGTGAGGGGTCAGGAGGACATGGATCTGCTCCTTCACAGAGATCAGTGGTCCGATAAACCCCCCTGAGGTCTGTGGTGTGACCCGATCAGGACCAGGACCCAGATCTAGTTTCTGAAACAGCCTGAGTGGTCTGGATTCATCAGGTGAATCTGGACTGAATGAGACGTTTTAGGAGAAACAAGATTAAAAAAAAAATTCCAGAGAAGATTTTTGTGTTTTTTAATTTTAACAAAAATCTATTTTATAAACGGGAACAGAGAGTATTTATAAGAGGAAGTCAGAGGGTCTAAAACACACCTGTCTGCTCCTCCAGGTGAAGACGGACCAGGTAACCTGTTTCATTTAGATCTACAGTTTATAGATAATCTGTACACCTGTCATTTAATCCACAGGTTCACAGATTACAGACGATAACAGAGACTGAACCTGACCTCATGTCTTTGTTTTGTCTGCACAGAATCTCACACTTACATAAATAAAACATCTCAACAGACTTTAAAGGTGAATTCTGGTATTTATTTATTTCCTCTTCTGTCATCTGACCTTTAAATATTCTCTATTTTACAGACTGAACCTTTACTGAACGATCGTTGGATCCTGTCCGACTCTTACATACTGACTTTACACACACACACACACACACACACACACACACACACACACACACACACACACACACACACACACACACACACACTCATATAAACTCTATGAGAAGCTGAAGCAGATGAAACACGAGGGACGAACCTGCAGAAATGAAGATGTGTTGGTTTTAAAAAAGACCTGCTGTGTGCTTCAGCGAACACTAGAGGGAGATATTTTCTCACAATAACACAAGAGGCGACAAACAAATGTTGATTTATTGGAATATTTGACGTCTGAATATTCACATTTAGTGACTGTGTGAGCTCAGACAGACTGTTTAAAAGTTTATAAATCACAGATAACTAAAATTCAGGAAGTGTTTAATCTGTCACAGAGTGATGAGACCCTGCAGGTGACCTGTGTTTGTTTACAGTGTGGTGACTCCAGAGCGCTGAGGTGACGAGGGTCACGATCAGAGACCTCTGAGAGTCTGCAGGAACTGATCTGAAAAAACAAACACAAACAGAAACACAAACAGAGTCAGAATGAAACTTTCACTTTCTTTATCCAAGACCTCAGAGGTCAAAGGTCCCTCTGAGCATTTTTTGGTCTAAAAGAGGTCTAAATGTGGTCTAGACGACGGTCTAAAGTCAGGCTACCACAGGTCTAAAAATGAGAGTTTTCAGACGTCTAAATTTAGACCGAGTTCAGACTAACCAGCTAACAGAGGTCTAACTGTATATTTCTCAACGGCTATCATAATTATTTTGGTTTAGTACTTGGAGATCAGTTATAAACTCACTGTTGCTTTTTGAAATAGATATGTAAATAAATACCAAATAAATACAGATAAACAGAATCTTAGGCCTTAGGCGAAACGTCTCAAGTAAGTCCAGTTGTCCTTTACATGCAGTGATTCCCACTCTGTTTTTAATGCCCTGAAGACAGACCATAATTTATGAAATCCTGTAAGTTTGACTTTTTTTACATTAAAACAAATACATATATATATTTTAATTATTCCCTTTCTCATTTTAAAGTCTACTAACAGTCTTAATGATGAGACTCGATCAGGTCACCTGTTTGTTTGGACACGCCCTTCAGCCGACAGGTGCTCAGGATCAGGTCACAGGTGAACAGACCCAAACATCCGGAGCAGTGTGAGGACGAGCTGCAGGTCCTGGTCTCCATCTCACTACAGCCGGACTGAAGGTACCAGGTAACAAAAGACACAAACATGTTAAAGTCCAGACAGAGTCGAGATCATGATAGAGTGTTTTTAAACGAAGTTAGTATCATGTAAAAATGATAAAACCACATAAGATTGATTGAAAATATCTTTAAATTATATTTAAATCCAAATATTGAGTTAAAATCCTGTGAATATTCATTTTATTGGACTGGATCTGACCTCTCGACGTCTCTGATTGAAGATCCTGAACTCACCGTGTCGGAGTTGAACCGGCCTGCATGTCTCTGACGGCCTCTTCTGGACTTCCTCCTCCTCCTGAACCCTCGGAAACCTCCGTGCAAGGGGACGGAAACCTCACTTTCTGTCCCCTCCTCTGTGTCCTCAGGCAGGGAGGACGTCTCAGGGTGGAGGACGCTCCTCCTGTCAGCCGGTCTCCTCCATCCTGGTCTCCGTCCCACACCTGTCTCTACAGGTGGACTCTGCAGGAACGTCAAACTGGTGATTAAAAAGCATTTTATCAGCAGGAAGTAGACGTCCATTTTACCTCCAGAGGGACCTGAGGTTCGAGTTTTCTCCACCGCCGACAGAGGACTCTCCGTTTATATCCCGTCCATCACTCCGCCTCTGACACGCCCTGCTCAGACCGTCCTGCAGGGACACGACTACTAAAAAAAAAGCCTTTTGTCTCCATCTGTGTCAGGAAATAAGGAGAGACCAAACCAGAGAGTTTCAAATCTGAGACAGTTTCAGTGAACTGAGAGCTGGAGGAGTTCACGTCTGCTGATGAAAACGACTAAATAATGCAGCGACAACATCAAGTTATCTCCTCCTGCAGGAGGAGATAAATGCTACTGATATTAGACGGTGCATATTATTATTATTATTATTATTTATTTATTTTTAATTTTATTTTTTAATTTTATTATTAGTATTATTATTTTAATTTTATTATTATTATTTTAAATTTTATTTTTTTATTATTTTTTTTTTAAATTATTATTATTATTATTATTATTATTATTATTTAAAATTTTATTTTTAAATTTTATTATTATTATTATTTTTATTTTATTATTATTATTATTATTATTTTAAAATTTATTTATTTTATTTTATTATTATTATTATTATTATTATAATTTTTATTATTATTATTATTTATTTTTTTTATTATTATTATAGATCAAGCTTCATCTGGGGGTCTTTTATTGATACACAAACCACACACTGAACTTTGTTTCTGCATTTCATCTTACGTACTCTGACTGACATGCTTTTCTTTTTACCTTTAAATCGTATTTAATTCTTTTTACCTTCTGAACTGTTTTTTATGTAGATGTATTTTATTTTATTTATTTTATTTTCATGATGTATGTCAGAGTTATAAATGTCTTTTCCTGCTTAAACCCGATTTGCTCATGTTTGGGACATAAAGTTGAGGTGAAGTGACTCTTTTTTTATTAGTCGTATTTTAAACTCCCGTATTCAGACTTTTTCTGTATTTTCAGATGCGTCTCTAAATTTTGACTGTTGGGGTCATTGTAGATCTTTTATCCAGCCGCTGTTAGTCAGTAAACTCTGAGACACGGCAGTCAGAGTGTTTCCGGTTAAATCCAGCTGTGTGGTCGTATAAACATGTAGGACTCCGTTTCTCTCGTTTCCCGGATCTCAAACTCGTTACTCGTCTAACCAACTTCACCTTCAGCCTGTTTTTCCTCTGTTTGTATTCTGAATAAACCTCTCTATCTGATCACACACCCACAGTCTCCTCTGAGGACACCTGATTAAAGAGGGACTCCGTGTTTACAGTGAGCGCTCATATAACGGATGTGTCGTTGCCATGGCGACACAGGATGTCAGCTCAGGTGATGAGAGTCTGAACAATATCGGGGACAGTGTTGTGGAGCTGTGCACCAAAACAGAGAGAGCGATCCAATGAGGAGCTTTAACCTGCAGCATTCAGACGAGGACGAGGAGGACAAAGACAGACGTGGAGCTGAAGACGACCCGCAGCAGCTCGCTTTGTTCTGCTTTCATTCGGCGGTCCGGTCCTCTATGGGCCAAATAAAGACCCCTGAAACCGAGCAACACTTTAGTTTCCACTGGAAAAAAAAATCTGAACAGAATGACAGAGTTTGAGAAACATCTCCACACGTTTTAGACGCTGTGAACTAAAACTAAAGCAGCAGATTCAGCAGGTAGACGATCGTCTATGAAACATGATTCTGACTTTGTGCCGAATCTGTCTATTTTGGAGGTTTTGATTCAGTGTTACGGTCAGACTGAAGACGATTCTCCAACATATGAAACATAACAAACAACCCTCTGTGACCTGTTTCTATAAACTCGAGCCACGAACAGACAGAACTTTAATAACATCATGAAAATGTTTTTTTTTTTTACCTGCTGATGAATTCAGAGACAGTCTGTCCATTCAGGCCAAACTCTGAGTCTGTGAGTCTACATGGAGGTGAAATGTGTATAAAAAGATCTGATTGGATGAATTCTCTTCAGACTGTGAAAGAGTTTCAACAGTCAGTGTCCTCAGTTCCCAAAGGTTTAGTGAGTGTTGTCAAAGAAAAGGTGATGAATCATAATAATAATAATAATGCATCAGATTTCATATAGCGCTTTATCAGAGACCCTCAAAGCGCTTTACATGACCCTGAACCAGCGTTTTAGGAACAAGTTACAGCATCAAACTGAAAATGAGTAAATATTTATTAAAAAACAATCAAGTTGATCAGGTTGAACAGTAAATATCTTTAAAAATCAAACTTTACTGGACCCAGAGGTGAACTTTTATGAAACCTTGGATGCTACATGGGCCAAAAATGCTGTTTTTTAACCTCTTTTAAAAATGAAAAAGAAAGAATAAAAAATATCTCTAATCCACAATTCATTGTGATCAATAATGGTGATCATAACAATCAAAAATGTTGGTTAGAGCCTACTATCTTTTCCATAACTGTCTACTTGATCCATCTAAAATTTTAAGTCGTATATCCATCACCTTACTGTTTCCATCACTCCACCTAACAATTTTAACAGTTTATAAATAATGTTATTGATCTATGTATCTGTAACTTTGGCTCATCGTATGGAAACACATTGTTCATTACTAAAGTGTAACATTTCCCATGCTAACCAGTGAAGCTAACACTAATTGTAACCTGCTTAAAATGATTATTAAGTACCTTTACAGCCTCTTTTTCACATTACTTTCTATTTTTACTTTTGTAAATGTATTTTATAGTCCCAGTCATTGATCCATTAGCCGTAACATTAGATTTTATAAGATTTTATTGATTACTTTTAAAGCGCTCAAAGGACTTACTCCGAGCTACATTTCAGAGCTTTTAATATCTTATGAGCCAACTCGCAGCCTCAGATCCTCAGGCGAAGGCCTCCTGGTCGTTCCAAAGTCGAGGCTCAAGACTAAAGGTGATAGAGCTTTCTCCATCAGAGCTCCTCGACTTTGGAACGACCTGCCAGAGGAGCCAGAGGAGATAAGGCGTGCAGAGACAGTGGCTTCTTTTAAGTCAATTTTAAAAACTCACTTTTACAGACTTGCCTTTATGTGATGCCATCTTTCATCTTTTATTGCCTTTTACCGTTTTTATTTTTCTCCTTTTTCTTTTACCTCTTTCACCTCTTTCTTATTTAGACTTACTGCCTTTTTAGCCTTTGTTTTACTTATAATCTTTTTATTGATTTTAATGTTTTCATTTTCCTTTATTCTATATATATATATTTAATTCCACTTTATCATTTATATTACCATCATTTTATTTTATTATGATTTTATTATTATTATTAATATCCTCTTTTATACTTACTAGCCTGTTTTCTTCCCTCCTTTTCTATTTCTTTTTTTGCTTTTATTTTGGTCCTCATGGTCCCATTTATTTTGTAGGGTTCTTGTATTGCCTGGGTTTCCTACGAAAAGTGAAACAGGCCTACAATTCAGAGGCCTGTTTTTAACTGAGCTTTTGTTTTTATGTGTTTTTATTTTCAATGTGCTGATGCTCTGTGCTTACAACTGTTGTCTAAGCACTTTGTAAACTTCTGTTTTTAAAGGTGCTATATAAATAAAATTACTATTATTATTATTATTATTATTATTATTATTAACAGCAGCCTTTGCTCCAGACTGGGATGATAAATAAAATAAAATTATAAAATCAAATTTTGATTAAGGCCCCATTGAAGTTTGGGGTAAAATACTGTATAAACGAGCTTCATTCGCGCTCAAAGTGACGGCCGTGCCCACGAATGAGCTTCGGCAAACTCCGTCGTGAATCGTACTTATACGGAAGAGACCGAGCCGTAGCGGAGCTGTCCGGAAGCTCCGGCTGTGGCTCCTCAACATAAACAGCTATGGCGGAGGCAGCAGTAGCGTCTACGGCGACTCCGGCAGTAACAGGAGGTTGGACCAAACACGTAACCTGCAGGTAAGACAAGACGACCAGGAGCTGAAATGTCGAATAGAGTGTCGTGGTCTGTAGTTTGAGGCAGAAATAGAGACGATACGGCGGTTAACGGCCGACTGACAGGAGCGTCTTCCGAGTGTCGGTCAGCTGTTAGCTAGCTGGCTGTTAGCTTCCTTGACTGTAGTGTTGTTATGTTCACGGTGTGTGTGTGTGAGTGTGTGTGTTTTCACGGCTCTGTGTGTGTGTGTGAGTGTGAGGTTATCTGCCTGTTTGGGAGCTTTAATGTGAAATGCTGCTCTTTACTGTCACCATCAAACAACCGAGAGATATGAGGATTAACTTCATTAACTGTCTGTTAACAGACACTTTCACCTGTTAACTAACTAACTGTCAGTTTTAATGGTCAGGACGGTGATTATATCGGAGCTAGTTTCCCTTTTGGAACACATTGTTGGTTGTTCCTCGCTGAGTTTAATAATCAGAAAGTGAAAGTCGACATTCAGACAGTTTAAAATGTTCAGATGTTATAACCAGGGTAGATTAATGAGCATTAATATAGTAGAGATGATACTGCTAAAGCGTTAGAGGATTATCTGATTAAAAACTCAAACAAAGAGTAAAGACATATCAGACATATTCATGTGTGTGTGTGTTTATATAGACCTTTAATGCCTCACTCTGTCTTTGTGTCAGTGTGTAGGGCTGGGCGATATGGACGAAAACTCACATCCTGATATATTTAGGCTGAATATAGATATATGATAAATATCCTGGTATTGTTATCGCAAAGTGAGAGCAAATGTTTAGTCACAGTCGAAGCCAAATATGATATGTCAAGAGTATTTCTATTTAAACTGACTGAATGAAATGATGCTCAGCTGTTCAGAGAACAATAACATGTAAACATAAATACTGTATAACCACAGGAGTACCTTTGTTTTTAAATTAGAGCTTTCATTCAATAAAAAATATATTAGTTCCCAACCGATATGGATTATTTGTGTGTGGGTCTGATTACTGATTAATCGGATGATTTTTACATTTTTTTAATGAAGTTATATATATATATATATATATATTTATATATATATATATACATATATATATATATATATATATATACTGTAGACTACTCCGCTTCACGCCGACAGGAAGACCGACTGATCAGACTCGGACCAGAAAAGCGTTTTCAAACACATCGTTTTGTCTTGTTGAGTACGGGTGAAGGTCGGAGGGAAAAAAGTTTCTGAAAGTTTCAGGAAGGTCTCGTTTGTTATTGATGAACTTGTAGACATGTATACATATAGTAAAAGACACTGAATTGAACAATAAGTGCTCAGTTTAAGAAAATAGTGTTTAAACATCATTTTGAGATTACAGATCTGTCTTTCTGATCTTGCACAAGACTATGAACTGAGTAAACATTTCCCCCCTTCTTTATTTTGACTTTGATAAACAGTCAGTGCTGTCTTCAGGTCGACATCAGAGGACAGACAAGTGTGTCCTTCTTTGTTTCAAGATTTAGTCAACAACAGCATCTGATATCTGTATATCTATTTATGTGATATGGTCCAATTCCCCTATCTCCCCTATCCTTTCTTTCATTTCGTCCCTGTTTCGGTAGATTTTCTGCAAACTTGAGGACAGGGACCCAAACGGACTCGAGAGAGAGAGACAGATTTATTAATGTCATTTTGATGTATCAGCATCGGCCCTCATCACCATATATTTGTAAATACATTTAACAGCATAAATTGTAATAGTAATGCCGTTAACTGGAGTCCATTCGTCTCTCTCTGCAGATAGGTCGATATCTTCTCCCTCATGTTTGTTGAGTCGGTGGTACTCTCGCGTGAAAAGGACACATGAGCGTATGAGGGCAGTGATGGTTCCATATTGGTACAGATCCGTATCATCATACAGCAGGTTGTTATTATTATGATGATGATGAAGAACAACAGAGAGGAGACGTCAGAGGTGAAGGAACAGCTGTTGTTGTAGGAGTTTAGACGAGGACACCAGAAATGTCGCAAATGTAGGAAATGTGAACATAGGAAATCTGCTGCAGCTCAGCTGACCAATCACAGGGCTGTGTGTGTTTTTGAGAAGGTGCATATATAAGCTTTTTTAAAGGGTTACATGAACCGACAGGACCAGAGCGAACAAGTGGAGAGTGTTGCTCTGAGGACGGCTCAGGTAGTGATCACGATCACTGCTGTTCTCACTGTGATTTTGTTTCGTTCTGGTTATTTCTGTCACTTTGTCGCCGTTTTACCGGTTAAATGTGAGCGTCGTCTTTATATCGATTTCCAGTTCATCTTCAGACTCCATCATGTTTCTGCAGCTCTGTGTCTGTTTCGAGTTTATATCATGAGACAGCTTCTCATCTCTCCACGATTGAATACTGTGATAATTTTATCATCTTATTTTCACTGATAAAACTCTCTGTTTTATGTACGGTCTATCACTCCGCTGACAGCCGGTCCGTTGACTCTGTGTTTCTAATCTGAGTTCACGTCTCCGGGCCTCTGTAAAGTCGTTTTAATGTTTTTCTCTGATTTTTAAGAACGATTATTTTTAGTTTGCTCATAGACAGCCTCGTTTACGTAGATTCCCTGTAGATGTCCATGTTGGTTCATGTCCAATGACTCAGATTCTGGTTCTGATTCTGGGGATGGGTGTTTCTCTGTTTTTCTGTTTTCAGGACGTCTCATTATTAATCCTCCATAATCTCTAAATCCACTGATGTGAACGTGGAAATCTTTGATACTAAGTGGTTTCTCCTCTGTTGTTTCTGTATTTTCAGGTACTTCATGCACGGTCTCTGCACAGAAGGAGAAAACTGTCGATACTCCCATGATCTCACCAACAGCAAACCAGCAGCCATGATTTGCAAGTTCTTTCAGAAGGGAAACTGTGCGTTCGGGGACCGGTGCAGGTAGAGGAGCAGCTGTTTTTTTCTTTTGTACATGTGAACGTCCTGTAACGCTCTGACTCGGATGTGTTGTGATCATGTTTGTGGTCAGCTGCCTCGGCCTAAAAAAGGCCTGCAGTTGTCGGTGGAGCTGCATTATGACTTCTCTTCTAAAAGTGTCTCAGCTTCTGAGAAGTGCTGGAGCTCCTCAAGGGGACCTGACACCTGAGACCGGCCCGGGTGTCAACATGTTGTTGGTCTGTGTGTGTTTCAGAGCTCAGGCTGCTCCGTGGAAAAACTGCTCCGTACTCTCTCTGCTGTGAAACTGGATTTTATTATTTTGAGGAGGTTTGATGAAATTCTGCCGGTCGGATCAGAACCACGGGACAGGACGTGTTTGATTTGATCTGGAAGGAAATGTTGATTTCTGGGTTGTTCTCATAATTGGAGCAATCATAAATCACTTCAACTTTATTATGTCCCAAACATGGGCAAATCGTGTCGCAGCAGGAACAGACATTTAAAACACTGACATACATCATAAAAGAAAATAAAGAAGATAAAATACATTTACATAAAAAACAGTTCAGGAGGTAAAAAGACGGTAAAAAGAAAAGCATCATATGTCAGTCATACCAGTATTTTTTCATGAACAGAGTGAATAAGATAAGAAACAAAGTTCAATGTGTGGTTTGAGTACCAATAAAAGACCCCGAGATGAAGCTTGATCTATAATGATCATAACACACTTGTCAGTTTCAAGAAAGTACCCGTAGATGTAGATGTTCAGAAACGACACCAATCTAAAATAAATATATATATTTTTTATACTTTATTTTTATAGAAACACTGAACTGAAGATGTTGAAGCGAACAGTTGGTCACCTAAACCTTCACACTGTTGTTTTTAATAACGTGGTTCAATCATCGGCTGGTTTTCGTCTAAATCCTCGGATGTTGTTGGTTCTCAGGTTCTGATCCGGTTTTGTTCACATTTGTTTCCTCCTCTAGAAAAATCAGGTTTAAATGTTCAGAAGTTATTCCTGCAAAGACTGAGAGGAAAACAAACTCGACATTCACTGATTATGAGCAGTTTGGAGATTAACTACGAGGATTTTTTTAACACATTTGTTCATGAAAAATCTCATAAATATAGTGAGTTTGAACGACTGTGACCGGGCCGTAAATCTGCTTTATAACAGTCGTGTATCTGAATATATTTAATCATGAGTCTTTTTTTTTATGGTATCTGCTGTATCTGGTTTGAAAACCGTGTTTATAAAGAGGAAGTCGACCCCTTTGAACTGAAATCTGAGTCCATCAGTGGCGTCTTGAATATCCGCCTCGCCGTGGCGTGCTCTGAACGTGGTCATTAGTATTTATTTGTAGGGAGACGCGCTCAGACATGCAGAGGCCGGGTCTTTTGAGCAGCGGATTAGTCTGCTGCTCTGTTGTCAGGCTGGAGTCAGACAGCAGCAGCAGCAGCAGCAGGCTGTACAGACGGTGTCTGCTGCCTGTCTGGCTGCATCCCCATAGTTACCAAGACCCTCTGAGGACCACCAGCTGCAGCACGGCCACTTTACACACACACACACTCACACACACATCATTGTTTTACATGCTGTGGTGTGTTTAGGGTCTGTAGGAAGCCTGAAGCTGAGCGTGTGCAGGTCTGAGGTGTTGGTGTTGTCGTTATCGTTGTTGTTGTTGTCGTTGATAACTCACATTCCTCCATCCTCGTTGTGACGGAGGTGTCCTCATTATTCCTGTGACCCCTGCATTAAGAGCCTATAGAAAGAGTCTCCCTGGGGGGGGGGGGGTTATTATGGTTCAAGTCCTCCGCCTCTGTCTATTGTGGTGGGCTCTGTCTCTCTCTCTCTCTCTCTCCTGCAGCCCACAGGTCCAGACACAGTGCACTGCAGCCTGCATGGCAATTGCATAACGCCGTGTTTCCCTCTGCTCTCTCTCTCTCTCTCTCTCTCTGAGCCCCCTCCTCCTCCTCCTCCTCCTCCTCCTCCTGCGCTGTTGCTGGGTTCCCTGGGTTCATTCTGCTGCAGCAGCCTCCTCTCTTATTTATGCATCTCTCTCTCTCTCTCCCCTCCCCTCCCTGTTCTTCCAGTGGCTCTGTGGGAGCAGACTGGTTAACGGTGATGTCTGACAGGCTGCAGCTCTTCCTTTTGTACGACTGTGTGCTCAGACTGTCACGGCCTGTTAGTCATGCTGTATCCTCGCCGTGGCGTTGACATGTTTTTATACTCGGACCACTTAGACATGCATATGCAGGCTCTCCGTGTCGTCAGGGCTGCAGCGTCCGTCATGCTCGAGCCGCCTGATTAAAGATTCCCAGCATGGAGAACGGCGACAGACCGATGTGAAGCACTTACAATTGGTCTGCTGTTTCCAGACTGAGATATAAAACATGAATGTTAATGATGACGGTCTCTTCTTCAGTTTGTCTGTGCAGATCTAGGCTGTTTGTATCTATGTGATCTACATCTATGAAGTGTTTTAGTCATTTGGAGCGAACAGAGAAACGAGCAGAACCATCAGAATGTGTCTGAGAGACACTGAAGTTTAACATGAAGTTTCTGTTTCTGCTTTAAATGACTCTGAGGAGAACTTCACTCCTGATACAAACATGTTAAAGATCTTCTACCAGAGCTGAGGGCCGGACGATTGTGGCAAAAATAATAATCAGGATTATTTTGACTGAAACACAATTATTCACTAATTTCAAAACTTGAATTTATTGAACCAACAAAACTTAACTTTGAATTAGCCCTGGGCGATTTGGCAAAACAAATGATCACGATATACTCTGTCCTATCGTCCGATCTCGATTATTACCACGATTTTTTTTTAACTGCCTGTTTTAAAGCATCTGTACTAAAAACTAAAGAAACTAAAGATTAGTTCAACATTTTATCAACGTACAAAGTAAAAAAAACAAAGAATAAGATACACTTAGAAAAATATAAAAACATTTTAACTCAACAGAACAACAAAAGTTGATAAATACTCAATAATCCAGTGAGTTAGTTCACAGTCCTGAGTGTTTCTGTAGGTTCATTATCAGAGATAATGAAGACATATTAAAATGTAAATGTAAATGTAGATGATATGATTAATCGCTGTTTTGGTCTGGTGGCTTCACCGCCAGTTGTGGCTAAACTGCTAATGCTACTCGTACCGTCAGCAGTGACAGGCTGTACAGACTCCGCCCACATTCAAACATTAAAACAGTGAGACGTCGTCTCCTTCAGATCGGCGTTTTTGACCCTTTGAATTCATCTGAATGTTGGATTTATCAGCTCTGAGTGTTGTGTCATGTGTTTAAGTTTATTCAGCTTTCAGCATGATCACAGATGTTTAAAAAAGACAGATGCCATTAAAAACACTGAATTATTTTGCTGATTACAAAAAATAAAACTTCAAATATAAAATGCAGCTTAAGAAGCAACAACCTAAAAACTTAAAAAGCTAAACACCATTCTCATTTAACAGCCTGCACATATATGGGATTGGTGATTTCTTATATCTCTCAGTTCGGCATGTTGGGGTGTCCAGGTCATCTCCATTCCGTGTTTGTCGTCCAGAGATCTCTTTCCTAAGTGGGGGTAGCCAGTTGTCTGAAGTTGGACTTGAGCTCTGAGTGTTTCTCTGTAAACCTCAGACTGTCCTGTAGAAGATCGATGATCTCTGCCCGCCTCACATGTTTATTATTTACAGGAGGAGGTGAACTCCTCAGTCAGAGCAGGAGCAGGTCACAGGTCTTTATCAGAACCAGGATCAGGTCTGCACAAACGGAGCTCACTGAAGGTCAGGATCCCGCAGTTTTCTTTGTCCTCGGTCTCTGTAAACATCAGGTCCTGAATCCAACAGGACTTAGTCACGTGGACAAACATCATGGAGGAGCAGCTGCTCACCGAGTCTGTTTGACTTCCTTTTTATGACAGCGAGTTTGAGACGGATCGTATGAAGACAACCACAGTCAGGACCCGGTCCAGAATGATTGAAAGTCTGAATATGATCGTAAAGTTAAACGTTTCAAAAACAGGATTTGTAAAAGTAGTTCCTGTGTCTCTGTAGACCTTTGTGGACCCAGCAGACCAGGTTCTGGAGTTCTAAGAGTTAAAACTGAGGATGCAGCATCTATGATTTCCAGTTCTATGTTAAAAGGTGAAACGTCTCAAGTAAGTCGAGTTGTCCTTTCCAAAAGAGTGATAGATTTAGATCCATCAGACCTCAGGACAGTTCACAGACAAGTGATTTTGAACCCATACAGTGACTCCACCTACAGAGTCCTGAGTTCTGTTAACTGGTCTCTCTCTCTCTCTCTCTCTCTCTCTCTCTCTCTCTCTCTCTCCTCTCTCCTCTCTCTCTCTCTCTCTCTCTCTCAGATTTGAACACTGTAAACCAACAAAGACCGAGGAGCCGCCGACCTCGCAGACGCTGCCGCTGCCCTCCGCCTCACTGGCCGGCCTGTCAGACTCCGAACACAGCGGGCCAACATCTGGTCTAGAGACCGCCAGAGACTGGGTCAACGCTGCAGAGTTTGTCCCAGGACAGCCCTACTGTGGACGAGGTGGGTGCCCGAGTCTGTGAAGTGTCCTTAAGAACGGATCAGAACATGTTTATTTAAGGTCCTCTCTGTGTTTCTGTGTTCGTCAGCCGAGCCGGTGAAGGCCGACGTCGCTGTCCCGCTCATCGAGGAGTTGGACACCAACTCAGCTGAGAGCAAGGAGCTCAGGAAGCAGCTCTGCCCGTACGCCGCCGTCGGAGAATGTCGCTACGGCATCAACTGCGCCTATCTCCATGGAGACGTGTGTGACATGTGCGGCCTGCAGGTGCTTCACCCCACCGACAACGCTCAGCGCTCAGAGCACACAAAGGTGACGCCCAGAAATTCACATTATTTTTGACTCCTGATGAAAAACTCAGGCTCCACCTGCCTTTAAGGGTTCGACTCAGGTGATTAATTAACCTTAATTAACCTTAATAAACCCTTTATTAACCCTTTATTAACATTAATTAACCCTTTATTAACCTTAATAAACCCTTTATTAACCTGTAACTAAAGACAGAAAACAGACTTTTATTAACCCGTTATTAACCCTTTATTAACCGTTTATAAACCAGTCACTAAAGACAGAAAAAAACCCTTTATTAACCTGTTATTAACCCTTTATTAACCTGTAATTAACCTGTTATTAACCTGTTATTAACCTGTTATTAACCTGTAATTAACCTGTAATTAACCTGTTATTAACCTGTTATTAACCCTTTATTAACCCTTTATAAACCAGTCACTAAAGACAGAAAACAACCCTTTATTAACCTGTTTTTAACCCTTTATTAACCTGTTATTAACCCTTTATTAACTTTTTATTAACCATTTATTAACCCTTTATAAACCAGTCACTAAAGACAGAAAACAACCCTTTATAAACCTGTTATTAACCTTTTATTAACCCGTTATTAACCCTTTATTAACCTGTTATTAACCCTTTATTAACCCTTTATAAACCTTTATCAACGCTTTATTAACCCGTTATTAACCTTCTATTAACCTTTATTAACCCTTTATAAACCCTTTATTAACCTGTTATTAACCCTTTATTAACCCTTTATAAACCAGTCACTAAAGACAGAAAACAGCCATTTATTAACCTTTTATTAACCTGTTACTAAGGACATAAAACAGAATTTTATTAACCCTTTATTAACCCTTTTAAGGGTTTGACTCAGGCGATTAAAGGTGAAGCAGACTCTGAAACAGCCTTTTATTAACCCTTTAAACCTTGATTAACCTTTTATTAACCCCTTTATAAACCAGTCACTAAAGACAGAAAACAGACCCTTATTAAACCTTAAATAACCTTTTATCAACCCTTTAATAACATTTATTAACCTTTCACTTACCTTTTATTAATCCTTTATTACAGCCACAAAATAGCCCTTATAAACCAGTCACTAAAGACAGAAAACAGACCCTTATTAAACCTTAAATAACCTTTTATCAACCCTATAATAACATTTATTAACCTCTTATTAACCTTTCACTTACCTTTTATTAACCCTTACAGCCACAAAATAGCCCTTAATTAATATGTAACTGTAGACAGAAAAAAGCGCTTTAATAACCTTTTATTACCATTTTATTTATACTTTAATAACCCTTTATTATCCTGTTACTGAAAACATAAAAAGCCCTTTATTAACCCTTTATTAACACTTTTATTACCTTTTATTTACCATTTAATACCCCTTTACTACAGACAGAAAACAGCCTGAAGAATCTGTGACTTTAATCTTTTTTCTGAGGGGATACATTTTGAACAAACTTGTGTGTGTGTGTGTACGCACATGTTTATGTGTGTGTGTCTGTGTGTGTGCGCGTTTCCCCCGTCAGGCCTGCATCGAGGCTCACGAGAAGGACATGGAGATCTCGTTCGCCATCCAGCGCAGTAAGGACATGATGTGCGGCGTTTGCATGGAGGTGGTGTTCGAGAAGGCGAACCTGAGCGAGCGACGCTTCGGCATCCTCTCCAACTGCAGCCACTGCTACTGCCTGAAGTGCATCCGCAAGTGGAGGAGCGCCAAACAGTTCGAGAGCAAAATCATCAAGTGAGCGAGTCGGAACACAACGAAACGAGTTTTTCTCTGTTAACCTGCAGTTATTTTTGAGTTTCAGACAGAATCTTAAAAAAACTGATTTTAATGAATTACAGATGATCCGGACAGAGACTTTAAAATATCTAAACTGATGCAGTAATGTATTTGTCAAAGTAGTTCAGGTTCTTTTTGTTGACCGGTTGTGTTGTGACTGAAGCTCGATGTCACTCAGGACGTCGTTCGCGGTTCTTTAAACGAATATCTAACAGCGCAGCACCGTGACGCTCCGCCTGGTCTTTGTTTTTTTGCAGGTCTTGCCCGGAGTGCCGAATCACATCAAACTTCGTGATCCCGAGCGAGTACTGGGTGGAAGATAAAGACGACAAGCAGAAACTCATCCAGAAGTACAAGGACGGCATGGGGTACAACACAAACACACAAACACACAAACACACAAACACACAAACATCAGACTCTGTAGACCTGATTCCTCGATACTGAACATTAACGAGACACTGAAGCTCCCGTCGATACGATGTGATTAAAAACTGATTAGATAACGATACGACTTCATTATAAGAGGATTCGGTTTTATTTTGAAGGCTGGATTCTTAGCGCCCCCTGGTGTCCGTGTGACGCCGCCTCTTGAATGATTTTAGCTGAAGAGAAGCTTCTGGATGTTTTTGTGTCGACCGAGGAGCAAAAACACTCTCAGGTCTAAATCAGGAGGAGGAGGAGAAACCGGAGAGCGGATCCTTCCAGGAGTCTCCACGGTTCTCCCTGTGAGACGGACAGCTGGGTGGGTGGACGATCAGAACCGTGACAGGAGTGGGCGGTTCTGATGGTGGTAAAAACTAAAGGAAAGGAGGGTCTGCAGGATTAATCAGAACTGCAGAATAAAACCAGAACAGGCTCTGAAACGCTTTTTAACCCTTTAAAACCGTGATGTGGAGATTTTTAGTTATTATGGTCAGAAAACGACTGAAGTCTGAGAGCTGTGGTCGGTTTTTATAAGAGGACATGAACTTTTAGGTGATTATTCCACAGGATCTGTAACTGTCAGCTGATTAAAAAGAAGAAAACACAAAAACTCGTTTGTTTTTTTTATGATCGTAAACCTTAAAGTTTTTATTTTACGTTTGAAAAATCGACCTTGACATTTTTAGAATCAGAGTTTAGGTTCAGGAGAAGCATCTTCTAAATCACTCTCCTCCTCCTCTACGAACTGTAGCAGCTGTTTCATAGATTATTATTTATTTACTTTATTTACGAGTTTTTATTTCTGTATTTAAAAAGAAAAACACTATTTTTCTTTTCTTGCTCAGTCTCCTTTTCTCCCTCATCCTCGGTCAAAGTTGTAGTTTTGGTTTTTCTGATCGGACAAACTTTGTCAGAGTTACGGTAACAACACTCCGGGCATAAAAAACAGAGCGGCGGCGTTATGGCTGTAGGTAGAGAACCCCCCCCTCAAAGACTGATCAGCTGACCCGGTCTGACCTGATGATGGCGTGCTGTGTTTCCTCCTCAGGAGTAAACCGTGTCGGTATTTTGACGAGGGTCGCGGGACGTGCCCCTTCGGCTCAAACTGTTTCTACAAACACGCCTTTCCTGACGGCCGGCTGGAGGAGGCGCAACCTCAGAGACGACAGACCGGGTCCAACAGCAGAACCCGGGTAAGACCTCACACACACACACACACACACACACACACACACACACACACACACACAAAACTCTGTTCAGATCAAATCTGCAGTAATTCTCCCAAAAAAAGAGAACCCTCTTCTCCTCCTCCTTCACTGGAGCGCCCTCTGCTGGACGTTACAGTGAAGATCAGGGACCAGGAAAATAAAAGCGTCTGTAAGAAGAGACACACAGCTTTACGTTTAATACAGGGTTGAGTTTATTATTAATACTAATGATAATACAGTAGATTAATAATCAATAAAGTTAGTTTATCAGGAGTCTGTTTGATGATCAGAGTTCATGACTGTGGAGTCCACACAGTGGGAGGTAACACATGAGCTCATGGATCAAACCTCGACGGTCCAGAAGGACCTGCAGGTGTGACCCTCACCACGAATTTCCACCGCATCCGGAACGGCGGCGATTAACAGATGTGTTTGGGAGGCGAATTTCGTGGCGGATTATGGACAACGGGAATCACGAGAACCCGCAGATTCACGTTCAATCCCGTGATAACGAGTCGTCTCTCTACAGACAGACACATAGACATATAAGCAGTAGATTTTGTCCTTCCAGAGGAGGAAATCTACTTCTAGACTTCTAGAATCAGCATCTCCTCATCCATGGTGTCATCGGGGTGAAATGACGTCTAAAAACCTTTCACTTGTTCGTCTCCGAGTGTTTTATTTTGAAAAGAAGCTGGATGTTTTATTTTGTGTCTGTGCCCGACTTCCTTTCCAGCACGGGTTAATCTGTGCTGAATTTATCCGCCATGCTCCGGCGTCCAGAAAAAATAGAACTCTTGTGATCAGCTGAGGAGTCCGGCGATCCGCAGAGGAACGGAAAGAAGTCGGTGTAAATTGACACGTTAACTTGAATGGTTACGATCAGCTACGATCGGAGGATACGACCTTTTAGGAGACGATCAGGATGAAGGTGGAGATCGGGGTAATACTCTTTTGGAGAGAATCGACACGTTAACTTGAATGGTTACGATCGGCGTGTACGGCCTCTTCGTAGCCGTTCTGGATGCGGTGGAAATTGGGGGTCATACATCATGTGCATTTAAGGTGGTTAGGTCCTCTGTCCTCTGGTTTTAAAAAGTCTTTCCCTCCCCCCCCTGAATGTGTCCTCTCACTCTGGTCGTGTCCCCCGCCCTCAGACCTCGAGACGAACTCCGCTGTGGGACATCTTCGACGAGCGGGAGAGCACCGACTCCTTCGACAACGAGGACGAGGAGATGGTGACGTTCGAGCTGAGCGAGATGCTGCTCATGCTGCTCGCCGCGGGGACGGACGACGAGGTGACGGACTCAGAGGACGAGTGGGACTTGTTTCACGAGGAGCTGGACGATTTCTATGAGATTTACCTATAGCAGCCCCGCCCCTTTAACCCCGCCCTTCCCGTATACTAGACTACACTACACTAGAATGGACTGTCTTGTGCGAGTGATGGACAGTAGCTCCTCCCTCCCTCCCTCCCTCTCCTCTGTATCGTGGCAGTGCCTTTAAGCAGGCCATTAATAACAAACTTCTAAAAAGATAAAAAAAGACCAAAAAAAAAATCGAACCGTCAGTGCGCTCGTGCTAAACTTTTTCTATCCTCGTGAGTCTATCCGTGCGGTACGTGTAAAATCTAAAAAGGACAAAAACATCAATATAAATCTAACTGAGATGATAAAACTTTCTTCAGATATTGCTAATAAACATCGTCAAGTTTATTTGTGGGTGTGGGTTTGACTCGTTCATCAGACGTTCGTGTGAGACTCTGAGGATTCACTCGGCACATTTCCTGTCAGTGTGACGGCATGATGTAAGATTTTAACCACAGATGTCTTTATTAAAGCTGCTCAGACTCCACCAGGTGTGCTGACCTCCATCTTTCCCTCCGTCACCTCGTCCATTCAGGCTCAGACGTCTCTCCACGAGGAGCTTTCAAAACCAAAAACTTTAGATAGGAGTCAGGACCGAAACCACCAGCCCTGATCCCGGACCGCTGTCTCTGCCGGTCACAGATTTCAGACTCTGAGCGGCTCAGAAAACCAAATCCACGTCACCGTAAAGGGGGGAGGATGAAGTCCTGCAGAGTTTTTTTAACTCAAATCCTGTCGAACCAAAAACAGACGCAGCGACGATGTCTCTGAACAAACTTTACTTCTCATCACTTTAATATTCAGGAGATCCTCTGAACGGATCCGTGAAATCTGCGGTTTTAAAAATATCAAAGTTCCCAAAAGTTCATTTTTTTGTTCCAGAAAGAAAAACACCTTTAATAACCAAACAGAGAAACACGGAGGAGTGGAGCCACGCTAAAGGAAAAACACTTTATTTCAGGTTCATGAACTAAAAGTATGAAAATAAAGATAAATAAGGCTGTCATGAGAAAGAGAGAGGAGCTAATTTCAGATTAGAGTTAATCTCTGAGAAGGAGCCGTCTGCTCTGACAGGAACGAGGATTATTTTACAGCCGACTCCTTCATGTCTGCAGAATAAACTCAGTCCTTAAAATCCTGAGTCTCGTATCCCTCATGTGCTCAAAGGTTATTAAAGTTTATTAAATGTTATTAAAGATAATTAAAGGTTATTTAGATATTCATGAAACAGTAAACTGAAGCAGACGCTCCTCGTTCCTCGTTTTGACTCTGAAATTCGGACTTTATTCACATTTACGACTCTGTTCTGGTGTCAAACTCTTTTCTCATGAATACTTTTACCTTCATACATAAATATACTAAAAACTCCTAAAACCTTTTTTTTTTTTTTTTTGATAATAATTTAAAACTTAATTCTCATAAATTTAGATTCATCCTTTAATAAAACTGTTGAATCTATAAACCTTATTTTTTTTGCTAATTTAGGACATTTTTGTAAAATAACAAATTAATTTTTTCTCATTTATTTAAAAAAATTAAGTCAAAATAATTTAATCCTCATAGATTTAGAAACTTATTTTCATCAGTTTGACTTTTTTTTCTTAATTTCACTCATTTCTCGAAATATTAAAACTGTTTTTTATCACTTCTTCACATTTATTTACATTTTCTCAGCGAAAACTTTTTAAAGTTTATTTTTGATATTTTTCTTTATACTGAAACTTTATTTTTGTTGTTTTGTTTTCTGAATTAACTACTTTATCAACATTATTTTTGTTAAATCTTCAGTGTTTCTCTCTGCCGTGGCTCTTCTTCTCCTCCGTCATTTAAAGCCGTCTACATTTCGCCCTGAAGTTGTGATGAGGCAGTGAAAGGGTTAAAATGTTTTACAGAAGAGTTTCGTTTCTTTATTTACGTCTTAATTCTGTAAAATCGCTCAGTCAGACTTTAACGAACCTCCAACAGTCTCAGGATTTGACTTTAACTCTTCAGCACACTGATGTGACGAGCTCAGTGCTGCCCCCTGTGGTTGGAAGCAGCATTACAGTTTCATTTGCACTGAACTCAACAGTAGTCATGTCCCACACACGTCCTTCCACCAGGAGGCAGCACTGAGTCAGTTTCTTCAGAGTCACATTGAATGAGCCGCTCAGAGTCTGGATCAGGCTCAGGTGTGAAACCGCACACCTGTTCACCTGTAGACGTGGTCCGGGACCCTCTGATAGAGAGTTAGAGGTCCGAGTTTCATCAAGAGTTTTTTTACTCCTGCTCTAAATCAGCCAAACAGAAAAGATGAAAACGAACAGCTTTGTTTAAACTCCTCTTTAACCTCCATCTCTCCTCTGAGCTAAAACACCTGACGCCCCGCAGGTGTTCCTCTGAACCAGGTAACCATGTGATCTCAGCCCCTCCTCGTGTACATTGACCCCTCCCCCCTGAGTGATTCATGTTAAACCTCCTCCTGAAAGCCGGTCTCTACCTGTTGAACTCATTGGAATGCATATGTTTATACTGAAATGTGTGTTTTCTATGTTCCACAGCATCCATCCTAACTTGAAATTAAAGTTTATTATCAATCGAAGTCTGACCGTCTGTGTAAGTGTGTGTGTGACTGTGTGTGACTGTGTGTGCGTCTGTGAGCAGTCCTGAACACACTAAAAACACACAGGTATGTCTGAGCTCCTAATGTTCACTTTGGTTCGTACAAAAACTCTGTTAGAGTTCAGCACCGTGTTCAAGACTAAAGACAGATCTTCATGTTTGTGAACGTCTGTATTTAGTCTTCAACAGGTCAAAGTTCTTCTTATAGAGGAACAACCAAACATGAGCTCAAAACCACTTCAAAAACCACTGAAGGTCCACGAAATCACACATTTCCTTATCTGGTCCAAGGACACAGACTCATATAAATCTTTCCAGACTTGTTTGGACTTTCAGGTTACTCATCTGACCTGACAAGGTTGACCCTCTGACTCTTCATGATTGGTCAGTTTAGAGAACAGAGACGGAGTTTTTATTACCGTTCAAACTGACTCCATCACTGACCATCTAAATAAATATTAATGCCTCACACGGGGCACCAAAATAATCTGCAGCGATTTGAATTTATGATAAATGTTATAATTTAAGATTATTATCAATTATTAATCTTAAAACATTTATTATAAATTCAAAAACAAAGATTATCTCCATCCTTAAACCCGGGTCTGGACTTTAGACTCTGACATGATTTTTATTCTCCTGATGAAGCTGAACCTCCTCATGGATCTATAAATCCATGAGGAGGTTGACCGAAACCTCTGGCTCTTCACAAGAAGAGCCGATTTGGAGAACAGAGACGGAGTTTTTATTACCGTTCAAACTGACTCCATCACTGACCATCTGAATAATATTAATGCCTCAGCCCAGGTCTTCCATTTGAGATTAACTGTCTTTAAGTGTGTGAGGAGCAGGACGCTGACCTCCACACCTCTGACCGCTCGACCACGTCCTGATAAAAACTGGAATGTTTTCATCAGCAGTGTTCTAATGTGTCTAATCATGAGGTTAGTGTTGAAATGAGAATTTCAGTTTGAGATCTGAGATTAATTTAAGATTGACTTCATGTTTGATTTCAGGATTAAACTTTTGTTTGTCTTTATTTTCCCGCCATTAAAGGTGGGCGGTGCCTCTGTCAACAAGTGCATAAATGTCATGATTTAAGATTATTATCAATTATTAATCTTAAGACATTTTTTATAAATTCAAATCGTTACACCACGTCAGGTTAAGTGGACTCAGGGGAAGAGGAAAACTCTGGACTTATTGAATCAGACTCTGACTGTATCCTCCCTCAGTTTGTTCTCAGCTCAAATCCAGCGTCCCTGATGGTCTGGGGAAAACCTCTCGACAGAAAAACTCATGATAGATAAACTAAAAGGACATTTTTCTGCTTTTAACTAGATTTTAGTTCCAGTGTATCATCAATTTTAATCCAGATTAGCCACTTTTATTTAGAGATGAGCTCTAAATCAGAAATCCTGAAGTCCTTTTTAATACATCTCTAACTGAACCGTCCTCATCCTGACTTTGGTGTTTGGTAAAAACTAAAACAGCAGTGAGGTGGATCATTTTATATCAGTGGTTCTTAACTGGTCTCACTCTGGGACCCACATTTTCCCACTGTCCTTCAGTCGTGACCAAGAAAATTTATTTCTTATAAAAAACCTTTAAAGACTCAAATATTTTAACATAAATTCACAGTTTTTATTGAGTAAAGTGCATTTCAGAGCAGATGAACTGAGGACGACAACGACTGAAGTGACATACACAGAAAATATCAAATCACACAAAATGGAGCAAAATGAAAAATTAGACTTATTTGCATTCAGAGCATTTTCAGAAGAGCTGAGGAGGACAAAAGTAAATAAATATAAAATTACACAAGATAAAGACCGAATAAAAAAACATGTAATTTTACTGCATTCAGGCCACATTAACCCTGAGAACTCCCAGAAATATTTTGCTGTTTTTGGTCCACCTGTGACAGTAGATTCAGAACCATCAAAGTCAACCAAAACACCAAAACAGAAACTGATCCCAACAGGACTTTGTTAAAAAAAAACACTCCTGTCCTTTCATCAAGATTTAGAAATCATAGATGCTGCTTCCTCAGTTTTAAACAATATCTGCAGGTTTAGGAGCAACATCTACATGACTTTTTCAGGGACGGCCTTCATATGATCCCTCTGATCAAACACCTGTTTTTGTGGCTGGATTGTAAACCTTGTGGCAGGAGTAGAAATGTCTGGAAACCCTCAATAGATCACTAAAAGGGTAAACTTTTGAACACTTTTGATCCCGTAGAGATACACGGTATAGATCCTGAGAAACTGTGAACTATAGTGGTGGTGGTGTCACGGGTGCCTTTCAAAATAAAAGACATGTCAAACATCAGATGTTTACTTTTTTGACCGACCCATTAAGAACACGTGTGCGACCCTCTTTTGGGGCGCCACCCACCCATTGAGAACCTCTGATTTAGATGATGGATACAGACGCTGCAGTCCGGTCCAGTGGAGTCCGTGCCTGTGTTTGCGCATGTCTGTTTCTCTCCTCCTATAAAAGCATCAGACGGACGGAGGAGAGCAGAAAAGGGAGGAAGCGCACAAATACAATGATCTCTGAAGCCCAGAGCGACAGTCTGAAGGCCGCCGAACACATCCGAACCGAACCGAGCTTCATCCCTGACTCCCCCGTCTCCCTCTCCTCCTCCACCTCTTCCTGCTCCTCCTGCTCCCCTGGCTCCGGGCCGCTCAGCCGGAGGCGGGACCCGCAGACCAGCAGCGGCAGCATCGTCCCGGAGGAGAGCGGCAGCATCCAGCCTCTGGTGGCCGCCGCCCGCATCATGACATCCGGGGAGTTCAACCAGAGCGCCCCGCTGCTGGCGCACAGATCCAGCCGCAGCCTGATGTATAAGACCCTCTGCTTCCTCCTGCTCATCTTCCAGGGCGGGGTCCTGGACTTCTACCTCATCATCTTCACGGACCTGTACTGGTGCTCCTGGATCGCCACGGACCTGGTGGTGGTCTCGGGCTGGGGGATCTTCTTCATGAAGAACGCGCGCAGTAAACGCGAGCGCGCCTGCGGCTTCCACCAGAAGAGCTCCATCTTCGGCTGCAACCTGGGCGAGTTCACCTACGCCTACCTGGCCTGGCTCATCTACGTCATCGCCTGCACCCCGAAAGTGGTGCTGGTCCTCGAGACCTCCATCCTGGACCTGATCGCGCTGAAGGTCCCGTGCGGGGTGACCGGGTTCAAGATCATCATGCTGCTGTCGGCGCCGCTCCTCTTCTGCCTCATCAACTCCATCATCGAGGACCTGAACGGAGCCACGCGCCACCACTCCCACAGCTGCTTCATGAGCACGTGCCTGGACCTGCTGGACTGCTTCACCCTGCTGGAGATGCTGCTGCGGGGGGAGATCCCCACCGTCTACCTCAAGTACACGGTGGTGTCGGTCTACTTCGTGGCCCTGGCGGTTCCGGTGGTCTGGCTCTACGAACTCACCGCGTCCGAGCTGCGCTGCCGCTGGCTGTGCGCGCGCTTCTGCACCGGCCTGCTGGTCAACGCCCCCCTGCTGGTGGTCCGCTGCTTCCAGGTGTACGTCTACAAGCTCCCGGTGTCCGTGTTCATGCTGAAGAACATCTTCTTCCTGGCCTGCAGGCTCCTCGAGCTCCTGGAGCAGTGCGTGGCCGTGCGGGGGGTCCGCAAGCTGCAAGCCGGGAGCAGCAACACCGCGCAGTTCTCCCACTGCGTGTCCGAGAACGACATGTGTCCGCACGGGTACGTCAACACGCTGGCTGTCACCCAGTCCTAGAGCCCGGACCGATCCCGGACCGATCGTGGATCCGATCCGGAGTGAATCCGGATTCTATGTGAACTGATGAGACTCAGCGAACTGTCATGTAAGAACCCCCCCACAGTCAGACTAACAGGGTCCGTGTTTCAGGGTGTCATGATTTTAACCCCCCTCAGTCTAGAGCAGGGCCGGACTAAACAGGCCAGGAGGGCTAACAGGGAGCTGTGGCCCCCGCGGCCCCCCTGCACCCAAACAGCTTTTTATTGATTTTAAAATAGTTTTCTGTTAAAATGATCAATAACCAAATCTGGAAACAGGTCAGTTTCCCTCAGCTCGTCTCTACTCTAGAACCTTCCTCCTGTGTTAGCTTTTACTACACATCCACCATGTTAACGGGTCGGTTCTGACCTTGATCGGCTTCATTATCCATGAAAATATTGATCATAATAGTTTTTGATTCGCTGCTCTGGGCCTCTCTTTGTAGTGTTGTGTTGTTCACAAACGATTCGTTCAAAAGAACCAAATCTTTTAAGTGAAGCTACTGAACCAAATCACTTCCTCAAATGATTCGTTCGTTTCTCACTTCAGTTGAGCCGTCAGCAGCGCAGCGTTACCCAGGCGAGCGGCTGGCAAATGAGGGATCGCACGCACCGACGTCTGAATCACTTCATAAACGAATCACATATTGAACTTCACTCCCTTTTAAGTAATTTTTTTCGGACAAAACTATTTCTTTTTTTTTTTTTTGCTGCTAAATTGTCACCACAATCGGACACAGCATGTAACATGTACCGTATTTTTCGCACTATAAGGGGCACTTAAAATCCTTTTGGTTTGTCGGAGCGCTGCAGCTACCGTCACCTCGCAGAGTTATTGAACGAGTTAAAGTTTGACTTATGGGACTGTTTTGTTTGGATAAATGCGATTTATAACACGATGCGCCTTATGTATAAAAATAGACGCGTTCATTGATGGTGCGCCTTATAGTGCGAAAAATACGGTCGCAGACAAACACTCTCGTCTCCTGGTCCCAGAAGCTGAACCCTGAACCGTTCATCTGTGAATCAGTTCAGGAGGTCGGAGTCACAGGCTCCTCCCGCCGAGCGCTGAATGATTTGGTGATTCGATGAACGACTCTTTTGAACGAATCTTTTTAGTGAATTGATTCGAGTGATTCAGATCATCTAAAAGAACTGCAGAGCCCATCACCATTTCTGTGTCAGTATCCTCCTCACACAGACATCTATACTGAATAGATCTCACATTTTTAGTGTGACTGTAAGTGCACGCATGATTTCAGTTTCTCGCTCTGATTATTAGATATCGATCTAACCAGGTCATCAGCGACCCTAACATGACAAGTGCCATAATTTTAATAAGAGCATTTTATAATTTAGTCCATTTTTATTTTGTTAAAATCGAGGTTCCTGACAAAATCAAAAAGTCTTGATGCCAAAATAAACAAATTCAAGTTTTTCCTTTAAGCATTAAAAACTAAAACTCTAACACAGGAGGAGGTTAAAGTCTCAACATGACTCAAAAGATTGAAACCAGACAATAACTTATTGATAATGATCGTTGATAATCAGTCTGACTCTGACAGCAGGATAGTGACCAAAATATAGACCACGATCAATCAGATGTTCAGACTTTGGTCTTCAGCTGCAGGTGGATCAGAAGAAGTTAAAGGTATAAAAGTCAAATATGAGCGAACAGTCCGGGTTGATTAAGGGCTGCTGGGTAAACTGTCCAACATCTATAAAATACCGTCTTTGTTAAAACAGCCGGTCAGCTGTTGGTGCGAAACCCAAATCTGTGTTTTTACGACTTGAAGTGAACGAACTGAACAGACGATCTTTAAATGCTGCAGGAAGACGAAGAACGAGGGCCGACCAAAACAAGAGGTGGAAGATTTCAGGAGGTTTTTCAGGAAACAGACGAACTTTCAACGTTGGTGCCGGGAGAGAAGGGGGTGGAGTCTGAGTGGAACTGACCAATCAGGTGTCAGCAGGCTTTAAGGCGAAAACAGCCAGGATCCGTATTGAGCGCGTTCTGTCAGAGTCGAGATTTCTCATCTACACCAACTGATACACAGTCAGGAGTTCACAGATGGTGTTTTATTTTGAAATACAGGATGACATAAGCAGTTTTTGTGCTTGACTTCCTGTCTGGAATGATCTTCTCTGTGTGGATTGGCACAAGACAGACACATAGACATATAAGCAGTAGATTGTGTCCTTCCAGAGGAGGAAATTTCGTGGCGGATTACAGACAGTGGTAATCACGAAAACTCACAATAACCTGCGTAATCATGTGCAATCGCGCGATAACGAGTTGTCTCTCTAAAGACAGACACATAGACATATAAGCAGTAGATTGTGTCCTTCCAGAGGAGGAAATCTACTTCTAGACTTCTAGAATCAGCATCTCCTCATCCATGGTGTCATCGGGGTGAAATGATGTCTAAAAACCTTTCACTTGTTCGTCACCTTTTAGTAGAAGTTCAGGATGAGGTTGAAATTGGGGGTAAACCTTGAGATGTTGTTTTAAACTGAGGATGCAGCATCTATGGTTTCCAGGTCTTCATTGAAAGGACAACTGGACTAACTTGGGACGTTTCGCCTAAAGGGAAACGTCCCAAGTTAGTCCAGTTGTCCTTTCCAAAAGAGTCTTACATTTTGATTTCGATCCGCAGAGGAACAGAAAGAAGTCGGTGTAAATTGACACGTTAACTTGAATGGTTACGATCAGCTACGATCGGAGGATACGACCTTTTAGGAGACGATCAGGATGTGGTGGAAATTGACGTGACGCGCTCAGTACGGATCCTGAGTGTTTTAGCCTTTAGAGTCCGGAGGAACCCGGTCGTCCATCAGGACCTCCAGCTCAGAGGAGGGTCTCTGTCTCTGACCTGGTCCTGCTCTGAGGGATGTAATGACCCAGAAACAGAGCCGGCCCAAACCTCATTGAGGCCCTCAGCAAACTTTGATTTTGGGGCTCCTCTATTTCTGCCAATAATATTGATTGTTGATCGCTCACAGCCTTCACAAATCGCTTTAACATTCCCTGACATACAAACAGACCTTCATCTTCAGAGGCCGACATCAGCAGCAGCGCTAAAATGTTGTTAGGGGTCCGCCCCCTACTAAGCGCTTCGTTCACTTATGTCTCGGGTCGGCTCTGCCCTAAAATGTTCACTTTGCAGACTGAGTGTCTCTGAACTCTGATCCGGACTCACAGTCTCCAGGTTGTTCTGGACTAAATCTGAGGTTCTGAGGTGATTCTGGCTCCACGACTGAAAGTTCGCTGTCCTCCTCCACGCTCTGACTCCACCCTCTTTAAAAAATCTTCCACCTCAGGGCTCCTCCTCCTCTTTTTAGTGATGCAAAACAAAACTCTTGTACTACCTGAGGCTGCAGCTGCTCTCTGCATGTGGTGCTGCGGATGGAGAAGGAGTTCGGTTCTGGTGGGCCGGGTGAGCGTGTTCGGAGCGCTCTGCTTGTGTGTGTAGGTGGAACCTGGACCTGACTCATCTCTCTGATGACATTTTACATAACAGAACAGCAGGACTCTCTCTCTCTCTCTGTCTCTCTCTCTCTCTCTCTCTCTCTTCTCTCTCTCTCTCTCTCTCTCTCTCTCTCTCTCTCTCTCTGGACCTTGAACGCATCACGTGTACCAGCCTTACAACGCTCCTCTCCAGGTGCTACAGTCAGACCCACACCTGCGTCACAGACTCACACTGACTCCAGAGAGATGGACCTTCTCCGTGTGTGTGTGTGTGTGTGTGTGTGTGTGTGTGTGTGTGTGTCACTGCGCAGGAATCGAACACACAGACAGCTGGACTGTGGGCGTGTTGGGATGTAAAGTGCACTTTGACTCCTCCCCCTTCTTCTTCTTCTTCTCCTGTACATAGATATTTTTTAAAGATGCCGCTGTCGTCTGCAGGTCTGTGCTGGTTCATCAACGTGTGTGTGTGTGAGCGTGTGTGTGTGTGAGTGTGTAAAGACCTACCAGTGCCACAAACAGGTCTCCCACTGCAGTCCTTCAAACGGACCCCCCGCCCTAGGGAGCGTCTGTTCCACCTCAGTCCCAAAAGATCACCAGGAGCTCCTCACCACGACGACGTCTGGACACCATCTGAGGCTGCGTGAAGAAAAGAGAGAAAAAAAACTCACTTTAATTAAAAAATATGGTGATAAAAAAATTCAAAATAATTAAATTTAAAAGTCCCTGAAATCAGATAAAATGATTTTAATGAGATAAAATGAGGAAAAATGAGGAAAAGAAAGTTTATAGAAGTTAAAAAAGACAAAAATCTGAATGATTAAAGAAAGACTTTTGAGATTAGAAATCAAATATTAAACAGAAGCTGTCGTAATTATCGTACAGAGTCAACACTTTGTCACAGCGTCTAGATAAAATTCACAATTATGAGCAAAAAGACTAAAAAAGGAGCTAAAAGTCAAAACTACAGGTCGCCTTCACACCTGACTGAGCGGACTCGGTTCGATTGTGGAGCTGAAAGTCGTTGTTGCATTTCTCACTTGTTTTGATTCTCCTTCTCCGAACTTTCCGAGCAGCATCACGTGGTTAAAGGGGCGCTCGTCGGTTGGACAAAGTAGGAGGAGTTTGTAACCTCACGGATTACAAACAGGGGTGGACTAGTCGTCTTGTATCCTGCTTCGTCACATTATTTTATGGAAGTTAGTGAATGAAACTGTTCCTATCATGCTATCGTAGCTTGTCAGGAATTGATCCTGTTATTTTTCTAACTTTGACGATCGAACACGTGACGACATATGAGCTCAGAGTTCAAGGACTGTGACTGTTGGGAGTTCTGATTTGATTTTGTTTAGATATGCCGAATTGTGAATTTATGGGTTATTGTACGCTGCATACGAACCGAACCAGAGTTCACTTACAAGCGAACCGAGACCCATGTTTTCAGGCGGACCAGGGTTCGGATGAGCTTTCACACCTGCCCAAATGAAGCGGACTATCCGAGGAAACGAACTCTGGTCCATTTAAAGCGAACCAAACAGCTCTGGTGTGAAAGCGACCTTAATGAGATTAAATTCAAGGATGTTAAAAACAATGAGATAATCCCCCGATGTATATGAGGTCAAAATGTCGAGAATCAAAAAGTCACAATCATTCGTTTAAGAGTTTTAATGACTTTGTTAAAGTCACACTAAGTAAAAAAGAAGAAAAACAGTCAAAACTATTTGGTAAAATTCACTATGAAAGGATTTAAAGACAAAAATCATGAGACGGGGTTTCTGTCAGGAGGAAAAGCTGCACTGATGAAATGAGAAATAACAAAAATGAGATAAAAAGATTTTAACATCAGAAATATGAAACCAAAAGTGACGGAAAAACATCATCAGAAGTCTGAATTATCCGATTAAAGTTTCAGTAAAATGAGAAAATATAAAAATGAGAAAGTAGATGTCTAACTTCACGGTCTTTACTCTGATTCTGCTCTAACACTGATTTTTAACTCTAATGACTGTTAATCCTGATTTTTATATCCGTTCAGTCGTTCCTCTTCGGTGTCGTCGGTGTGGATCAGTCTTCAGAGGATCCTGCTCAAACATTTCATCGCTCATCTGCTTAGTTCTTGTTTTTGTTTTTGCTGAAAGTCCTGAAAAAAAAGAGTCTTTGAACGCAGCGCACAGATATTTACGGAGCTCTTTTTTAGAGGAAAAACAATCATCATCCAGAAGCGCAGGTGACTTCCTGTCCGCGGGTCACCTTCACCGCTCTGTTTGGATGATAGAGCCCGTCTGTGTAGATGCCTCTGTGTACGGCTGCAGTGACCTGGACTCTTAGAAACGTGTCTTAAGACGAGTTTGTGCAATAGGAGGTCTGAGCTGCTTTAGTGCCTGATTTAACTTCAACACGTTTAAACTCAGAGGGAGCAAACATGGGGATGACATCTATGTCATCTGGATCTATGTAGTCTGGGTCAATGTCATCTGGAGCTATGTAGTCTGCATCTATGTATTCTGGATCTATGTAGTCTGAAGCTATAGAGTTTGGATCTAAGTAGTTGGGACATTTGTTTTCCTGATCTATGAAGTCTGGATCTATGAAGTCTGGACGTTTGGAGAGTTGGTCTATAAAGTTTAGATCTATGTAGTCGTAATGTTTGGAGTCTGGATCTATTTCATCTGGATCTATGTAGTTTTAGTCTATGTTGTCTGGACATTTAGAGTCTTGATCTATGTAGTCTAGATCTATGTAGTCTGAATGTTTGGAGTCTGGATCTATGTATTCTGGATCTATCTCATCTGGATCTATGTAGCCTTGATCTATGTAGTCTAGATCTGTGTAATCTAGATCTATGTAGCCTGGATCTATGTAGTCTGGATCAATGCTATCTGAATGTGCTGGGTCTGGATCTCTGTAATCTGGGTCTGTATCTTCTAGATGTTTGGAGTCTTAATCTATGTAGTCTATGTAGTCTGGATCTAGATTGTCTGGATGTTCACAGTATGGATCTATGTACTCTGGACGGTATTAGCATAGATCTATGTAGTCTATATATATATAGTCTGGATGTTTGGAATCTAGATCTCTGTAGCCTGGATCTATGTAATCTAGATCTTTGTAGTCTGGATGTTCCTAGTCTGGATCTATATAGTCTGGATCTATGTAGCCTGGATCTACAGGAGGATCTGGACTGCTCAGTCTCTGTATGAAGGTTTAATGTCGGAGCAGGTTCTGGTCTCAGAAGTCTAAAGTCTCCTTCTCTGGTCTCCTTCTCTGGTCTCCTCCTCGTCTCCTTCTTGTCTCCTTCTCTGTTCTTCTTCTCTGGTCTTCTTCTTTTGTCTCCTTCTCCTGTCTCCTTCTCATGTCTCCTTCTCTGGTCTCCCTCTCTTGTCTCCTTCTCTAGTCTCCTTCTTTTGTCTCCTTCTCTTGTCTCTCTTTCTCGTCTCCTTCTCTTGTCTCTCTTTCTCGTCTCCTTCTCTTGTCTCTCTTTCTTGTCTCCTTCTCACGTCTCCTTCTCTGGTCTCCCTCTCTGGTCTCCTTCTCTCGTCTCCTCCTCGTCTCCTTCTTGTCTCCTTCTCTGTTCTTCTTCTCTGGTCTCCTTCTCTGGTCTCCTTCTCTTGTCTCCCTCTCTTGTCTCCTTCTCTCGTCTCCTTGGCCTCCACACTCAGAGGTCGATGTTGTTCTTCCGTTTTTAAGCAGTCATGACGTGTTTAGATGTTTGTGGATCACAGGACGTGGATGAAACTCTTTGAGGAGTAAATCCGAAGGTCCGAGATGACCTTGACCCGCCTACATCAGAACAGAAACTTTAGTTTTGAAGGTCAAACCTGCAGAAATGAGGTGAAGATGACCTTGGAGTTTGACCTCTGAGAGCTGCTCCTCTCTGCTTCTCTTCATCCATCGCTTCTCCTTCTCCTCCTTCTTCCTCTTCTTCTTCTCTCTCGCCAAAGTCTGGTCAAAGTTCTATTTTATACTCTTTTCTATGAGTTCCTCGTGCCGATCTTTGTACCCTGCGCTGTTTAAAGGCTTTCTAACAATCATGGTTTGTATTTGCACATGAAGCTTCGCGCGCTCTTTAACCCTTTGTTTACATGTGATGGAACATTTCCGGGCCTTGAACCTGCATGAACAAGCACAGAACCAGAACTCTCTGAAACTACCAAAGGCTGTGTGGACCTGGACGCTCGGACTCCGATGTTTCTCCTTCTTTAGCTGATCTAAGTGTGAACTCTCTCCTCCTTTATTCCTGGACTTGTTTACAGGGAAGACTATCGTTTACAGACAGGAGTCCACCTGTGCTGGTACCGTGCTGTGATTCTGTGCTGATATAATCCAATCGATGTACTGTAGATGTAAGACAGAGCGTTATGTGCTTCAACCTCAATAAATCTAAAGAAAGTCAACCGAACGAGGAGACTCTTGGTCTTTAATTACTGAAGCTGTGAGCGTGAAGATGTTCTTGTTTTTTATTCTTACATGATTATTCTGAGGAGATAAAACTCTGAATTCTGAGTTTATGCTGCGTTCCAGTTACCTCGGAAGTCCGATGTCGGAGCTGGGAATAACTCTGCACCCGAGTTGACGGCGTTGTCGCTGCTTCAGTCCCGAAGACTCAAATTGTACGGTGCATGTGTGAAACATACGTCACTTCCTCTCCTGGCCACCTCTGCATCAGCTCAGCGATTCTTCGGCCCTCACGGTTCGTGAAGCTTCGACATTTGTTCGGCAGCTTCAGTATCGGAGTATTAACGGCGTTCTTCCCCCGACTTAGTCTACGTTCACACTGCAGGTTATGATGCACAATTCGGATATTTTGTTGAATCCGATCTTTTTGTGCGGTCGTTCACATCACAACAACAAATGAAGCATCTAATGTGAACAGAATGCGTTTGTGAAGTGACCCTCACAAAGCACAAATTTCTTTCTTTTGCCTGTTTGTGTCGTTGAACAATAGTGACTAAACTGAACGTCGGCTTCTTGTTAATAAATTTAATTTATAAAATAAATTAAATAATTTCCCCCTCGATACTTTGCCAAGTCGGGGTTGGCGAGGATTGTCCAACTTTCCGAGTCGGAAATCCGAACTTCAGAGGGGACTTCCAGACGAATTTCCAACTCAGAGCTCGGAAATTCCGACTTCTGAGTACAACTAGAATGCAGTATTTATCTCAGAATTCCGACTTAAATCTCAGAAGAAGAAAAAAATAATTTAATTGGAACGTTTTTTTGTTTTTTCCCAATCCTCTTCTGGGGTAATTCTAGAGTCCTGACTGAAGGAAGTTTCACTTTAATGTTATAAACTCCTCAGAGAAAGATTTCTTCTTCTTTTTCTTCATCAGATCAGAGTCAACAAAAATATTTGCTCCAGAGGAAGAGGCAGCGCCCCTCAGACCTGCTGTGTTCACTCCCTCTGAACTGAAAACAAAGTCGTTTCCATGTTACATAACGTTTCTGAAATCTCATCCAGGTTGGCTCCACAACTGAGCGTCAGTCTAAAAAAAGCAGCAGCTACCAGAAAAGAAGAAGAAGAAGAAGAGCTGCTGTCTCTGCACGAGTTTATCATCTCAGAGGGTTTCAGAAAGACCAAATCCTTTATTTATTTATTTATCTCAAACTTTAAGAACAACAAAAAAAAGAAACTAGAAATAAAATCACCAAAGAAAATAAAACATCTGTACAACAAACAACTTTAAATGTCAAAGATAAATTTACACACATATGTTTGTCAAAAATAAACTGTCTGAGATAAGATCATATTCAAAAAGTAAAAATACAGATCCTCCTCTTTTATTAATAACCTGATTGATCCCCAGATTAACGATCAGACAAATCAATAATTGACACATCAGCTCTGAAAACACGATCAAAACGCTCGTTAAACAGTCCGATTCAAAAAGATCTTTGATAATTAGAAGCTGCTGCTCAGTCTGGTTTAGATCTGAACCTCTTAAAGGGATATTCCGGCGTATTAATTAATTTCTTTATCATTTCCTTGAAGTAATAATCACCATATTGATCATTTTACAGACACGGTAGTTCTTCTGTCTTAGCGTCTCGGTCTGATTGTATTTCCACGAAGAAATGATCATAAATGTTCTTCCTTGAGCTGCGGCACCCCGCTGTAGTCTGTAATGGACTGGCCTGAGGTCTCTCTACAAACAAGCGTCTGCTGGAAGAGAGTAGGTGAGTTGTGTTTAGTCTCTTTGCTAAAGAAATGAGTCAAAGTTAAAAAGATGTTTGGTGTCTAGTACTATGTCTGTGACCCTATATGTCCTGTTGATGAAGTTAGGTGCTGTTCTGAACATTATTTGTGGCTATAGAGTGGCGTTTTGGTTGAGGGCGTGGCTCTCTGTATTTCTATCCTGCGGTCGTTACTAAAGTTGGTATAACTAGAGAAGCAAGCGGTCGACAACATTCATCTCTGGAGGGGGGGTCTAACTCTAACTCTAACTTAATTTTATGACAGAATATCCCTTTAAGCTCCAGTCTGAGCGACTGGTCCAAAACAGGAACCAGGAACCAGAGCCAACAGTGATTATTTGGTTCTTCTTCCTTTTTCCGGAGTCCCACATCTGGTCCACATTTTAATCAGAGAACCAGGATTTAGATTCCTTTGTTGTTAAAAACCTGATCATGGTTTTCTGTCCTCAGTCCAAAGACTGTAAAGTCCGTGTATGTCCTCCTCTCTGCTCTGCTGGTTCAGTCCCTCTCTAGATCTTCTCTTGATCCTGAGGGAAAGTCTGGGTATCCAGGAACCTTCAACCTAAAGGGACATTCAGGAACTTGTTGACTCGGTAAAGTCACGGCGGTCAAACGTTCCTCTCTGACCTTCACGTCAGTTTTCTTCAGGTTGTTCATCAAAGTTCCGGAGGTTGTCCTGGAACAGCTGAACCTGCAGGGCTCTCAGAGCCGCCATAGGATCTTTAAGGGGAGGATCCTGCTGGGAGGACATTTTGGAGATGTAGCCCTGGTCTGATCCGCTGCTCTGACCCTTTTCTCTGGACTCCAGGACCTCCTCCACCACCTCCACGGGCTGAAGGTAGCTGATCTCAGCCGGAGGTAAGTGTTCGCTCTGATAGCTGTGATGTGAGGACTCTGGGAAGTTTGAGTCCAAAGAGTTCTGATGGACCACGCTCCTCTGGTCCCACTGTGAAGAGGTTTGGCTCACAGGTAGGAGGGAGTCCTCCTCGTCCTCCTCTGTGGGGATCTGACCCGAGGGTCCAACATGGACCGAAGGCCAGTTCTGTCTCGGAGGAGGTGGCACGTTGACAACAGGCTCAGAAACGTAGACAGGTTCTGGATTGGGTATGTGAGGATACACGTGATCTGTCAACACCTGAGCCAGGCCTGATGGGTACTGGTCGGCCTCATGGTCCAGGATTGGGGACACTTGTACCACAGAGGAGAACTGGCTCTCTGGGTTCAGTTCTGGTGTGACGACGTGGACACTGAGGTCCCTGTCCTTGATTTCCACATCATGAACTAAGACAGGCGGTCCTTCCCTGATCAGGGGGACACACTGAAGGACTGGCGGGATCTGCATGTGTTCAACAAGGTTCTCAGTCTCAGATGTGACCTGCTCCTCAAAGTCCACACACTCCTTCTCAAACCAGTCCGGGTTTTCCAGCTGGTAGGCCTGGAAGGTTTCGATGGCGCCCTTGAGAGCGTTGCCTGAGGGACAGTTGAAGTACTCGTCCCCGCTGATCCCCTCAATCTGTCTGACCTGACCCGGCTGGTACTTCTCCACGTCCAGGATGCGGAAGTAGAGCTCCTCAAAGTGCTTCATGAGCTTGTACTTCACTGCCAGGTCAAAAACCGAAGGGACGTGGTCTTTGCTGCAGATCTCATCGAAATACGCCACCATGTACTTCCCCATCATCCCCGCCTGGTGCATGTCGGGCAGGAAGAGGTTGAGGAAAGGCGTGAGCATGTCGTCAGTCGGAGAAAGAACGTCTTCCCTCAGTAAGACCCGACCCTGACCGCACATGGCCCTCCACTTGGCCTGGACCCCCGGCGAGCACAGGACCAGGATTTTGTCTGAAGGGTTTTTCATCTGTTGGCGCTGCCACTCCAGCCAGCGAAGGCGGCCCACCATGCCAACCGAGGTGGTATCCAGCAGGTCCACCAGCACCTTGGTGCCGCACTTAGCCTGGAGGAAGGCGCAGAGCTTCAGTACGACGTCCCTGTAGAGGCGGTGGTCCTGGGAGTAGATGACCAGAACTTTAGGAGGCTGTTTGATCAGCGGAAGTTTCTCGGGTCCTAAAGGAGGCGGAGCATCTTCAGTCCGGCCTGAGAGAGCAGAAGAAGACAAGAAGGACGGTTACTTTAGGTCAGACTCAGTACCTTTACAAACGGGTCTTTAAGGTGAGTGACCTAGAGACCAAACCCGCGCTTCAGTGTTTCTGGGACTCACCTGGTTTTCTGCAGAGGAAGTACAGAACAGCGACCGCCACCACACACATGACCACGGCGCCCAGAGAGACAAACATGTACGGAGGGGCGACTGGTGGGGCGTCTGTTGGAGCATCTGTCTCTGTGGAAACCAGAACAGATTTCAGAAGATGAGAATGTTTCTGAAAATGAGAAACTTCAGGTGGGGGGGGGGCGACTCTTCATACTTGCACAGATGTTCACGGTCCTCCTGTGACGAGTGCAGTCCCAACCACAGGGTTTGAACCGAGGTATGACCTGCAAAAGACAGGGATCAGGTGAACTGTTTTATCACGGGGAGGGCGGGGGTGAGAAAGGACCGTTCCTCAGATTTACCTCGGCGTCAAACTGACAGCAGGACAGCGGCCATTTATCCAGACTGAACGTCACGTTCAGGGTTGTCCGGTTCGCCTGAGGAGTCACAGATTTCACAGTTTAAAGGGATATTCCGGCGTAAAATTAATTTAGGGTCAAACACACCGTAACACCGAGTTAGACCCCCCCTCCAGAGATGAATGTTGTCGACCGCTTGCTTCTCTAGTTATACCAACTTTAGTAACGACCGCAGGATAGAAATACAGAGAGCCACGCCCTCAACCAAAACGCCACTCTATAGCCACAAATAATGCTCAGAACAGCACCTAACTTCATAGCGAGACCTCAGGCCAGTCCATTACGGACTACAGCGGGGTGCTGCAGCTCAAGGAAGAACATTTATGATCATTTCTTTATCATTTCCTTTAAGTAATAATCACCATATTGATCATTTTACAGACGCGGTAGTTCTTCTGTCTTAGCGTCTCGGTCTGATTGTATTTCCATGAAGAAATGATCATAAATGTTCTTCCTTGAGCTGCGGCACCCCGCTGTAGTCCGTAATGGACTGGCCTGAGGTCTCACTACAAACAAGCGTCTGCTGGAAGAGAGTAGGTGAGTTGTGTTTAGTCTCTTTGCTAAAGAAATGAGTCAAAGTTAAAAGATGTTTGGTGTCTAGTACTATGTCTGTGACCCTATATGTCCTGTTGATGAAGTTAGGTGCTGTTCTGAGCATTATTTGTGGCTATAGAGTGGCGTTTTGGTTGGGGGCGTGTCTCTCTGTATTACTATCCTGCGGTCGTTACTAAAGTTGGTATAACTAGAGAAGCAAACGGTCGACAACATTCATCTCTGGAGGGGGGGTCTAACTCGGTGTTACGGTGGGTTTTACATTAAATATCCCTTTAATGAGGAAAATGATTATTATCATGTTTGAATAACAAACATCTGAGTCTCTCTGCAGCAGCGCTGTGTCTGTAAAGATGTCCTCAATAGTGTCTGACTGAGGAGGAAAGGTAAACGCAGCTCAGCAGCGTCTCTGAAACAGACTGAAAGTGGGCTAAAAACTAGGCTGAGGCGGCAAACAGGAAGTTTGAACCATCAGCCGAATGTGGGTCAGCTCGCTGAAGAGGAAACTGCAGGTCTCTGCTGGAGCTTTAAAGTCCATCTGAGGGGTTTTTACCCGGTGGACCTGCTCCTTTTGGTTGGTGGTGGAGCAGCGGACCCTGACGGTGTACTCTTCAGAGAGGATGTCAGGACTGAAGCTGACGGACAGACGTGATCCTCCTCCAACAGACACCTGAGACACACTGATGTTGGACTGCCACAGACTACCTGCAGGTGACACACACACACAAACACACACACACACACACACACACACACACACACACACACACACACACACACACACACACACAGAGGTAAAACTGTTAGTAATGATTTACAGGATTCAGTCTCCGGACTCTGGAGCGTAAATCTCTCACCTCTCTCCACACAGAACTGGGTCATCTTCATCCTGGAGTCTTCACAACCTGGAAAACCAGATCCAGAGAGTTTAAGTCAGCAGAGGACACAAATCCAGACCCGCAGCCCAGCAGGACTGGTGAACACAACCAGAACAGTCAATTACTGTACCGACCCAAACACAATATCAAGAAAAAGTACGTGAACCTTTTCGGATCACTCGGATTTCTGCATAAATTGGGCGTAAAATGTGTTTCTGATCTTCATCTACAGTAGATCACAACAGATAGACGAACACATTCTGTTCAAACTTATACTGCACAAAAATTACATGTTTTTATTTCTTATTGAACACCACATGTGAACATTCACAGTGGAGGGTGGAAAAACTGTGTGAACCTCTACAGTAATAATAATAATAATAATAATAATAATAATTTTATTTATATAGCACCTTTAAAAACAGAAGTTTACAAAGTGCTTAGACAACAGTTGTAAGCACAGAGCATCAGCACATTGAAAATAAAAACACATAAAAACAAAAGCTCAGTTAAAAACAGGCCTCTGAATTGTAGGCCTGTTTCACTTTTCGTAAGAAACCCAGGCAATACAAGAACCCTACAAAATAAATGAGACCATGAGGACCAAAATAAAAGCAAAAAAAGAAATAGAAAAGGAGGGAAGAAAACAGGCTAGTAAGTATAAAAGAGGATATTAATAATAATAATAATAAAATCATAATAAAATAAAATGATGGTAATATAAATGATAAAGTGGAATTAAATATATATATATAAAATAAAGGAAAATGAAAACATTAAAATCAATAAAAAGATTATAAGTAAAACAAAGGCTAAAAAGGCAGTAAGTCTAAATAAGAAAGAGGTGAAAGAGGTAAAAGAAAAAGGAGAAAAATAAAAGCGGTAAAAGGCAATAAAAGATGAAAGATGGCATCACATAAAGGCAAGTCTGTAAAAGTGAGTTTTTAAAATTGACTTAAAAGAAGCGACTGTCTCTGCACGCCTTATCTCCTCTGGCAAGTCGTTCCAAAGTCGAGGAGCTCTGATGGAGAAAGCTCTATCACCTTTAGTCTTGAGCCTCGACTTTGGAACGACCAGGAGGCCTTCGCCAGAGGATCTGTAATAACTTCTCCAAGAGCTAATGGGAGCCTGGAGTCAGCCGACCCAGAGTCCATCAGTCTGGTGAGACTGCAGGTGTTGGTTAAAGCTCCCTGCCCGATAAAAAAACACACACACCAGTTTTAAGTCAACTGTCCTCAAGAAGCATTACCTGACGTGAACCATGCTTCCTGCAAAAGAGTTCTCAGAAGATCTACGATCAAGAATTGTTGACTTACATGAAGCAGGAAAGGGTTAAAAAAGTCGCTCTAAAAGCCTCGATGGTCATGTGTCTACGGTCAGACAGATTATCTACAAATGGAGGAAGTTCAGCTCTGTTGATTCTCTCCCTAGAATCCTAGAGTGTCAGTTTAGACTTGTAAAACTCTCTGACACACGCCAACGTTTTTGTTGATAAATCTTCAGTAAAACATTAAACAAGACTGGAGTTCATGGGAGGACGCCTCGGAGGAAGTCAAAGAAAAACATTTCTGCATGTTTGAAGTTTGTAAAAAAGCTCCTGGATTTTCCACAGCACTACTGTGGACGGATGAAACCAAGATTGAGTTGTTTGGAAGGAACACACAACTCACACGTCAAAAACTCATCCTAACTGTGAAATACGGTGGAGGGGGAATCATGGTTCTGGACGGATTAAAGTCGTCAACGGAAAAATGAATTCCCAAGTTTATCAGAACATTTTACAGGAAAACTTAAGACCATCTGTCCACCAACCGAAGCTCAGCAGAGGACGGGTGACGTGACAGGACAACAACGACCTAAAGCATCGAAGTAACTCAACGACAGCATTCGGCTTAAACTGGAGAAAATCTGTCCTCTGGAGCGGCCCGGTCAGAGTCCCGACCTCAACCCGACTGAGATGCTGTGGCGTGAGCTCAAGAGAGCGATTCACAGCAGACATCCCAAGAATGTTCCTGAAACAGTTTAGTGAAGAGGAAGTGTCGTTGTGCAGGTCTGATCTGCAACTACAGGAAACGTTTGGTTAAAGTTATCGCCGCCAAAGGAAGGTCGACCACGAATTAAATCCACAGGTTCACATACTGTTTCCACTCTGCTCTGTGAATGTTTGGGACTGAGTCATTTAGGGGTCGACACAGTCTGGTCTGATCAACGAAGCTCCACCCCTGTTATTATTTATGATCTATACTGCAGCCCGTCACCAGGGGTCGCTGTTCTCGCGGAGGCTTCACCCAGCGAGGAGGCAGAGGACGCCCGATCTGTCTACAGTCTGTGGTTCTGAACTAAACCAGGTCTCTGCTGGTCCTGGACTCACCGGGGACGCTGAGGTCTTGGCTGACGTCGTAGCTGCTGTGTTTTAACTCCGGTTTGGGGATGTTAAAGACCGAGACTCTGTAGGTTTCTCCAGGATCCAAGACCAGCATGTCTGCGAAGAACGTCCACTGAGACGCAGAGAGAGGGTTTACCTTCGTCAGAGTCTCAGGTGAGGCTTTTATTTTGAAATCAAACCTGTTTAACTTCCTGTCCTCTCACCTGTTCATGTGTCAGACTCCTCATGCCCAGAGTTTCCCTCAGGATGAACCGAACGCAGCGGTTCTCATTGGTCGACATCACCAGGACGTGGAGCTCTGTGGCGTTCAGGTGACTGATACCTCCTGCACAGACGCACAGGTGAGCTCACTTCCTGTTTTTACAACAGAGGATGGTTTTACACACACACACACACACACACACACACACACACTCACCGTCGTCTTTTATCTTCCACTCAGCCAACAGAACCGGCTGCAGGTGACCCTCGTCATCATTCCTCGTCTCCACGGAAACCCTCAGGTGCTCCGGAGCGCTTGGTGTGTATTTATACTTATTCAACCAGCCGTTGTCCATACAGTTAGCTGTAACACACACACACACACACACACACTCATTATTGAAGCATTGATTGATTGATTGAATTAAATAGTTCAGACTTTCAGAGTATGTGAGTTTATTTTTGTAGAGGATCAAACTTTTATTGTGAAAGGACATGATGAGGTTAAAGAGGATCAAACTTTTATTGTGAAAGGACATGATGAGGTTAAAGAGGATCAAACTTTTATTGTGAAAGGACATGATGAGGTTAAAGAGGATCAAACTTTTATTGTGAAAGGACATAATGAGGTTAAAGAGGATCAAACTTTTATTGTGAAAGGACATGATGAGGTTAAAGAGGATCAAACTTTTATTGTGAAAGGACATGATGAGGTTAAAGAGGATCAAACTTTTATTGTGAAAGGACATGATGAGGTTAAAGAGGATCAAACTTTTATTGTGAAAGGACATGATGAGGTTAAAGAGGATCGAACTTTTATTGTGAAAGGACATGATGAGGTTAAAGAGGATCAAACTTTTATTGTGAAAGGACATGATGAGGTTAAAGAGGATAATGGTTACTCACTCTTTTCAGCGGTGCACTTCAAACCCTGAAACAAAGAAGACAGAAAAACAACAGGATCAGACTAAAGAGACTCATTAAATCTCAGATCTGGGTCTCTGATCCGCCTCGTCCTTTGCAGAATCCCTCGTTTTATAAGGAAACTCGTATTTATCTGAAAATGCCGAAATCATCCGTCTCTGCTCTGAGTCTCAGTCGAAACATCAAGTTCACCTTTCGTTAAAGTTCATTTTCCCCCTTAAATTATAACTTCCCTCACACATACTGAATAATTCCTGTATATTTATTGGTAGATGATTATTTTTAGCTGTAGGAGTGTGTGTGTTCCTGATCGCCAACATCGTTTATAACTCATATCGCTCTTTTTTAAATGGTGGTTAGTGGCTGTAATGATGTTTAATAGTTGTTGCTCCAGACCTCAGCACAGTCTTGGAAGTCTGATTAGGGAACAGAGATGAAGAGTGTGAAGTGATTTCTTCGTTTATTATTGTAATGCTTCTTCAAACGTTGATTTGTTCATGTTTGATATGTGATTTCTAAGTGATTCTGTCGTCTATGGTTACCTCCCAAAACTTTAATTTCATGAACTCTTTCTATCGTAACTCCCTCTAATTTTATTTGTCTCTTAATTTTTGTCAGATTCCTGATCAGCTGCAAACTAAAGTCAGATTTAGTGTTTAAAAAGAGAAGCCTTCATCATCTTCATCATCATCATCATCACCGTCAGCAGACTGTAGGACTGAAAAAAAGCTTCAAACTCACAAACAGGAAACTCTCACAGGATGTGTCTGAGACGGTATCACAGTTTTCCACTTAATACTTCAGAGTTTGGCCAAATGACAAAAGAGTTAAAGAGTTCAGATAAAACCGAGCCGCTGAGTTCAAACGTCATTTCTGAACCAGTTTGGACCAAGATGAGAGTGAAGATGAGAAAAGACGAGCTGATTTTAACAAAGACTGACCAGGAAAGATCATTTCAGAGTGTTTGTGTGAAACTGTGAGGACTTTAAAAAACTTTACAGGACATTAAACTACAAAAACAAAACTACCAAACAACAAAAACAACAAAAACAAACTACCAAACAACAAGAACAACAACTCTAAAACAAACTACCAAACAACAAAAACAACAACTACAGAAACAAACTACAAAAACAACAAGAACAACAACAAACTACAAAAAACAACAAGAACAACAACTACAGAAACAAACTACCAAACAACAAGAACAACAACTACAAAAACAAACTACAAAAAACAACAAGAACAAAAAGAACAAAAACAAACTACAAAAAACAACAAGAACAACAACTACAGAAACAAACTACAAAAAACAACAAGAACAACAACTACAGAAACAAACTACCAAACAACAAGAACAACAACTACAAAAACAAACTACCAAACAAGAACAACAAAAACAACAACTCCAAAAACAAACTACCAAACAAGAACAACAAAAACAACAACTCCAAAAACAAACTACCAAACAACAAAAACAACAACTACAAAAACAAACTACCAAACAACAACAAAAACAACAACTACAAAAACAAACTACTAAACAACAAAAACAACAGCTCCAGAAACCTTTACTTCTTTTTATCTGTTCAGTTTTATTTTGTGTCAAACTGAATTTAAAGTTAAATTTTCGTAGTTTGTAGTAAAGAATAAAGACACAGGTATTGTATAGACTTAGGTAGTTAGTTTATGAATTTGAATAAAGAAACAGGTAGTTAATAGTAAAAAATAGACACAGGTAGTTTATAACTGAGAATTAAGACACAGGTATTGTATAGACTTAGGTAGTTTATGAATAAGAATAAAGAAACAGGTAGTTTATAATAAAGAGTAAAGATACAGGTAGTTTATAGACTCAGGTAGTTTATGAAGTTGAATCAAAAGCCTCTTCCTTGACTCTCACGCCCTTCTAACCGGTAACAACAGTAAATATGTCAGAAATGTTTCTCTCCTCTCAGGTTCGGACTGCGGGATCATTGTGACGCAGAAATACCTGTTCGCCTCGCGCTCAGGTAAGACTCGAGGTGGCTCTTACCTGTCGGGAGCAGCTGTCCGGGGGCCACGAGGACACCCTGAAAGAGACGGACACGGACACGCACAGCAGCGCCAAGAATAACCGAAGAAGAAGAAGAAGAGGATGAGGAAGATGAAGAGGAGACATGTTGTAGAAGTTTGTTCTTCATCAGAGAGTCAGAGTCAGACTGAAGCTCAAACACGAACAAACTTCCTGATCTGTATTTTAATCACCTGTTTTTACTGGAACAGACGTCAGGGTGCGTTCACGGACACGCGGAAATCACAGCAGCGACGAACACACCCGGAACTCCGCGGTCATTAACACTCACTGAGATACTCACCGTGCGTGAAACCTGGGGCTGTAGAAAAATGTTTAAACCTTTAAACATTTCTGAGTTCAAACAGGATCAATCATGTAGTTCAGGATTAATAACTGATCAGTTTACAGCTGGAAAGCCAATAAATGGATTTTAAATAAATAAACTTCCTTTAACTGATTTTTAAAAATTCAATCATTATTTGTTTTCTTTGTATTCTATATGATTTATGTGATTATGAAACTGTATGTGCTGACAGTCTTTGTCAGGTAACCAGGAAAAACCTGGTTAGATAAAGGTTATAATAATAATAATGATAAAAATAATAATAATAATAATAATGATGATGATAATAATAATAATAATAATAATAATAAGGATAGTGATGATATAATCATAATAATGATAATGACAATAATAATTTTAAAATTAATAATAATAATAATAACAATAATAATGATAGTGATGATGATGATGATTATAATAATAATAATTTAGAATCTAACAATTTTATTAATAGAAATAATATAATAACAATAATAATGATTATACAAATAATAATGATGATGATGATGATGATGATGATGATGATGATAATAATAATAATATAATAATAACAATAATAATAATAATAACATTTTTTTTTTTACATATTTTTTATTATAACGCTTATAAACCTGTAATTACTGTTACTTTCAGACTTATTTTGAGTGATCTTTTGACACAAAAAATTATATTTTAAGAATATTGTTCAGAAAAGCGGATCAATAGAGACTTTGTGAACTTTTGAGACACAAATGTTGGAGTTTGAAAATTAAATAAAGTTTCAGAAGGTGAGATAAAACTCAACATTTACATCTTATTAACTGACTGTGAGGATTTATCATCCAGATACTAAAACATAAAGATAAAATCTGGAAAACAAGATTAAAAAACGTCTGATTTTTCATAATAAATCAGGCAGAGAGAGTTTGAGAGTTTGTCCTGCAGAGCCTGAACTCAGCACAGAGGTGATCAGGTCAGTGAGACTCTGAGAGGGAAGTTAGAGGGACAGATTTTCCCCCCCGTGGAGCTCAGACATGTTTGTCATATTTTTCATGTGGGAGGACTGAAAGGTTAGTTTATCAGCGTCACTCTGACTCACATTAAAACGCCGTCCGCCCACTGAGCAGGAGAGAAACTAACCTGGAGAGGAGGAGGAGGAGGAGGAACTAACCCAGGGAGGAGGAGGAGGAGGAGAGAAACTAACCAGAGAGGAGGAGGTGGACAGGTCGGAGTCTTTTACTGTGTCACCACCAGGGGGCGCAGAAGGGCCTCACTGCAGCAGAGGAGGACACAAAATACGAGCTCCTTTCTCTCAGAAAATTTCTCGGGGGGTCTGCGGGGCAGCTTAGTAACTTTAAATAGATGACAGACATCTACCTTCAGGTATAAATGAAGTCACCTGAACCTAAACCTGAACCTAAACCTGAGGAACCTAAACCTGAGTCTAAACCTGGGCTTGGAGCTGTCTGAGATCAGACCTGCTCTAACTGAGGATCCAAACACAAACTTTTTATTAAAGCAGGTGGAGTCAAAGTGCTAAAAACAGGAAAGCTGGACCAGTGCAGTGAAAGTTCTGGTTGGGTGTGTAGAAGCTGAAGATCGTCTGTTTTTTATTGAAATATGTCTGAAAAATTAATTCTGCATCTGACTTGCAGCCGGAGAAGAACGACAGAGAGAGTGGTCTTCTTTTTCTTCGATATCTTTTACTTACAACAGAGGCAGGAATCCAGATTTTTACACATCCTTCATGCCGTCAAGAAACAGACACCCCCGCCCGCTAACATCACCTCACAAGTGACATGACATTACAACAGTTTCCAAACAGGGTCCAGGTTCTAGCTGTGGTCTGTTCTGGGAGAACAAAGACAGGTCAGTTCATCATCAGGTTCCTGATTATCAGTTCAGTGTCACACTGTTGGGAAAACAACCTGTGAGTGGAATTACAGCGCTCATCTAGGTGTCTCATCTCCAAGGCCATGCTTCATCACGCCGAGTGATTTTCAGTAAATGATGATTAACACACGTATATAATGATAAAATACATGTGTGATAGCATACAGATTCAATTCTTCTTTCAAAATACTTCAAACTCACTGACTTCACCTAATGCCCTGAAAAAGGTGATCCAAAGAGCTCTGACCAATGAGAGTCCTCTTCAATCAGTAAAGACGACAAGATTTCAATGAGACTCTATATTTCTGCTTTTCTACGATGATCTGTCATTAACTTTAGCCTCAAACTCTCTAAAGTCAGAGACTCTGAACCTGAAACCTCTGCTGTTATTTCAGTCTCTCTGTTACACAACAGAAGAGAGACATTAATCAGTGTTTACTCTCATATCTGCAGAGAGGACGGAAACTTCCTTTAATAGACCAGCTGACGTCCATCAGACACACACACACACACACACACACACGCACACGCACACACACACAGAGTCTAAAATGAACCTGAAACACTCAAAGAAACACTTTGATTGGATAAACTCTCTCACATACAGGAAACAGAGCGAGCTCCAGATCCTAAAACAGAGTGAATGTTGCGTACTGAAGCTTTAAAGATGGAGGGATGATTCTGGACGTGTTTTGGTTTGGAGGTTATAAAGTCACACGTTTGTTTCTGCAGCCTGTCTGAGTTTGATGGAGCTCAGGCTCTGCAGAAAAGTGTGTTTTTAATGTCAACCTGCAGCAGTGAGGATGAAACCTGTGAATTATTATAATTATACAGTATGAATTCATGTTATCACTACATTTATCTTTGTTCTCTTTCATTACAGTGAAAATAAACGAGTGTTCCTGTCAGTCCAGCTCAGTCTGAGTCCTCCTCCTCCTCATCATCGCTGCAGATCTGAGCTCATTAATGACCCCCCAGCATCATGGAGGACCGGGTGGACGTGCTGCAGATCCTCATGAACTACAGTAAATCTCTGTTCATTTGAATTCACTGTATTTAATGATGAAGAGTCTCTACTAAAGCTGTTGTTTCTCAGTTGGAGGTCTGAATCTGACTTTTCCATCCTTACATGGAGAGAGAGAGCGAGCGAGCAGCAGATCCTCCCTGACACTGAGCAGACTCATCACTGAGACGTCTATAAACATGTTTCTGTCAGGATGCTGCTGTCAGATCGACTCTCTCTGATAAGGACGATAATCGTCTGAATAAACAGCAGAGATAAAGTGACGGACGCTCCTCTTTCTTTTCTTAGCTCGGCTCAGAACGGACAAACAGCTGACCGATGAGCCTCCGTTTGCCGCCTCTCCTCTGTCTTTGGACGCAGATTTAAAGGTGAAAAGAGTTCATTTTGGATTTCCCTTAAAGGATTTTCTGACGGGAAATAAATATAAAATCTCTCCAAGTAGATTTATGAAAACCAGACAGTGCAGAGAGAGACCAGAATGACTAAAGTCACAGCAACAGCAAAAACTGATTTAGGCAGCATGATAATGGTGTATCCTACAATAACCTACAGTAACCTACATATCCTACAATAACCTACAGTAACCTACAAATCCTACAGTATCTAACTGTATCCTAAAGAAACCTACAGTATCCTACAGTAACCTACAGTAACCTACATATCCTACAGTATCCATCAGTGACTGTTAGTATCCTACTGCAGTATCTCACAGTATTTTACAGTATCCTACAGTAACCTACATATCCTACAGTATCCATCAGTGACTGTTAGTATCCTACTGCAGTATCTCACTGTATTTTACAGTATCCTACAGTAACCTACATATCCTATGGTATCCTACTTATGCTGAAGTATCTGACTGTATCCTACAGTAACCTACAGTAGTTTACTGTATCCCAAGTATCCTACAATAACCTACTGTAACTTACAGTATTTAACTGTATTTAATAATATCCTACAGTAACCTACAGTATCCTACATATACAACAGTATCCTTCAGTATACAACATATCCTACAGTATCTTACTGTATTCAACAGTACCCTTCAGTGACCTACAGCATCTAACTGTATCCTACATATCCTACAGTAACTAATAGTATTCTACATAGTCTACAGTATCTTCTTGTATCCTAGGTGTCCTACAGTAACCAACAGTATCTAACAGTATCCTACACTATTTTACTGTGTTCTTAGTGTCCTTCAGTAACCTACATTAACCTACATATCCTACAGTATCTTACTGTATTCTACAGTACCCTACATATCCTACAGTAACCTACAGTATCCTACATTTCCTATTGTATTCCACATAGTCTACAGTATCTTCTTGTATCGTAGGTGTCCTACAGTAACCAACAGTATCTAACAGTATCCTACACTATATTACTGTGTTCTAAGTGTCCTACAGTATCGACAGTAGGTCACTGTATCTTTAGTGTCCTAAAGTAACCTACACTATTTTAATGTATTCTAAATGTCCTACAGTAACCTACAGTAGTTTACTGCATCCTAGGTGTCCTACAATAACCAACAATATTCTAAGTATCCAATGTATTCTACAATAACCTACACTATTTTGCTGTTTTCTACATTAACCTACAGTAGTTTACTGTAACCTACAGTGTCCTACTGTATGCTTCTGTATAACCTTAAAGAAGAGTCGGGGTCGTTCTGATGTTTTTGGTCGTCATCACACAGATTTTTATCCATCAGGTGGTTTTAGAAAAGTTCAGGTTATCAAACACACATGAACTCCAGCTCACCTGTTCGCTCTTTAAAACACCTTCAGGCTGAAGAACATCTGCAGGTCACCAAGAAAAACTCAGACTTTAGTTTCTCCATCACGGACATAATTTTGATCTTTTTTAAACTCTTAAACTGATAATAATCAGATTATCTGACATCGTTTATTTATGTGATTAACTGACTGTATCCTCAGATTTAATGACAGCATGTTTTAATCTTGTCAGCTTCATTAGTGACTAAAAAACCTGCATGTTACTTTAAAATCACTCAGTTTTGTGCTGTGGTACAGATGCTGTCTTTCATACCTGTTGTGTAACATATTCTCCTCTTTGATTGACAGGTCTGACTCTAAATGTAAAGCTCATGGTTCATATATTATCCCTCATGAATGCTCAAGTTTCCCCTGCAGCGGTTTCTGCCGAAAGACTCAAATCCTTCAGGAAATCTGTCCTCAGAGGACGAAGCTGATCCTGAATGAACAGGATCCTGCAGCTCTGCTCCTCTCTTCAGTCTGTGTGTTTACAGCTGGAGGAAACATGGAGACTATCAGACCTTCTTATATAAGAGCAGGAGCTTCAAACAGACCAGAGAGAGGGGCTTCAGAGACTTTACAGGATCGCTGTTTCAAGACCGTGGCTCACACACTGTCCTGACATAAACAGCTCAAAATTTAACCTGAAAAAATAAAGATTTTATTTTTGTTTTAGACGACGATCAAAAATTTAACGGTGACAGCTTCAATCTAACATCAGCGAATTTCTAATAAACAAGTAAAGAAACACAGTCGATGAAACATAAAGAGAGCAGAGTCTCTGAGTTTAAAGGTCTGAATATTAACCAAGAGCAAAATAATTAAATCACTGAATTAAAGGGATATTCTGGTGTAAAATTAAGTTAGTAACACCGAGTTAGACCCCCCCTCCAGAGATGAATGTTGCCGACCTAGTTATACCAACTTTAGTAACTTTAGTGTTTAGTAGACTAAACACAACTCACCTACTCTCTTCCAGCAGACGCTTGTTTGTAATGAGACCTCAGGCCAGACTACAGCGGGGTGCCGCAGCTCAAGGAAGAACATTTACGATCATTTCTTTATCATTTCCTTGAAGTAATAATCACCTTATTAATCATTTTACAGACGTGGTAGTTCTTCTGTCTTAGCGTCTCGGTCTGATTGTATTTCCATAAAGAAATGATCATAAATGTTCTTCCTTGAGCTGCGGCACCCCGCTATAGTCGATAGACTCGCCTGGAGGTCTCCGTACAAACAAGCGGCTGCTGGAAGAGAGTAGTACTGTTACAGTAGAAATAGTACTAGTAGTAGTACGCCCTATATGTCCTGTTGATGAAGTTAGGTGCTGTTCTGAGCATTATTTGTGGTTATAGAGTGGCGTTTTGGTGGCGGTCGACAACATTCATCTTTAGAGGGGGGTCTGACTCAGTGTTACGTGTGTTTGACCCTAAATTAATTTTACACCAGAATATCCCTTTAAGGTCTCATCAATATCAGCTGACGTCGTTGTTTTTCTCCTAGAAACGCCTCCTACTCTGACATCCCACCCCCCCACCCAACGCCAGACCTCCCTCAGAGTCTCGAGCCTCCGCGCAGACAGCTGAGAGCAGAGGACCCAGACTCAGAACAGATCTCAGGACATGGTCTCTGCTGGACCGGTTTTTCACTGAGACCTGATCTGATCTTGAGAGGAGATGAACGACATCAAGATCTCAGTTCTGGGCAGCGAGGGGGTCGGAAAGTCAGGTAGGAGGAAATACAGAGGAGGACAGAGGAGGTTAAAGTGAGCGGACTTCACCTGTTAACCTGTGTGTGTGTGTGTGTGTGTGTGTGTGTGTGTGTGTGTGTGTGTGTGTGTGTGTGTGTCTCTGCAGCTCTCATCGTCCGCTTCCTCACCAGGAGGTTTATCGGAGAGTACGCGTCATCTTCAGGTAAAACTCTCAGAATTATCCCTTTAATACCTTTAATATCATATTTGATTCAAACTTTTATAAACTGATATCAAATCAATATGATCAATATGATACTATAAAAACACCTAAAAAACAACAACTCACATTTAGTGATAAAGTTCTAACCTTTCAAAACAAAACCTGTTTAATGTCATATTTAAGAGTGTAAAAAAACAGCATCTAGTGATAAAGTTCTGTCCTTTCAAAATAAAACCTGTTATTTAAGAGTGTAAAAAAACAGCATCTAGTGATAAAGTTCTGTCCTTTCAAAATAAAACCTGTGTAATTTGATATTTAAGAGTGTAACAAACAGCATCCAGTGATAAAGTTCTGACCTTTCAAAATAAAACCTGTTATTTAAGAGTGTAAAAAACAGCATCTAGTGATAAAGTTCTGTCCTTTCAAAATAAAACCTGTGTAATTTGATATTTAAGAGTGTAACAAACAGCTTTTGTGTATAAAGTTCTGACCTTTCAAAATAAAACCTGTTAAATAAGAGCGTAACAAACAGCATCTATTGATAAAGTTCTGTCCTTTCAAAATAAAACCCTGTTTAATGTGATGTTTGACCTTTCAAAATAAAACCTGTTTAATGTTAAAGTTCTGTCCTTTCAAAAGAAAACCTGTTTAATGTGATGTTTGAGCTTTCAAAATAAAACTTGTTTAATTTGATATTTGACCTTTCAAAATAAAACCTGTTCAATGTTCTCTGCAGTAAAATATTTGCATCAAACATCTTTATCTTCCCGATGATTTCTGTCGGAGCTGCTCAGGGAAACGTCTGATATCTGAGTGCAGCTGGTTTCTGAGCATGCTCACTGAGGGTCCGGTGTTATTTCAGACGTGCAGCCTGTACCTGTGCTGCAGGTTAATCTGTGATGGAGGTTAAATCATCTCTGTTTAGAGGATAATAATCCAGTTTAATCTGAGCTGGTCTGTGTTCACACTCTCACTGAGACTGAGGGAGACGACGGCGTGTTCTCAGTGAGACACATGAACAACAGCTCAGTCCTGTTTACATTTTCAGCTCAGGACGACGCTCTTCATGAGCAGGAACTTTCTAAAAAAAAAGTGTCCATCACTAAGTTTTGTCCTCCGTCCTCCTTTAGAGTGTATCTACAGGAAACGTGTGTCAGTGGAGGGCCGGCAGGTGAACCTGGAGCTCCATGACCCCTGCTCTCAGGTCAGTCATCCAGCCGTTTATGATCACCGATATATGAGACATAAGAATAATAACTTTTTACAGGTACGTCCAACAAAAGTGTCTGAAAAAACACTTCCTGGTCTGTAGAGGACTAGACAAGACCACAATGTCTGCTGGGACCCAAGACAAAAACTTCCTTACTGGAGCTTTAATTCAAAAATAAAAATGAATGCACGAATAGTCGTTAAATAATTGAACAAAACTAAAACTCTATCTTCTTGTGATTTTCTTTGGTCTGAGTTACCGTCATGCAGCTCTGTGTCTCACTCATTTATTAAAAACTGATAAAACTTCGTCTCTTCTGACCCGGATCTGGATATTAAAGTTTGATTCATGTCTCATCTGTTAACATTGAGGAGGCGGGGCTTATGACTTATACTGCAGACAGTCAGCAGGGGGAGCTGCAGGTGTTTTGGCCTAACTGTTGGTCTGTGAATCGGTTCTGTACGTCAGCTGATCGATGACCGAGCGAATCAAAGTTTTTCCTGATTGTCATTAAATCTTTCTTCTGTTTCTCAGCCCTGTGAGGGTCAATCCACGTTAAACGATCAGATCCTGTGGGCTGACGGTTTCATCGTGGTCTACGACATCAGCGACTACGCCTCCTTCATCACCGCTAAAGCCGTAGTTCACCTGATCAGAGAGATCCACCTGGGCGCGGCGAAAAGGTAAAAACGCGATACGTCAGGTGATGTCATGACCATGATGGGTTCACCCTGAACCCTGAGGAACGTCTCGGGTTAGATCAGACACCCGAGACACAAAGGTTCCTACAGAAGGAGCAGATCTAGGATCTTAAAGTCTAGACCTGAACATAGACTGTGTATTTAGTAACACCCCGACTCTGTGACCCTCAGGGACGGGGACTCTCTGGTCTTCCTGGTCGGGAACAAACAGGATCTGTGTCACATGAGGGAGGTCAGGCGTGAGGAGGCTCAGCGTCTGGCCGCCGAGTCTCGCTGTCACTTCTACGAACTGTCCGCCGCCGAACAACACCAGGAGGTGGTGCTCATCTTCTCCAAGATGGTGCAGAACGCCAGTCTGGGCGGCAAAGCCAAAGAGCGCCGCAGACGCCCCAGCGGGTCCAAGTCCGTGGTCAAACTGATCAACAACGTGTTTGGGAAGAGGAGGAAGTCAGTGTAGAGACTCAGGGTCAAAGGTCAGAGGCCAAGGACCAACCAGAGGACTGAAAGAGGTCACCGCCATCTGCTTCACCTGCTCTGTAACGTCTGAGTTTAAAAGTTCTGGATCTGGTTTAGAACTGATTCTGGATCTGGTTTTAATCTTAGATTAAAGAGGGATGAACTGGTTTAATCTGGAGGGACTAAAGTGGATCGACCTTCAGGTTTTTCTGTGAGTCTTTATTACAGTTTCCTCGATGTTTCGTCTGTTCTGTATTAAAGTTTGATCTGTTTCAAATGTGAGTTTGATCAGATCAGATCGACTTTATTGATCCTTTTGATCATCTGGATAAACTGTCCCTCAGACTCAGACAGAGTTTACTGATGGACGCTGAGAAAGACAACGGCCTCTTAAATAAACGGTCGACTCTGGTCTACTTTCGTCATCCTTGAGTATTATAAAATCTCATATTATAGAATGATAAAAAATATTATGGTAGAGTCTGATAATAATGTCAGTATAGTATGAAAAAAAATCACAGTTAACTGTGATAAAAATATAGTATGATAAAAATGTTATAGTGTAGAATGATAAAAATATCCTGGTCTAGTGGTATGAAATGTCGTAGTGTAGAAGTTAAAAATGTCATGGTATCGTATGATAAAAGTTTTATTGTTGAGATGGTCATGTGCAGTGGTCTCCTGGTACGTCTGTCTGTCTTTGGTCACAGGGACCGACTCCCCCTAGTGGTGGTCAGTATTGTTGATCTTCCCCTGCAGTTCCCCTTCCCCAGGCAGAGCGTTTCCTGTTTGCTGACTGGCCTCACATGTACAGAGAGGAATAAAGATGCGGTTTCTCAGCTGTTTTCCTCTCTCTCCCCGAGGACTGTGAACCTCAAACACTCGTTTTGTTCGGTCTGTGTTTATGTTTAAAATAAATGGCAAGTTTGCTGCAAAACCTACTGTGTGGACTTCCCTTTCTTGTTGTGGCCAAAACCACCTGGACATAAAATAGAATAGTATGATAAAAAAAAAAAAAACAAAAAAAAAAACATATATATATATATATATATATATATTGTATAGCATGATAACAAACAATAGTACAGGATAATATAAATGTCATAATTTTAAAATATTTGGGTGAAAAAAATCCTATTTTATTATTAAAAAAATGCCATAGTATAGAACGTTCAAAATGTCATATTTTATTCAGAAAAAGAAAGTCATAGTATAGAATGATAAAAATGTCATAGTATATAGTATGATAAAAATTTCAAAATTTTGGGTGATAAAAAAAAACAGTTTTTTTTGGAGTGAAAAAAAAAAGGCATAGTATAGTATGTTAAAAAAACTACATGTTTGAGTGTGAAAAAAATGCCATAATTTAATATGTTCAAAATTTCATATTTAAGTCTGAAAAATTATTCATATTTTTGTCATAGTATTGCATGATACAAATGTTATAGTATAATATGTTCAAAATTGCCTTTTTTTAGGTGATAAAAATTCATGTTTTGGAATGAAAAAAAATGTCATCATTAAGTATGGTAAAAATCTCAGATTTTTGGGTGAAAAAAATAAAAAAATAAAAAATAAAAATACTAAAAATATTTTATGCAAATGAATGTCATAGTATAGTATTATAAAAAATGTCACAGTATAAAATGTTAAAAATTTCAAATTTTTGTGTGAAAAGAATTCATATGTCATTGTGAAAAAAATGCCATAGTATAGTATGTTCAAAATTTCATATTTAAGTCGAAAAAGAATTTTCATATTTTAGTACCAAAATGAATGTCATAGTATATAGTATGATAAAAATGTCATAGTATAGTATGATAAAATAATCTCAAATTTTGTGTAAAAAAAAATCAATATTTTGGTTTGAGAGAAATGTCATAGTATAGTTGATTAAAATTTCATATTTTAGTGTGAAAAAATTATATTTTGGTTTTAAAAAATGACAAAGTATAATATGATAGAAACGTCATTGTATACTGTGTTCAAAATTTCCTTTTTTTAGGTGATAAAAAATTCATGTTTTGGAATAAAAAAAAGCCAAAGTTAATTATAGTAAAAATCTCAAATTTTTGGGTGAAAGAAAAAATTCATTTTTTGATATGAAAAACAATGTCATAGTATAGTATGTTCAAAAAATCAACTGTTTCAGTGTGAAAAAAAAAATCGTATTTGGGTATTAAAAAAAATGCCATAGTTTGGTATGTCAAAAATTAAAATTTTTTATGTGAAAAAAAAATCATATTTCATGAAAACAGATGTCATAGTATAGTATGATAAGAATGTCATAGTAAAGTATGTTCAAAATTTCATATTTAAGTCAGAAAACTTTTTTCATTTTTTTGTTTGAAAACAGTATAGTATGTAGATGTCATAGTATAGTATGATAAAAAATGTCATGGTATAGTATGTTCAAAATTTCATATTTAAGTCGAAAAAAAATCATATTTTAGCATGAAAATAAAGGTTACAATATAGTTTGATACAAATATCAAAGTATAGTATGTTAAAAATTTCTTATTTTAATTGAAAACAAACAAACATATTTTGGTATGAAAATAAATTTCATAGCATAGTATGATAAAAATGTCATAGTAAAGTATGTTTAAAATTTCATATTTAAGTCAGAAAAGAATTTTCATATTTTAGCTTGAAAATAAACGTCATAGTATAGTTTGATAAAAATGTCATAGTATAGTATGACAAAAATGTCATCGTATGGTTTGATAAAAATGTCATAGTAAAGTATGTTCAATATTTTATATTTTAGTCAGAATTTTTTTTTCCTTTTTTTAGTATGAAAATCATAGTATAGAATGTACAAAATTTCAAAGTATAGTTGGAAAAAAATGTCCATATTACAGTATGAAAATAAATGCCATAGTGTAGTATGATAAAAATGTCATAGTACAGTATGTTCAAAATTTCATATTTTAGTTGAAAAAGAATTTTCATATTTTAGCATGAAAATAAACGTCATAGTATAGTATGATACAAGTGTCAAAGTATAGTATGTTCAAAATTTAACATTTTTGTTGGGAAAAAAAAATCATATTTTAATATGAAAATGAATGTCATAGTATAGTATGCTAAATAATTGTCATAGTATAGTATGATACAAGTTACATATTTTTTTGTGTAAAAAAAAACATATTTTATTAAAAAAAGTATAGTATGATCAAAGTTTTATATTTAAGTCAGAAAAAAAAAAAATCGTATTTTGGTATGAAAATATATGTCATAGTATAGTATGATAAAATGTCAGAGTGTAGTATGTTCAAAATTTCATATTTTTGTCATGTTTCTTTTGTTTCTCTAAAAATCTTGAAGTTAAATAAACCATAAAAACTTTGAATCTACAGAATCTGTGTTAAAAAAAAAGGAACACAAACTTTTAAAAAGGTTTATTTTGAATTTTTATTGTTTTCATCCCATGATTTTTTTCAATGAGAGTCAGAGAACAAAATAAATTGAAGCAAAGAAACGATAAATATGAACTTGGAGGTAAAAATATCTGAAACATGCTGCAAAATAAAACTGATAATAAAGATGATTAACAGATAAAATTAAAGGATCATTAACGACTGATCAGAGAACATCATCAAACATGTTCATTCACATTAATTAAACAGAAACCTGTCCCAGAGTTTCAAAGCTTTGATTACTGATTGATTATCAATAAATCAGACTTCAAATTTAAGAGAAATAAAAACAGGTTAATTTAAACTCAGCTGGTTTAGTCTGTCTGTCGGTGAAGAGTGAGAATCAAAATAATGACCACCATTAAGTAAACCTGAATAAAAAATAATAATAATTTCAATTATTTTTGATCTTAAAAAAAATTAAAAATAAAACTAATTTATTAAAAATGACAGAATTCAGGAGCGTGTGTGAACGGACTCTGTCTACAGACTCTGACATGAGAAGTTTATCAAAATAATTCGTCTTTTTTTATGAAGTAACGGGCCGATTCTCTTCAGAAACACCAAAAATAAATCTGTTTGAATTTATCTCAGTGACTGTGAGCTTCTTCCTCTTTTACTGTAAAATCAACCGTGACTTTAAAAAAGACGATCAAACAATAAAGAATATTAAAATAAATTCAAACAGACAGACCATCTAAAATAAAACCCTGAGTTTACAAAGACTCCTGTATTTATCGGTTTATTGAATATTGGTCATTAATACGTGTTTATAACTGTAATATCATTATAATCTGACATGTCTGCTCGATGTTAAAGAGAATAAAACAGTAAATTTATTCTCTCAAATCTGATCAAAGTTTAAAACAGATGTCTGACTCTCCCATATCTGTAACTCTCAGTGAGACGGTGAGCAGGACGTCCAGAGGAGAGTCTCCTCCTGCTTCAGTGTTAGTCAGTAGTTAGTACAGATCTCAGCAGCAGCAGCAGCTCTAAGTTAGTCTGGAGATATTTGGTGTTTGCAGAAAGTTTAAATAGAGTTTATATAAAGTTTCTCGTATTGCACATGAAGAGCAGAAGCTGCTGTCGGTAATAAACGTGTTTTTAAAGGCACAGACGTGACGCTGCAGGGGGGTCCTGTTTGGTTCACAGACGGTCTGAAGTCAAACTCTCAGACGGACCAGAAGGAGAGGAGGACCAGGAGGATCTTAGGAGTCTGCAGAGGAGGACGAGGAGGATCTTAGGAGTCTGCAGAGGAGGACGAGGAGTGGGTCCATCAGAGGATGACACAGCTGGAGGAGGACGTCTCCACACTGTTGAGACAGAGACAAAGGCGTCCTCTTTTAGATCTTTTCAGGAGTCTAATTTCTCCATCAGTTTCTCACCTGCACACACACACACACACACACACACACACACACACACACACACACACACACACACACACACACACACACACACACACACACAGTCTGTCTCTGTGATTAAACTGATCCATTGAACCCTCTCACCTGTGCTCAGCAGTGTCAGACGGCTTCATCCTCTTGGGGGCGCTGCTCCCCCACTCTGCGGATGTCTGAGCGCGCTCAGTGCTCTCAGGGTTCACCTGAAGAGAGCGAGTAAAGAGGTCATGTGGATCAGTTTTATAGAGAGGACAGGTTGAAGGATGAAGAGCTCTGATTCAGAAACAGCCTGACGACGATAACGACACTTTAGTTGAACTAAATCTGATCAAACTGGTTCAACTCTGAGCTCAAACTAAAGAAGAGATAGAGAGTGTGTGTGTGTGTGTGTGTGTGTCTGTGTGTGTGTGTCACACCATGTTCCTCTTCCTGTTGGTGTGTGTGTTGTCTCTCTCTCTCTCAGACTGCAGAGGTTTCCTCCTCAGATCGTCTCTCAGATAATCTTCACTTTGATTCTGCAGCTTCCTGCAAAAAAAAAAAAAAACACAAACGTAAAAACAGGTAAAAAAAAAAACAGACGAACAACCGAACAGGTCGACAGTTTTAACGCTAAAAAAAAAAAAAAAGAGCTTTAGGAACATCTCCGACAGGTTAGTCACATGACCGGGTCGGAAACTCTCCTGAGGTCTGAGGAATCAAAATCTGATATTCTATGTTGAAAGGACAACTGAAGTAAGTCCAGTTGTCCTTTCAACGTAGAACTGGAAGTCATAGATGCTGCATCCTCAGTTTTAAACAATATCTCCAGATCTAGGAGGAACATCTGCGTCCATCCAGACAAAGACTCTTTCAGACAAAGACCTTCATATGATCCCAAACCACATTCTGACAACAGCATGTCTCTGTAGGAGAAGAGTCCTGATGATGAAAATGAGAAACTGAGAGAGAGAAAACTTTCTGTAAGTGACGTGAAAAACAAAGACAAGAGTGTGTGTGTTAATGTGTGAGTGTGTAAGTGTGTGTGTGAGTGTAAGTGTGAGAGTGTGTGTGTGTGTCTGTGTGTGTGTTTCTATCAGAATCATGAATCTGATGTGACGTCAGAAAATCATCTATTTTTGATCATGACTCAGAGCTACATCAGCCTGCAGTGTGAGTGTGTCTTTGTTAAATCAATAATTCAGCCCTGTGTGTGTGTGTGTGTGTGTGTGTGTGTGTGTGTGTGTGTGTGTGTGTGTGTGTGTGAACCCTCTCCTCAGTGGTGTGAGTGGTGCTGACCCCTGCTCCTCTCCTCGCTCCTCCTCACAGATAATTACACTCCCCAGAGTCTGCAGCCGTCAGCCTGAAGCCCCCACATCACACACACACACACACACACACACACACACACACACACACACACACACACACACACACCCCTCCTCTGCAGGGTGGTCTGCCTCCTCTCTGACATGGTGATAAACTAATTAGCCTGTCCGGGCACAGCGGGGTCGGGGCCCTCAGCAGGTCTGACCCGGACCCTCCTCTGGGGGGACTGAGGGGGTCTTTGGGGGGTTGGGGGTCAGTGCTGAGAGACTCTGAGGGTCTGGAGAGTCTGAGGGTTTGTGTCCTCCTCTGACCACGGTCACCAACAAACTTCTTCATCTGTCTGGATCCTCACAGAGTTTAACGAGTGTGTGTGTGTGTGTGTGTGTGTGTGTGTGTGTGTGTGTGTGTGTGTGTGTGTGTGTGTGTGTCTGTCCTCACCTGACAGCAGAGCTCAGACTCTGGTACCAGTCGTTCAGGTCCTCCTGGTTGTTGGACATCAGCAGCAGTTTGGTTTTAGGGAAGGTCAGCTGGAGAGGAAGAGGAGGGAGAGAGGAAGGTTACTACAGGTCAGTGTGTGTGAGAACAGGTGAGTTACTACAGGTAAGAGTGTGTGTTATTACAGGTGTGTTTAACTATAGGTTTGTCTTACTATAGGTGTGCGCTATCATAGCTGTGTGTTACTACAGGTGTGTGTTTTTACACGTGTGTGTTATTACAGGTGTGTGTATTTAACAGTCGTGTCTTTTTAAGGCTCAGTCTGTTTTCTGAAGCAGCATCATGAAGGTGTAGAAGGTCCTCAGACAGGTGAGCAGGTTCAGGTAAATCAGTGAGTCTTTAAGGTTGGAGCTGTAAAGTTCCCTCAGTCAGATTCAAACTTTACTCTTATATTTATTTGACATTGTTATTATTTTTTCATTAAAGTATTTTTCTACTTTCACTCTGATATAATTTTGACCCACCGCAGGCTGACCCGGCTCAGAGTTCAGGTTTGATGACCTGATGAAGAATTATCTGAACTCTGCTTTAAAAATCTGAAACTTCTCATTAAAAAATGTAAAAAATAAAACCGTTAGAAAACAGTTTACATCACTGAGGGGGTTTGACTCAGAGTGACTGGAGCTGAAAAATTGATTAAAATAAAATAAAAATAAATAAAAGCTCTTTAAGGTCAGCTGTGCTCCCAAAGAAACTTATTTAATTTTTTTTTTTAAATTCTAAAAACAGACTGTGTTCATTTTCTTTCTTTTTTATTGTTTTTATTAAGACTTAAGACTCAGAGTTAATCTGTATTTTTGTCTCTGTTTTTAGTTCAAATGTGTGAATAAAGGACAGGTCTGAATAAAATCATGTAAAACCACACCTGTATGAACACACCTGAAATAAAATCATTTTTTCACAACATAAAAACTTCAGATAAACCTGAGGGTGAAGATAAAGTGATTATTAAATAGATTATTATAATAATAATCAATAGTCAGTTTAAATCAATAAAATCTGTTTTTTATTTCCACACAGGAGGACGCCGTCTTTCAGCGCCGTGTTTGTCCTCGTGGTCGACTGATATCAGGTTATTAGAGGCCGATGTTGATATGATAACAGGAGAGCAGGCTCATGTTTATATATTTATATCTATATATTGATTATATTACATAGATTTTTCTGCATTTGACAAATTAATAATTTCTTTTCCAACATCTTTTCTGTCTTCTGTGCTGTTTTTCCTTCACATGTTCTGTCTGATTTAATTACAGTAACACAACAATAAAGGACTAAATAAGTTTATCCAACATCTTTTTGAACAAAGTATGATTCTCTTTGTTGCTACAGAGCTGTCTCTTTAATTGTTTTTCTGCCAAAGCGCACTGTAGATTGAGTTTATTTTGTTTTTTCTTTTAACCTGTTTGAATAAATAAATAAATAAACTAACGAGGAGAGAATATTTTACTGAGATCCTTCAGAGACAGGACTCTGCTCAGTATCAGCGCAGGAGATAAAAACTGGAGTTCATCTCAGATCTGACCTCCTCATGTTTCTGTTTCTTTACTCTGAACTTTTAAAAATCAGTAAATGTTGAAAAATAAGTTTATTCTCCGGTCGGTTTGGATAAAAACAGCCTCTGAGGTGTTTCCAGGTTTAAGCTGGGTCTGGGTCTGATCCTCCGGTCCTCGTCTTTGTTCGGCTCTGACTGAATGAACCGAACCTGCAGTGACTCTCAGAGAACAGTAGAGGGCAGACTTTATCAAGCAGAGACGACTCGTCTCCGTCAGCCGCACTAAAATAGACTTCTGTTTCTGCAGTCAGACATTCATCAGAGTCTGAAGAAACTCTGATTCATGAGCCGAGAGACAAATCAGCTCGAATCTACATGAAGCTTCATTTATCAGGGCTGAACCTACAGAAACAGCAGCACCAGAACCGGGCCAGAACAACACACACACACACACAGGCGGAGTGAGGAGGGGATCAGAGCGAGCATCCATCAGCTGCATCCACCTGAACAACGTACAGCTGATCAAACATCACGGCCTCCTCCTGAACAGATGAAGACTTAATGTGGTCTCATCAGGAGCATTATCTCATTACCCGGTTCAGAGCTGGCTCCTCACGCGGCGGGGACAGCGCCTCATTTATGCACAAATAGATTCCTCTTGTGTTGCCGCGCGGTAATTAGGGATTTGTCAGGAAATCTGACCCTCTTAGGTAGAAATTACTTTGTATAATAAGAGCGGCAGAGCACGGAGCCTCATAATTTAGCTGGATTATTTATACATCAAAGGGAGCGTGTCAGGGATGTGCACGGGAGAGAGTCGGAGCGGCGAGGGAAGAGGCGGTTAGACTGCAGAGCCGTGAGAGGAAGAGGAAGAGGAGGAAAGGCTCTCCACAAACACGTGTGACGGAGAAGAAGAGGAGAAACAAACAGCAGAAATTTTAATAACAGACATTCTTGCTGCTAACTTTGCATATAGATTGGCCTGGCATTTACAGCTGTCAAATTTAATTTGGCTTTAATTCTTCATTGGCGGGATGAGCCGGGCCCCGGAGTGCTGACAGCCCTTTTCCTGCGCTCAGGTAGGGGCCCGGGATCAATAATGTGTCCTTATGAGAAATTACGTGTAATGCTATTGAGTATGCAGCGGGGCCTCGGCGGGATAAGAGGCTAATGAAATGCCATTTCTGCCATTAGATAAGGCGCGGCGGGCTGCGGGGAGGGCGACAGGCGTGAGGAAGATGTATTTAGTGGAGGGCCGGAGGAGACGGATCTGCAGCCTAATCTGATCCAGCAGCTGAGAGATTCTGTTACAGCGGGCGGCCATCACTGCTCTGCACACATAATACAGCCAGCAGTAATCTGCACATCAGGAGGCTTTTCATTAAGGAGCAGGAGGAGGAGGAGGAGGAGGAGGAGGAGGAGGCGCTTTAATTCACAGCAGAGAGGAGGCCGACACACACACACACACACACAGACTGATGTAGCAGCTCACCTGAGACCAACCTCTCACTGCCTCACCTGTCCTCAGCCTGCAGACAGGTATCTACAGTCTGTTCATAAAATCCTTTATATAATGTTTATAAAAGGAGTCGAAGGAAATCAGAGAATCTCTGAAACTCTGCCTCTGCACAGAAACCCAGACATTAATATAACAATAACAATAATATAACAATAATAATAATAATAATAATAATGATAATAATAATGGAGAAACTGCTGACAATAATAAAAATATTATAAAAATAATAATAGTTATTATTATTATAAAAATATATAAATGACAATAATAATAATAATAAAAATAAAAATAATAATAAATTATTATGATTATTATTATTATCATCATTATTATGAGGTTTGTTTAAAAAAAATTAAAAAGTATTAGTATTATATACACACACACAAATATATATATATATATATATATATATATATATATATATATATATATATGTATGTATATATATACGGTCAAATAAAAACTCCTGTTCTGGATTAACTTGCTTGTCTATTAAGATCTTAATCATAAGTTACTTTATTATTTTCATTATTAATATAATTATCAGTAAATTACTGTTTTACTGTAACTGTATTTCAGATCATGTTTCACTGTAAAGGAGACCAGCTCCTCCTGTTTTTACTCATAAACTGTGTTTCTGTGTGGTTCTGTCATTTCCAACACTAAATCTAAGATAAACACCTGAGCAGGTAAACCGAGCCGTATGTTTACAGTATACTACCGTCCAAACTTACAGGCTGTTCAGGTGCATTTAAATAGAAGTCTTTATAATAGTTTCTGAGCTTTGAACTGTTTGTAGTTGTTTTCTTCTTCATTTTGAGGATGAGAGGCGTTCACAGAGGTGATAAAAACATCAGTTTAGATAAACTCGATTAATAAACTGATGAGTGAAAGTCTCTTTTTCAGGAGGACAGAGTCGGTGATTTAGGATCATGAAAACAGGGTCAGACTGTTTGGATGTTAGACTTTAGACTCCAACTCAGAGCGTATGTGAACGAGTGAATCTGTGGAAACTGTCAAACAACACGAACATGAACAGAACTGAGTGAACGAGTGAGTTTAGACTCCTGACGGGGATTTCTCTTTATTGTATTTGTGTTTCAGTTTATTGGCCGTCTCGTCCTCAGCTGATTCAGTACTCACTCTCTCTCTCTCTCTCTCTCCCTCCCTCGCTCGCTCTCTCTCTCTCCCTCTCTCTCTGGACTCTAACAGGTAGGTGACACACCTCTGACATCAGACTATCAAAGAGCTTTTCGGCGCCGCTGTCACTTTAACCACGAGTCTGAAAAACATTGTGGACTCTCTGAGTTCTGTCTTCGTCCTGTTTGACTGTCAGAAATCTTCACACGCCGCCGTCACTTTGGACAGACGGCGCCGTGAACACTTAGCAGTGTATGAGACAGTAATGAGAGCTGCTCGCCGCCGCTGCGCGTCACATGAACGGCTCCACATAAAGGCTGTTTGCTGCTGAAATGAATCCTGATACCACGCAGCATCCGCCGCTAAACACTTCTGCAGAAACGCTTTGAGTCCTCAGCCAATGAGGCGCGACCAGCTGCTCTGAATGTTTGATGACAGACGCTTCATCATTCAGACGCCAAGTGTCAGCCGGCAGCTGTACTGAGGCCCGCAGACGGAGAGGACGAGGACCAATCAGAGTTCAGGATCTTTAAGACTGACACAACCGGGAGAGGAGAGGAGAGGTGAGGAGAGGAGAGGAGAGGAGAGGAGAGGAGAGGAGAGGAGAGGAGAGGAGAGGAGAGGAGAGGAGAGGAGAGGAGAGGAGAGAGGAAGAGAGGAAAGGAGAGGAGAGGAGAGGAGAGGAGAGGAGAGAGGAAGAGAGGAGGAGGAGAGGAGAGGAGAGGAGAGGAGAGGAGAGGAGGAGAGGAGAGAGGAGAGAAGAGGAGAGGAGAGAGGAAGAGAGGAAAGGAGAGGAGAGGAGAGAGGAAGAGAGGAAAGGAAAGGAGAGGAGAGGAGAGGAGAGAGGAAGAGAGGAAAGGAGAGGAGAGGTAAGGAGAGGAGGAGAGTGGAAAGGAGAGAAGGAGGAGAGGAGAGGAGAGGAAGAGGAGAGGAGAGGAGAGAGGAAGGGAGGAAAGGAAAGGAAAGGAGAGGAGAGGTAAGGAGAGGAGGAGAGAGGAAAGGAAAGGAGAGGAGAGGAGAGAAGGAGAGAGGAGAGGAGAGGTAAGGAGAGGAGGAGAGAGGAAAGGAGAGAAGGAGAGAGAAGGAGGAGAGGAGAGGAGAGGAGAGGAGGGAAGGAGAGAGGAGAGAAAAGGTGAGGAGAGGAGAGAAGGAGAGGAGAGAATAGTAAGAGGAATGAAAAGAAGAGAGGAGGAAAGGAAAGGAGAGAAGTGGGGAGGAGAGAAGAAGACAGGAGAGGAGAGAAGTGGTGAGGAGAAGTAGAAAGGAGAGAAGTGAAGAGGAGAGGAAGTGGTGAGGAGACGGGAGAGAGGAGAGGACAGGAGAGGAGAAGAAAAGGGGAAGATGATGAAGAGAAGGCGAGCAGAGGAGAGGAGAGGAGAGGGAAGGGAAGAGGAGAGGAGAAAGAGGAGGAAAGGAAGGGAGAGGAAAGGAAGAGAGGAGGAAGAGGAGAAGAGACAAGAGGAGAGGAAGGGGAGAAAGTGGAGAGTTGGAGGGGAGAGAAGAAGAGAAAGAGGAGAAAAGAGGAGGAGCTCCTGATCCTGATCATCAGCACAAACATACTTGCTCTTTTCTCGCCGTGATCTGACCTCCAGGATGTGACCTCTGATGCTCTGTTAAAGTGCCCCCCCCCCCTTGACCCCTGACCCCTCTGCAGTTTTACAGTAAACCCTGTGACCCCCCCTCAGCTGGTTCTCCTCTGACCCCCCTGAGCTGGTTTTCGGTCTCTTACACTGAGCAGGCCTCCCTGGCTCCTGGTGTGTCCGAACACCTTCTCCACGCTGCACTCCTGCAGAGGGTAGGCGTGCTGGCCGGCGAACTTGTCCCCGTTGGTGGGATGCAGCGGGCTGCAGCGTTTGGCCTGCAGCAGCATGTCGGAGAACAGGAAGAACATCTTGGGTTTGGCCTCTTTCCCTTTATGAGGAACGACCTTCAGCCAACCTTCACGGAGGAACCAGCGCCCTGAGACAACGAAAAAAAAACTCTGATTAAAGACGGGACACCAGATCACCATCACAGGAGGATCTAGAAACACACTCTAGGTTATGTTGCAGGTATATTTAAAGTCATGGTTGACGATTGTAGAGATTGGTAATGATTATGAACCTCGTTTCCATGGCGATCACGGTCCTATAGTTTGATCTCCACAAAGTGAAGAGAAAAAAGAACGAAAAAAATCTCTTCATCCTAGCAGGTGCAGGGCTGCAAAAACATTGACCAATGGGAGCCATCCGTCCTGGATGCGATATTTTTTTTGTAGGATAGTGGTGGAAAGTCCCGCCTCCTTCGCCTCTGATTGGCTAGAAGAGCTGGAAACGTCATCACACGCTCAAGCCAAAGACGGGCTGTCGGCTCTGAACATCGAACAGAACATTATCGTAATTCTGAGTCTCCTAACCCGACAGACGACGACGTTTCACAGCCACGAGGAATAACCAATCAGAGCCCAGCAGTTCTAGCCAATCAGATGCGAAGGGAGGGCAGGAGCTTTCCCTACCATCCTACAAAAAAAAAAAAAAATTGCGTCCCAGACAGCTCCTATTGGTCAATCTCCTGCTCCGCCCCTCCATCCAATCACCTCGCTGTATTCGACACACCCCTCCCACTCTCCCGGCCCTCCTCGGCGCTCCTAGCGGCTTAAAGTAGCGTAGCAGCTTAGCTACAGGAGCTGACGACTTCTGCTCTCCCCACCGCCAAAAGTGGGACAGAAGAAAGGGCGGAGTCGAAGAGGAAATGTGACCAAGCGAGGAATCTAACGTAAATAACCATCGGGTCATCCTTGGAGCGGTGGAGAAAGCTCCGCCCTCAGGTCATTTTTATCTCCTTTTATCGTGGCTCATGTTACATAAATAACTCTGATTAGTCTCTGACATGTCAACACGGTAGCTGTCCAGGCAGCTGCAGACGGCGCTCGCTAGCAGAGCTGGCGTTTACTGCCGCTAGTCACTAACAATCCGACACGGTGGATCCTGTTTGAAGCTAGCGTAGGATCTTCTGTCGGAGGGGGCGTGTCGTGGGGAGGGGGATACAGGTTCAGGGGGGAGGGGTTTGTGTGTGTGTGGGTGGGACGCTTTTTTCAAATCTGCCAAAACGGCTTCATTTTTTTCAACTGCTTCTCAGATCGTCAACCCGGACTTTAACAGCCTGTTTCAGATACAGACACAGGATCAGCTCTAAATCCGGTTACAGAGTCTCCTGAAGACCTCAGACCTGAGTACCTCCCATGAGCAGACCCAGAGTGACCACAGAGCAGGTTTAATCAGGTTTAATCCTGACGCTCTGCGGGGCAAAACAGAGTGAAATCCTGACGCTAACGAATCTGAAGGAAAACGACGGGGAGAAAACGGTGGGAGGCAGACGTGTCGGGGTGTGGCGTTCTTCTTCCTCTGAGGACGCTCTCATCTTTGCCTCCATGATTGGCAGCAGCGTGATGATAGCTAATAAGCAGCAGGCTGACATTTGGATAGATAAGATGAAAATTCAGCCCGGGCGCAGGGTGCTTTGTAATTGGCCGGGCCGGTCGCCTGTGATTGCGGCGAGTCTGAGCGTCCAGAGCCGTGCCTCTGGGGCCCGCAGAGGACGTTTCCAGTCGCCGACCAGCCCGCCGAGATTAAGTGACGGGGCCAGGCAGGGGTCAAATTGCTTTTAAAATGCCACGGGTCTTAAAGGGAAAACAGAGCGGAGACACCCGGAGACTCTCTCAGGTGGGGAGGAGATTGGAGCGGCGGCTGTGATCGCTCGCTTAATGTGATTGAAATAAAAGTGGGTTTGAAACGAGCCTGTAGAGACGGTTCCTCCAACAACACTGGAACAGGAAACAGTCAGTCAGCTGAGCTCAGACCAGAGGAAACAGACCTCAGCTCACAACCAGGAGGAGATACCTGTACACCGCCAGGCTCGACGAGCGAACAGAGAGGGAGTTTCAGTCCGACGTGTTTGATGATCCTCTAAGATCAGGGTGTTTGAATTAAACATGCACTACAGTTTTACAGTTTTACTTTACAGTTTTAGTTTTTACAGATTTTACTTAATTTGTTTAAATAAATATAACTTAAAAATTGGATGTATTTTATTAAGTAAATTTATTAAGTAAATGAAGTAAATGTTAGTAAATATCTTCACAGCTGTTATGTTTTATGGAAAGTAAAATTTACTTAATACTGCAGCATTAAATTTTATTTAAATCATTTGCGTTCAAATAGAATATTTTTTAAAGTAAATTTTATGACTTATTTTTTTCAGTGTGTCTCTGGAAACCGAGGCCGATGATTGGGCGGTGGTGAAAAACGATTTCCTGCAGAGACGTTGTTTCCTGTGCAGAGCATTGATTACTGTCCAATCAGCATCAGAGACGTCTGCATCATAAACGCTCTTGGTTGAAAAATGGAGGAGTGAATATTCATGTGTTCATGCTCAGTCTCAGTGTAAACTTTTACTCAGAGGTTTCAATCAGTTCGTTTACATGACACTCGAGAAAACCGAATTATCGCCTTATTCCGATAAAGACCGGACAACTGAAGGTCATGTAAACACCTTAGAACTCCAATTAAGACATCCAGATAATGAGATTGGAATTCGATTTTCTCTACCATGTAACCAGCGTAGTCGGAGTATGATCGGCCACGCCCCCGTAACCCCGTAACAAACCCCCAGAGTAGAGGAGTAGCGTTGGTCTCCTCTTAAGAAAAAGTAGCGCGTCCATCATGTCGGACAAAAACAACGCTGTACGATGCTCCATCTTCTTGTTTCTCCAAAATGCCCAGCAGCAGTTGTAGACACTTCTGACGTCTGACACCGACCTGCTGTTGTTGTTGACGGTTGGATGGGGTCGGAAACAGCGCCGCTGAAAAGACCCATATCGCCCCCTAGTGTTGGGGAGGAGGACACGTTCACGTCAATAATTCGATTTTCTCAGCTGCATGTAAACGAGGACAGAAAACTGAATTATGATCTTAGTCCGATTAATCTGTGACTGTAAACACACTGACTGATGAAGCTCGTGTTTCAGCCGGATTTCACTTCCGGGTCTCAGGTCCTGATCCAAGTACACCTGACCCCAAAGTCCAGTTCATTTGATCAGTGTGAACTAAACTGTACAGGACTTGGGTATGGTACCCGAGTCCACTTTGAAGAGCTAGACCAAAACAGGGAGGTGGGTCACAGACTGAGGAGCAGGTGAAGACGTCTGCTGGTGTTCCTGAGCAGAAGAAGATCTTTGGATCAGGCTGTATCTGACTCCAAAACGTTTTTTTAAGACGGTCCAATTATGTTCAAGCAAAGTTGAGCCGTTAGCATGTAGAAGTGAACAGAAGGAAAAGGGACACCTCAGAAACCCCCGCTGTTCTCACGCCGGTTTAAACGCAGATATTTCTGTCCGCAGGTCCTCTGGAGGTCACCACCCAGAAACAGAGACATCCGCCGAAGTTTGTCTATAAAGACGAGACAGGACAGGTGATGCTCAAACTTAAAGACAGACTCGCTCATCAGAACACGCTCCAGCTTTACTTTCTGCATGAGCAGCGGTGTGTTTCCTGTTTGCTGAAGCATCAGGACGCTGCCAGAGTCCAGCGTGGTGAGACTGATGCACTTCACTTCCCGTCAGGTGTGAAGATGAAGAAGCAGACGGGCCGGATCCGTCTCCAGAACATCACAAACTGTTTCTGCAGTGACTGCTCCAGGTTCGAGAGTAAACTTTGATTTTCTGAAGATGTTTCAGTCAAACCAGATCTGTCCTCTCTGTGAGGGAGGGGGTCTCTCTCTCTCTCTCTCTCTCTCTCTCAGACCCCCCGCCTACATCTGACTGTCCGCAGAGCTTTGAGGTTCAAAGAGCAGGAAGTGGCGAGCTCTCCTCGGTGTGTCGGGGCCTTTCAGCTCCTCTTGTCAAAGGGAACCTCTGCTCCACTACAAAGTCTCTTACCTGGACCAGGTAGAGGGGGGCAGAGGAGGTGAGGGATTTACAAAAGGTCCTGATCCCCCTGATGTGTCCGAGGAACAACAGACAGGATCAGGAGTGTGGACAGGTTTCTTTGAGCCGACCCCGAGGAAACGATAAAAACTGAAACTTGATCAATAACTTGAATCGTCTTTATTTCAGAGCTATAGAGACAGATCAATAAAGATGATCAGCTGAGCGGTCAGATCAATAAACATCCTGGAGTTGACCGGTGATCAGTGATGTCACAGACTCCTCCTCCGTCTACTGGAACAGAGTTTTCAGAGCCGTTTGATCACGTGATAACGAGTTGTCTCTCTAAAGACAGACACATAGACATATAAGCAGTAGATTGTGTCCTTCCAGAGGAGGAAATCTACTTCTAGACTTCTAGAATCAGCATCTCCTCATCCATGGTGTCATCGGGGTGAAATGACGTCTAAAAACCTTTCACTTGTTCGTCGTTCGTTTTTTATTTTGAAAAGAAGCCGGATGTTTTATTTTGAAGTCTGTGCCCGACTTCCTTTCCAGCACGGGTTAATCTGTGCTGAATTTATCCGCCATGCTCCGGCGTCCAGAAAAAATAGAACTCTTGAGATCAGCTGAGGAGTCCGGCGATCCGCAGAGGAACGGAAAGAAGTCGGTGAAAATTGACACGATAACTTGAATGGTTACGATCAGCTACGATCGGAGGATACGACCTTTTAGGAGACGATCAGGATGAAGGTGGAGATTAAGGGGGTTACTTCTTCGACTTAGAGGCACATGTGCTCCTTGTGATAAAAGTTAGCGTCCTCAGAGCTCTCCTCCTCCTGCTTCTCCTCTCCCTGCTCTCCTCTCTAGCCGTAGATGGCGGCGTCCTCCTCCCTCTCCTCGGTGTGATTGGTCCAAAGTTGTCGTAGGTAAACGGCTCAGATCAGCTGACGGACCGAGGAGAGTGAGGAGCAGCTGTCTGTCAGAGGAGATGATTAAAGGAGTGTTCAGCAGCAGGATCGGAGCGGAGAGACGTCTTTGTTTTAGAGAGGAGGAGGTCTGTCTGTCTGTGTGTCTGTGTGTCTCTCTGTCTGTGTGTCTGTATCGATGTCCCATTGATTCCGTCTTTGTGTCTCACAGTCCCCCCCCCACCACCTCCTGCAGAGCTACTTAATATGTTCGAGGGGCTGCGCTGCTTCTCATGTGGAAGAGGCAGAGCTTTTCTTTCTGCCACATTAGAGGAGGTGTTGGAGGGGAGGAAGGAGCGCGGGAGGTTTCAGGGTGGTGGTGGTGGTGGTGGTGGTGGTGGTGGGGGTGCTCTGAAGTGCGCCTGGTGGGACCGCCGGTTTATTGGCTGCAGAGGAAGCTGGCGGAGCTGCGAGGAGGGCCTGAGAACCGGGATGAGAGGAAGCTTTTGAAACTTCCCACATCGGCATTAGAGAGATGAGCAGCTATTCAGCGCCGCACCGACACATCCGCAAAACACACACACACACACACACACACACACACACACACTTAGAAAACAGGCTGCACTACTGCAAACACACACACACACACACACACACACACACACACTCTGCAGCCTTTTTATGTGCTGGTCCAGAGACGAGGCCGGGCTCTAATTGGTCCTGGGGGAGATTGGCAGGGTGAGAGGAGGCCAGACAAACAACACGAGGGGTGGGATGCAAAGAGGAAGGAAGCGTGATGAAGAGGAGGGGAGTGGAACCACATGCTAACCGTTAGCATGCTCAGCTAATAAAGCAACAATCAAAACATTTCCTGCACAAAGGAAAACATCGATTTCATCAATCCAGGCCTCAATCTCTCACCGCTAATTTACCTCCACTTGATTTGCCTTCCTCCTCCTCCTCCTCCTCCTCTTCCTCCTGAGAGCGTCAGGGGAGGAGGGAGGAAGAGGAGGAGGAGATGAAAGGAATAAGTGATCAGAGGCTCTAACCTGCAGCCAACACCTTCGTCTTTCGCCCCTTCAGCAGTTTCTGCACCCGGCACAGCTGCAGGTGGTTCTCATGGCGCCGAGCATTGTTCTGGATTCGCTGGGACACCTCGCTCAGCGCGTCCAGGGCTCCTGCAGCAAACACACACACACACACACACACACACACACACACACACACACACACACACACACACACACACGGTGAACACACACTTTTTACCTTTCCTTTCAAATAAAAAACTGCGATTAAAGTCAGACTCTTCTTTCACATTTCTCAAATCTCAACAAATCTCGAAACTCTTCCTCCTCCTCCTCCTCCTCCTCCTCCTCCTCAGAGTACGAACAGTGAGAGCGAAGCCTCCAATCACGGAGCTCCTCCATTATTCCTGTTGTAAACATTTAGGAGAACATCATTAAGGCGTCCAAAATAACAACAAAGAGCCGGCGTCTCGTTTCAGGCTCAACTTTTCTGCTTTTGTTGTGAGCCGAAACTCGGCGGATGAACTCTTGATCCTCAGGGCGACGCGCCGACGCTAAAATAATCACGGCCTAATTGGCTCGCTTAACTTCATAACAATTACAATGTAAACCAAACAAGGCGTCCGTGTAGACTTTCTCCCTTTGTTGCACGTGTTTGGAATATTTTCCAGCTTCGCCTGCTTTAGAAAAACAACAACTCCTAATTACAGCGGAGTTCTGGCCCAGCCATTAATAAAACATGTCTGTATTACACATGCTGCAGCAGACGCTCCTCCTCGCCTTCCTTTCTTCCATTTATTCTCTGTTTAGACTCAGTTAACTTTCCTGTTACGGCTCTGACACATGCACACGCTCAGGTCACTCTCTGTTAGAGTTCCTGTTAAAGCAGCAGGCTGATGGAAAACTCCTGAAGCTCTGCAATTACAACAATTAAATCCAGCCTGAATGCACAGAGAGGGAGAGAGAGAGAGAGAGGGGGTGAGGAAGAGGAAGACAAGCAAACCGACAAAGAGCGAGGAAGAGGAGAAAACAACAACAGCGAAGCCTCCTGTGATTCCAGTTCGCTTAATCAGATACAATGTGATTTGTCTGGATTTTCTTTTTTTAAATTATTCCCTTTACGACAGGAGGAGCGGGCTGGCTGCAGGAAGTTTTCACACACACACACATGTACACACACTCACACACACTCTGAGTTTAAAAAAAGCCTCTCTAATGAGAAGAGGAAGAGGAGATGTACCTTCATCTTAGAGTCAGGCGCTGTTTTAATTTGTAAGCAGAGGCAGCACAGCAGCAATGAGATTTTAATTGATACACATAAATAATTCCTTGTGTACATTCGCTCTGCAGTCAGATCCGCTGTTTATTTGACGATTGAAATTAGTCATTATCGGGATCCGTGTTGATGTTGAAGATTTTATTTATTAATATCGCTCCCGCTTAATATCCTCTGATCCGCTCCCGATTAATTATGTCAAAACCCACATCAAACCGGGGACGTACACGCACGCGGCGCTCTTCCTCTCTTTCATTCCTGCAGCCGAGCGGCTCTGCTCTGACAATAGCAACAAATGAGGCGGAGAGGCAGAGAGAGAGAGGCGCTCCTTTGTTCCTCAAATGAAGATAATGAGAGCTGTCGTTCGCCCCGACACCGGCTGACTTCACAGCCTCACAGGTCGCTCTCTTCCTGCTGTTTGACGACTCCTCTTTATTCTATTAATGTACACAGCGCCTGCGTTCCTCCTCCTCCTCCTCCTCCTCTGTAAACTGCTCCTCTCAGGTAGGAGACGAACCGAGGGTCTGATCATCGCTCAGGTATCTGCTGTGAAAGTCTTTATCCCTGACAAACTGGAGACTCTCTGACATCCACGTTAACCTCACAGGCTCCAGGATTAAACATCATCTGATTCAGGATCTTCTGCTGAAGGCGGATCATTTACTGATCCGGTATATCAGGTTACATCCTCTTGTCTGTTGTCTTTGTGTGTTACATCAGGCTGTATCTGCTCGGTATCCTCCACATTAGAGTAAAGATCCTCCTTACAGAGAGCAGAGACACTTACTGGAGATCTGCTGGAACTCGGGGTGGTCCGGACTCATGTTGGCAGCCAGGCCCTGCAGGAAGTGCTTGTACCTGCGCGAAAACACAAAGTGCACACGAGGTCATTAAAGCTGCAGAGATACACTCAGTTTAGACAGAAATCTTTGATTAGAGTTCACAATTATTGATTTATGATCCAGATAAGGAGGGAGACTACGTTTGAATAGGAAAATAAATATAAAAACTAGCGCTGTAAAGTCCCCGTCGACTTATTGGTCGATACATGCTGAGTCAGCCAAAATTCTGATTGGTCGACTCGATTTTTTTCTGCGTCAATTTACAGTCTATGGTTATTATGCTGTGTTCGAGTTTCCTGGGAAGTCAGAAGTCCGAACTGAAATTGACGTCACACCTATGTCACCAGAGTTTTAGTTACCAAGTCGGAAAAAAGCAAAATCAGAGGTGGAAACAAGATGGCTACATCTACGAAACTTAAGTTAGCTCTTGCCTCGTCTGAATATTAAGACGAGCACTACATTAACTTTCGTATATGTAGCCATCTTGTTTCCACCTCAGATTTTGCTTTTTTCCGACTTGGTAACTGAAACGCTGGCCTAAGTTGAAACGTCTCAAGTCCAGTTGTCCTCTCCAAAAGAGTGTTACCCCTCAATCTCCACCTTCATCCTGATCGTCTCCTAAAAGGTCGTATCCTCCGATCGTAGCTGATCGTAACCATTCAAGTTAACGTGTCAATTTACACCGACTTCTTTCCGTTCCTCTGCGGATCGCCGGACTCCTCAGCTGATCACAAGAGTTCTATTTTTTCTGGACGCCGGAGCATGGCGGATAAATTCAGCACAGATTAACCCGTGCTGGAAAGGAAGTCGGGCACAGACACAAAATAAAACATCCGGCTTCTTTTCAAAATATAACACTCTGTGTTTCAGGAGGATCGTATTTCACACCATGCAAACGGGCGGAGACGAACAAGTGAAAGGTTTTTAGACGTCATTTCACCCCGATGACACCATGGATGAGGAGATGCTGATTCTAGAAGTCTAGAAGTAGATTTCCTCCTCTGGAAGGACACAATCTACTGCTTATATGTCTATGTGTCTGTCTTTAGAGAGACAACTCGTTTTCGCACGTGAATCCACGGGTTTCTTGTGAGTTCTTGCGATAACCGCTGTCTGTATCCGCCACGAAATTCGTCTCACAAACAGATCCAGTTGCCGCTGTTCCAGATCCGGTTAAAATGGGGGTTAAATCCACGTCCAGTGGTTTACCAAATATTTATATTAAGCGTTTCGACTTTCATCGTGTTTAATTGCCTTCTTGTGCTGATATCTGCATATTTTCAGCCTGCCAAGCCACGACGTCCCCCGCCGCAGAGTCAGACCCCGCCCCCTGATTAGTCGATTTTTGGATCCTGATAAAAACACGCCTGTAGATAAACTAAAAACAACATTTCTGTTTTAGAGGGTTTTAGCCCGACGTGCACCCACAGTCATCCATCAGACCCAGAATCTACGCAGAGTCTGATCTGACGTCCTGAGAGCTGAAGATGGAGTTTTCTCTTTGAAGCAGAGCTGATGCTGAAAACCTCGGACAGATACAGCTGTAACAGGATGAGATGAAGATTTTTCACCTCCAACCTGCTCGGACACATCGCTCCGTCAAAAACAAGTCAAAGACGGATCACTGCCTCCATCCTCGGATTATACAACAGACCGAAACAGGAGCTGAGACCAAACCCTGAGAAACTGGACCATCTGAAACTGTCTGATTTAAAATGTTCACTGAAATCTATCAGAGAGACGCCGCGCTGAAAATAGCACTTTTACATTACAACACTGTAATTAAATAATTGATGTTTCATCCATTACTTTGATGGAGAATCAGAGAAATAAATGGTCTAACCATTGTTTCTGCAACCTCCATTATCACCGAGATTTCACAAGTTTCCTCAGACAGCCGGAGCAGGAAATTCATCTGGAAATGTTCGGAGCAGACTTTCACACACGGCTGCGGCTGAATATTAACAAGCCATCCAAAGTCGGAGTCCCAAGACATCTTAGCAAGTGTGGGAACAAAATAAAATAAAAGTTTTTCACATCATAATCTAACTGTTCCACTTAGAGCTGATGATTTCTTTTATTTAGTGTTTTACTTTGAATAATGTCTTTTATTGTGAAAGGGTCTCATGGTGACATCAGTACCCGCCAAAGTGAATAAAGTTTGTGCAGAGCATCATCTTCCTGAGAAATCCTTATCCTTTAACACGGAGACGATGTGACCTTGGAGAGCATCGATGATTGACATTGATTTCTACTGAGCGAGTCTGCCCCACTCTCTCTCTCTCTCTCTCTCTCTCTCTCTCTCTCTCTCTCTCTCTCTCTCTCTCTCTCTCTCTCTCTCTCTCTCTCTCTCTCACTGGACCTCACAGAGACACACTGATGCCTTAAAGATGGGATGACACTAAACACCGAAGCATCAACCTCAGGTATTAAAATGTGAAGTTAAATGTAACTGCACAAAAACTGCAGTTCCTCGAGTGTCCACTTGAGGCTAACGGCCCAGAAATGTTCAGTGCTGCATGTCAACAGTGTGCAAAAGTAGGCGGGGCAAAGTCTGCTGAAATATTTTTTTAATTTATTCATGAAAGTGTTTTTGTTTTTCTGTCAGCATCTTTACTCAACACTGAGACAACGATGTTAGTTTACGTTAGCAACTTTGGTAAACACGAAGGCAAAGACGTTCGTTTACGTTAGCATCATTAGTGACTACTGAGACTAAGACGTTAGTTCACGTTAGCATGTTTAGTTAATACTGCGACTAAAACATTAGGTTAGCATCTTTAGTACACACTGAGACAAAGACGTTCATTCACGTTCGCATTTTTGGGAAACACGAGTTAGACTCAGACTCAGACTTTTTAGTGTCATTGTATTGTTGTATTGTCATTGTTAAGACGCTCGTTTACGTTAGCATCTTTAGTTAACACTGACACTAAGACGCTAGTTCACGTTAGCATGTTTAGTTAATACTGAAAGAAAGATGTTATTTTGAGTTAGCATCTTTTGGAAACACAAAGACAAAGAAATTTTTTTTTTCGTTAGCATGTTTAGTAAACACTGGGTCAAAAATGTAAGTTTACGTTAACATATTTAGTTAACACTGAGACAAAGATGTTGGTTTAAGTTTGCATCTTTAGGAAATACAGAGACGAAGATGTAGTTTTACGTTAGCACCGTTAGTGAACGCTGAGACTAAAATGTTAGGTTAGCATTTTTAGTAAATACTAAGACGTAAGTTTACGTTAGCATTTTTAGTAAACACTGAGTCAAAGACGTGAAGTTAGCATCTTTGGTGCAAACAGAAACTTATTCTAGCACGTATTTATTCTGTTATGTAGCTCTTGATTTTACATCAGCTGGGTCGAGTCCATGTTTTGGAACTGGACAAGTCCTAAATGTAACTTTTGACACCAAACTTTAGGTCAGGTTGTTTATTTCTGATAAATCTGTAGGGGGACGTTGTGTTTTTGATTCTACAAGCTGAACTCAGTCTCCATCACTTCTTAATTTTAATAGCACAGTTTTATTAATGAAGATTAATTTATCCACTGTTAAACTACCTAGATGACTGAAAACATATACGACTCAGCCATGACTGGACCGGGATGAACTGCAGGACAGCAGGTTAGCATGGCGGTGTTAGTCTGAGATAGAGGAGGAGGAGGAGGAGGAGGAGGAGGAGGGCAGCGCTGTTGTCTTGTTGTTGTCCATTACTCATCGGAAATGAATCTGAAGTCAAACAAACTCGAGTTAAACCTCCTTCAATTAGGAGCCACTTATAAAGAGTAATAATGGGACTCCTTGGTCTCCGTGTTTGGTCGTGTTATAACAAATACATTACAGGCATTATTAGGAGTGGATGCTCTGCTTCTTATTAAAGAGCTGAGACTCAAATCTAATTACAGCAGCGTGTAAGAAAAAGAGGAAAGTCTAATGAGCTTTATTACGGCACATTTCCAACACTGTAAACGCAGCTGTGGCGTTTAGCCGCCCTGTCCCGCTCATTAGACGCTCAGCAAAGAAAACATAATGAGACAATAATCTGAACCGTGTTCAAAGAGTTCACGTTTCCTGACGAAGAACGAGTTAATTCCTCTCTCTTATGCAGATGATATGCAGGTTTCTCTCTCTCTGTCAGGTCAGCCCAGCTTTTTACACTCACGTCAGTGAAGGAGGAAATATCTGTCTAATTATTCTTTTTTCCATACATGCATTAACGATTCAAATATGTAATTAAGAGACAAGAGGCGCTGGCAGCTCCTGCACGGGTTACTGAGCATTGCACGGGCTCGTGGGTAATTACTCAAATTTAATAGCTTTAAAGGAAAGAAATGCACATGTGATAAATACAGAGGACTGCAGATACTCAGAGTCCAAACTATTATAATACAGCTAAAGTGACTGTGGAGAGTCTTATCTGACTTTAACAGGGATTTACTGAGTGAATACGGACAAATCCAGAACAACCCGAGTCCACTTTCATCGGCTTCACAGACGGTTCGAGGGAAGATCACCTGTGTGTGACGATACACCAAGTTATACACGTGTACTGGGGATGAAACTGTGTCTCATAAAAGGAGAATATCGACATAAAAAGTCCACTGTCACATCTTCATCACAGTACTTTAGGGCTGCAGTCATCGGATATTTTAATAATCAAGTATTTTATTGATTATTCAGACGATTAATTGGGTAATCTAATGAAAATACATTTACTGTGGTAACAATGCTGTGACAGTCCCTGCTGAGGTAAAGATGGTCTTTAAATGCTAATTTACTCATACTCAGATTTACACAGGAATATAACATCCATGTGTGCCACCCCTACTAATGTTGGGCCACCCCAGTCCAACAGTCTGGACACGGCCCTGCAGAGAGGTAACAGAGAGATCTGAGCAACAAAAGCGGCAGGAAAGGAAACTTTACCAAAGAACGAAAGTAAAACGGAGCGAGGAGGACTAAAGTTCAGCCGGGGCGAAACGTTTGAGTGAAGTAAAACAGTCCACATTAAAACCTTTAGATGAGTAAATCAGGATGAAGTTTAAAGGAAACTGAGAGTCAGAAACAACAATGAAAACTAAACACCTTTACTAACAGGACAGAGTCAGAAGAACAAACTAGAATAACATGTTCAGACAGCTGCTCAGACCTACACGCCTGTAAACACGAGTAAATGATGATATACTCAGCTGTCTTTCAACGTCTCCATCTCTCAGCGCGTCTGTATAAATAATCAAATCAAAGACTCACCTCTTTTAGGTCAGTGTTACTGTTTTATTGTTGGTAAAACCCTAGCTCTACCCTGACCCTTTATTTGAGGAGTCCTTTCAGCCCGACAGGATCCATAACGACAACAACATCTGTGCCGAGGTGACCGAGTCTCAGAGTTACTTTTATCTCATCGCTCTCTTAAAATCACGACTTTTTATCTAATGGTTTAGATTCTGAATTTCCTTTTCTTTAAGGTCGAGTCTCTCTTTTTTTTAAACATGTTTTTATAAGAAGCCGCCGAAGTTTCCAAAGTTTTAAAACCTCCTCTCTGATTCTGGTCGCTGAGGAGGCTGGTGACCGTGATTCTCTGAAGCAGAGTGAAGATAATGGAGACGCAGGACGGTGGTCTCTCTCTCTCTCTCAGATTATCAATAATAACCATGTTTTTGTGTACTCAGTAATCAGAGCTTTAATGGTGAGCTGTGAAGAGTCCTCTCAGTGTTAAGGGTCAACAGAATCGACTAATGATTCACCACCAAACACCATCACTGAAGCACTTTATTTCATTCAGAGTTATCCTTGAACCACAGGGTCAACTGACGATTTAACACAAAATATTCAGTAAAATCCAACACAGTACCTGCGAGGAGAGGAGCCACTTAGGAAACCTCCATCTTTGAGTTTTCTTTCTAAAGAAATTAATCAGAGCGGCCTTCTGCTTGAGAACGGTTTCAGTGTTCAGCTGCTGAAGATGATTGAACTACCTGAGCACATAAAGAACTCCATTACAACCTCCTCCTGACAAATAAAAGACCAAACCCAGCGCAGACCGCTCAGCATGCACACCTCTTAATCTTCAACAAGTCTGACACTGACCCCCCAGACCTCTGCAGAGGTTCAGCCTCTACACCAGCACACTCCAAACACCAGTTTGTTAGAGTCCTCCTGCTGCTGCTTTCACATTCACAGGGATTCACACTGATTAAACATGTCGTCTGTACGTTTGTTATTTACTCAGCTTCAATTCTAGATAAATTTGATGGTTTTTTATCCTTTTAAACACTAAATTTAATTAAAATCAGAGCAGAGGTTTAATGTTGAAACTGAAACATGTTTTTGTTTGATAAAAAAAGGGTCATTTTGATTCTGATGTTTCAGTAACAGCTTGGTAAAAAGTAGATCCAGGTTCATGTTTCTCCTCATCGTGTGTCCTCGAACCCTCTGTAGATCTTAGTGAACCCAGCAGAACAAGCGGAGTGGACCCTCTACTCTTTGAAACTAAGAATGCAGCATCTATGATTTCCAATTCTTCGTTGAAAGGACAACTGGACTCCGACTAACCTGTTGCAGATTAAAGGGATATTCCGCTGTAAAATTAATTTAGGGTCAAACACACCGTAACACCGAGTCAGACCCCCCCTCCAGAGACGAATGTTGTCGACCGCTTGCTTCTCTAGTTATACCAACTTTAGTAACGACCGCAGGATAGAAATACAGAGAGCCACGCCCCCAACCAAAACGCCACTCTATAGCCACAAATAAAGCTCAGAACAGCACCTAACTTCATCAACAGGACATATAGGGTCACAGACATAGTACTAGACACCAAACATCTTTTTAACTTTGACTCATTTCTTTAGCAAAGAGACTAAACACAACTCACCTACTCTCTTCCAGCAGACGCTTGTTTGTAGAGCGACCTCAGGCCAGTCCATTACAGACTACAGCGGGGTGCCGCAGCTCAAGGAAGAACATTTATGATCATTTCTTCATGGAAATACAATCAGACCGAGACGCTGAGACAGAAGAACTACCGCGTCTGTAAAATGATTAATATGGTGATTATTACTTCAAGGAAATGATAAAGAAATGTTCTTCCTTGAGCTGCGGCACCCCGCTGTAGTCCGTAATAGACTGGCCTGAGGTCTCTGTACAAACAAGTGGCTGCTGGAAGAGAGTAGGTGAGTTGTGTTTAGTCTCTTTGTGTTAGGGTGATTTTCTTTAGCCGGTCCTGTCAGCCTCGAGGGTGGTGGACCTGTGTCACTCAAATACCTCAGATTCTTTGGTGCTAGATTTCTGGAGCCATGGGCCTCCAACAACTATCCTCAACGAGGACCTTGTCCCCGTGTTTAACATCACACAGGCTCCCAGAATATGTTGTGCTTTGTTATTACCCCACATAGACTCTCCTTCAGGTCAACAAGATGTAAGCCGAATATTTGGAAACGTAGATGGCTAAATATACTTGAACAGTCTCAGACCAATCTTTGTTACACTTGTGGCCTGATGAAGCTGTAACCCAGATCTGCAACCAGTAAAGCTTGTCAAAATGATCATTCCTGTGGACCTTTAAAGTGTGAACATGGGCGAGGCATCCTTACACTTTGCTCAAGAAATGAGTCGAAGTTAAAAAGATGTTTGGTGTCTAGTACTATGTCTGTGACCCTATATGTCCTGTTGATGAAGTTAGGTGCTGTTCTGAGCATTATTTGTGGCTATAGAGTGGCGTTTTGGTTGAGGGCGTGGCTCTTTGTATTTCTATCCTGCGGTCGTTACTAAAGTTGGTATAACTAGAGAAGTAAGCGGTCAACAACATTCATCTCTGGAGGGGGGGGTCTAACTCAGTCTTACTGTGTCTTTGACCCTAAATTAATTGTACACCGGAATATCCCTTTAACAGCCTATGAGGAAATATTTGAAGCAGCAGAAATAATGAAGTTTGTCAGAGTGATGAGGTCTCTGGCGATTCCCACTCTGGTGAAAACATGTGAACGCAGCATAAACAGTCTCGGCTCAGAGTGTATTTACCCAAGGCCTCCAATTTCTGCCATCTCTCCGAGAGCTGCATCTCTATTATGGACACAAACAGAGCTCGTACAGGCGGAGACGGCTGCTATTCACTCCAACAATCAGCCTGAGACTCCATCACTGTCATAATGGAGATCTCAGCAGGGAGGACTGCACTGAATGCCACTTAATAAAGCCAATGATTTTATTCCTCCCAGCAGCAACATAAGTATCCTCACTCCAGCCCTACTCGCCATCCATCATCCTTGAGCAGCGATAAGTGACAACAATTTCCTGCGATTCCCCGCCGCTGAGCCTCAGCGAGATAAGGAGCGGGCCGGAGATGATTATCCAGCCGTGCCACTTAAAATCATCACACAATTAGACACGTCCCTGGAGTCTCCTGAGCTTCAGCGTGAGCGTCAGACTAATCAATGATGATGATGATGATGACGGGAGGAAGGAGAGAGAGAGAGAGAGAGAGAGGGGAATTATCTGTCAGTCATGTACACCAGTGGTCAGCCCGCTCATACAAGCGTCAGCCTATTAGGTAGATAAAGAGGACATCAGCCCTGGTTCGTAAAGAAAACACTGTTTCTGTGCAGAAGAGGAAACTCTGAGAGCGATCAGGGACAGTTCTCCTCACTGAAGATCTTTGGACCCATGATAGTCTGACGGGCCACGACTTCCTCAGAGTTTTACTGAGGTGACCACATTTGTCAAATATTCAAGATCAGTCCAGGACCAAGACCAGAACCAGGACGGAGTGTCAAAAACCGCTTAAGAAAAAGAAGAAGAGTGAAAGGAAGAAGAGGAAGAAGAGGAAGAGAGGAGGTGGTTTGAGATTTAAACACACGAGTATTTGTGATCATGTATCTGAGACAGTTTGACTATAGAGCGGCACAACTCATCAGTTTTATCGATATCGCTCTGAACAATCATGATCAACATTCAGCAGAGGTCAAAATGATCCAAATAAATTTAAAATATTTATTTCTGAATAAAGAAATTAGGGTTTGTTTCCTCAACAGAAGCTCAAAGTCTCAAACTCAGCAGCTCTGGGATGTTTGGAGCTGTAATCTGAGAGCAGACAGAGTTTCCTTCCCCTCACTTTTCTGGTACTATTGGAGCTTAATTCTGAGAACTGATAGAGTTTCCTTTATCTCATATTTAAGACTATTGACAGAGCTGACAGAGTTTCCTCCCCATCTCCTGGAGATTCAGAGCTTTAAATCCTAGAGCTGACAGAGTTTCCCTCTTCTCAATATTCCTGGATGTTTGGACCTCTAGTCTAAAAGCTAAAAGAGTTTACTTCTCTTTATTTTTTGGGGGATGTTTGGACCTTAAATCCTAGAGCTGATAGAGTTTCCTTCTTCTCACATTTCCTGGATGTTTGGGGCTTTAATCTTAGAGCTGATAGAGTTTCCTTCTCCTCACTTTTCCTGTATGTTTGAACCTTTAATCCCAGAGCTGATAGAGTTACCTTCTCTTCTCTTGGTTGTTTGTAGCTTTAATTCTAGAGCTGATAGAGTTTCCCTCGTCTCACTTTTCCTCGATGTTTGGACCTTTAATACTAGAGCTGATAGAGTTTCATTCCCTTCACTTTTCTGGGACTATTGGAGCTTTAATCCTAGAGCTGATAGAGTTTCCTTCTCCTTACTTTACTTGATGTTTGGATCTGTAATCTTAGAGCTGATAGAGCTTCCCTTATCTCACTTTTCCTCGATGTTTGAACCTTTAATCCCAGAGCTGATAGAGTTTCCTTTTTTCCTCTCACCTTTCCTCTCATGTTCGGAGCTGAAGTTATAAAACGTTTCTGCCTTTTCTCGCACAGTTTTGATAAACTCCTCTGTATCTCGGAGGTGCTGTTGGAGGTGTTTCTCTGGTTGTGTCTCTGCTGTCGTCAGGTCTCCACGCTTCGCTTCTGTTTGTTCTGTTTGCTTGTTATTCCTCCTGCCGTCACCTGCTGCAGCGCTCTGCTCTGTAAACTCTCTCTGACAGATGTAGTTATTATTACTGTATGTGGAGTCCATGTAAAGTCCTCACTAACTGTCAGACTGTCTTCAGAGCGGCTCTGCTCTGTGTCTGGATGTTCAGTGATTTCATGCGGTCCTGATCTGGTTTGTTAATTAGTGGAAGAAGAAGAGGAGAAACGGTCTGAAGAACGTTTTCTGATGAAGCCGATATCATGACAGAGGTTCATCAAGCCGCCTGTTTTATCTTAATTAGTTCTTCTTCTTGTTTCATCTCTCCAGATGTACAGTGGTACAAATGTGACATCCATCTATCATCTCGGAGACGTTTCTGTGAGAAGAGCTGATCCTTCACCTTAACATCTGAGGCTCTTTACTCAACATCTCATTTATATCTTCACAGAAACCACATCTTCTCTCTGTTTAAACTGAGCTCTGGATTTCAAACAAACCGTTTCTTTCCTCATACAGGAGAAAAAACATCCAACAGCAGAGCTCTCCTGCTGAATCCAGGCTCTGCTGACCTGATGGAGACACCTGACGGGGTTTGTGCGTCTCAGGAAACTGGACTATCATGAAGACGTCCTCTCCTCTCCATCAGTTATTATGAAATTAAGGATTTAAGACACTCTGGACTCATACAAACTAAGTTGTGAATCAGGCGGACAGAAATCTTACTGATCGATCCTCAGGACGGGGAGCTGAAGTAAGTCCTCCAGTCTCTGGTTGTTGAACTCTGGCCGGTCTTCCTGAAGTATCTTAAAGCGTCTGAAGGCTTTGCTCTTCTTCAGCTGGATCTGAAAGCACACAGAGAGCATGGAGAGGTTTTATTTCCAGGTAAAGAGCTCCTTATAGAGACGGACTGATCTTCAGTAAGATTTCAATATCGCGTCAAACAGCGTGTGTGTTCGTCCTCCTCTCAGTCCACACTTCACGTAGGACGCTCAGGTTAGCCTCTGATTTGAAAGATCAGGACACACTAACAGACTGAGGACATGAGCTCCTGTAGCTCCATGTTTTATTGTGCTAACAGTATTAGCATGCAGGTTAGAGAGGGGAGATGATGATGAACATGTCACTAAGAGTGTGGACCTGCCGGAGGAGCGTCTCTGCCTGACAAACAGAGGAATAACCCCGCTGTCAGCCCTCTCACTGCTGCTCAGTCATTAAATATGCATCTGCACATCGTGTTAGCATGAGTATGTGTCAACACTCCGAGTGCTTATCATGTCAGAGCTGTCAGTCATCAGAATAAACATGGCCGCTCTGTTAGATAGAGATAGATGTGAGGGGAGGGAGGGGGGTCTGACAGAGACGGAGAGGGTGAGATCACATGGGACAGCAGAGAGATACAGAGACACAGAGACACAGATATAGAAATATAGAGATACAGAGACAGAGAAGCAAAGAGACACAGAGATATAAAGATACAGAAACACAGAGATACAAAAAGACAGAGATATAGAGATACAGAGACAGAGAAGCAAAGAGACAGAGCGAGATATAGAGACATACAGATATAGAAATATAGAGATACAGAGATATAGAGATACAGAGACAGAGAGATACAGATATAGAAATATAGAGATACAGAGACAGAGAAGCAAAGAGACACAGAGATATAAAGATACAGAAACACAGAGATACAAAAAGACAGAGATATAGAGATACAGAGACAGAGAAGCAAAGAGACAGAGAGAGATATAGAGACATACAGATATAGAAATATAGAGATACAGAGATATAGAGATACAGAGACAGAGAGATACAGATATAGAAATATAGAGATACAGAGACAGAGAAGCAAAGAGACACAGAGATATAAAGATACAGAAACACAGAGATACAAAAAGACAGAGATATAGAGATACAGAGACAGAGAAGAAAAAAAAAGGAGATACAGAGACAGAGAAGCAAAGAGACACAGAGGGATACAGAGACATAGAGATATAGAAATATAGAGATACAGAGACAGAGAAGCAAAGAGACAGAGAGAGATATAGAGACATACAGATATAGAAATATAGAGATACAGAGACAGAGAAGCAAAGAGACAGAGAGAGATATAGAGACATACAGATATAGAAATATAGAGATACAGAAATATAGAGACACAGAGATATAGTGATATAGAGATACAGACACATACAGACATAGAGATACAAAGGCATAGAGATATAGAAATACACAAGATACAGAGATATGGAGATATAGAGACATAGAGGTACAAAAACATAGAGATAAAGAGATACAGAGACAAAGAAATATAGAAATATAGAGATACATAGATATAGAGATATAGAGATATGAAGATATAAAGACATAGAGATACAAAAACATAGAGATATAGAGATACAGAGACAAAAACATAGAGATACAGAGATACAGAGGCATAGAAAAATTGAGAAACAGGGATATAGAGATATAGAAATACAGAGAAAAAGATGAACATCATCATAGAGATATAGAGATTCAGAGACAGAGAGATACAGAGGAATAGAGAGATATAGAGATATAAAGATACAGAGTTATGCAGACAGACACAGAGACATAGAGATACAGAGACCTAGATGCAGATACTGAGACATAAAGGTCTAGAGTCATAGAGACAGAGATACAGAACTTTATGATTTTGATTAATCACGTCATCAGATCTCTGTTACTCTCTTTAACAAACAAATCTGGAGTAGAAGGAAGACCTCCACTAAAAACCACATGTTTTCACAGGTGAAGTCTGAGTTTGGTTAAAGTACAGAAGTATTTAATTCATCCCTGTCTAGTATGAATATCTCAGTTCTGTCCTGACAAATCGATGGAGTCAGCAGCACGAATCAATAACAGCTCAGGTTTCAGTTATTGTGTGTGAGGAAGATGATAATCAGCTGCTGAGGGTGTGTGTGTGTGTGTGTGTGTGTGTGTGTGTGTGTGTGTGTGTGTGTGTGTGTGTTCATACTGAGCTCTCACCCGCAGCACTTTGCTGGAGTTGTAGATGTTGTCCACGTAGGTGTTGTACAGGTTCAGGTGTGGACAGAACTGTTCGAACCCTCGACCAAAGAAACCGTTCTCCAAGTGGACCAGGAGAGACCTGAGGAGAAAAGATACTACACTGATGAAACCGCCAGTAACTCTTCAGATATAATTCAGAGTGAGCGGAGTTTGGGCGATAATGATTTTAACGTTTTTATAATTATTATTATTATTTTACAGGAATAATAATATTTCCTTGAACCTCTAACCTTGAACATTTCACGGTAAAATGACTTTAGGAGGAGGGGATTAAGCCAAATAACAGTGTTTTTTTTACAAAGCTGAGAGAAAATCTGTTTGTCCACTGGGGGGCGCCAAAACCAACTCAGACAGAAAGTTCCTCTTAGAAGCTTTAAATGTAAAAAAACTTGACCTGCTGTTCAGCGACAGACAGAAGAGACTCAATGACGTCAGCGCCCTCTGCTGTTTAAAACAGGAAGTCTGTATTCACTTTTCATCTTGATGACCTTCAGCGGACTCATCCGGACCATAACCATAAAAACCCAGCGCTGTGATATGTGGTGTTACTGAGGCTTGGCGCTCAGAATCAAACAGACGCCATCAGTCAGTTCGTTTCCATGACACTCGAGAAAACCGAATTATCGCCTTATTACGATTACGACCGGACAACTGATGGTCATGTAAACATCTTAGTCCGACTATAATCAGAGTTTGAGAACTCTGATTAAGACACTCAGATAATGTGACTGGAATTCGATTTTCTCTACCATGTAACCAGCGTAGTCAGAGTATGATCGGACAATGCATGTGCCCATGCGCCACGCCTCCGTAACCCCAGAACAAAACCCCCAAAGTAGAGGAGTAGCGTTGGTCTCCTCTTTAGAAAAAGTAGCGCGTCCATCATGTCGGACAAAAACAACGCTGTACGATGCTTCATCTTCTTGTTTCTCCAAAATGCCCAGCAGCAGTTGTAGACACTTCTGACGTCTGACACCGACCTGCTGTTGTTGGTGACGGTTGTATGGGGTCGGAAACAGCGCCGCTAAAAAGACCCATATCGCCCCCTAGTGTTGGGGAGGAGGACACGTTCACGTCAATCATTCGATTTTCTCAGCTGCATGTAAACGAGGACAAGGAGAGAAGTCGGATTCGGCGAAAATAACGAATCATGAGATTAGTCTGATTAAACTGTGACTGTAAAGACAGAATGAGTCATCCTTCACTCACTCACTCACTCACTCACTCACTCACTCAGGACATGCTGGAGTAACTCTGAGCGTGGATTATTTTGGTGCATCAGACCTTTGACACGCTCCTCTCTCTGCGCCCCCCACTGAGCATTTAGCCTCCAGTCAAACGGCGTCGGACTTTAAGCTAATGCTCATTACCGCCTGAGCGCTCTGCTGCTCTGCATCAGTGGAAGGAAGGCGCTCAAACAGGCGAGATCTCATCTGAAGCCTCGTTTTCACCAAACGCTCACATGTTTAGAGGCAGAGCAGAGTTCAGAGGACTGCTTCCCCGTTAATGGGACTCCTCTGTACTGTCATTTGAAGGCCTCTCCCCGCGGGTGTCGTATTTACCGGGACCCAGACGGCGGGTCTACCTTCAGGGCACCGGGGGCCACTTTGTAGTGAGAGCACGCCCGCTGAACTCAGGAACAAAACAGGAGGATGAAGGCGAAGAGGAGCAGCCGTTCAGCCTGTCAGGCACATTACAGTAACACGCAGGCGATTGGCTGGGGGTGTTGACACTCGTGAAGGAGCTTGTTATCCAAACTTAGAAGAAGAAGAACCACACACACACACACACACACACACACACACACACACACACACACACTCCTCTTCCTCTAATGATGTTCCCAGAGACTTCTGCTCATACACGCTGAAGAAGAAAAAGAAGAAGAAGAAGCGGGAGAAGAAGAAGAAGAAGAAGAAGAAGAAGAGAGGGAGCACTTTGCGGCTGAAGTTGATTTAAATAGATTTTAATGAAGTTGTGCACTAAGGTAGCCTCTGTTCATAATCAGGAGATGCAGGAGCAGCCGACACTTCTAACGAGGGCAAAGGGCGGGAAAAACTCGGTTTCCTTTTTTTCCTCCTCTCTCTGCCGCGGGCTATTATGATAAATATGAAATTATGGATTACATTTTTTATACTTTCTTCGCAGCAATTAAATTGTCTGGCCATCAGCGGCAGGAGGAGATAACATTAGCATTCAACGCCAGTCACGTTAATCCACATTAATTCTGAGCAGCGGCGACATCTGGGGCGGATACAACCTCCACCAAACAATCCGGGCCGATCGGAGGAGCCTTCATCACAGGAACCGGGCCTGAACACGAGAATACTAATGAGAGGGACAAAACACAGGACGAGGAGGAGATGAGACCGAGGAGACGAGACCGAGGAGGGGACACTTGAAGAGGGGACACCGAGGAGACAACAGGAGGTGGAGCCTTCATCACAGGAACCGGGCCTGAACACGAGAATACTAATGAGAGGGACAAAACACGGGACGAGGAGGAGACGAGACCGAGGAGACGAGACTGAGGAGGGGACACCAAGGAGGGGACACCGAGGAGGGGACACGGAGGAGACAACAGGAGGAGCCTTCATCACAGGAACCGGGCCTGAACACAAGAATACTAATGAGAGGGACAAAACACGGGACGAGGAGGAGACCATACCGAGGAGACGAGACCGAGGAGGGGACACCCGAGGAGACGACAGGAGGAGCCTTCATCACAGGAACCGGGCCTGAACACGAGAATACTAATGAGAGGGACAAAACACGGGACGAGGAGGAGACGAGACCGAGGAGGGGACACCAAGAAGGGGACACCGAAGAGACAACAGGAGGAGGAGCCTTCATCACAGGAACCGGGCCTGAACACGAGAATACTAATGAGCGGGACAAAACACGGGACGAGGAGGAGACGAGACCGAGGAGACGAGACTGAGGAGGGGACACCGAAGAGGGGACACCGAAGAGGGACACCAAGGAGACAACAGGAGGAGCCTTCATCACAGGAACCGGGCCTGAACACAAGAATACTAATGAGAGGGACAAAACACGGGACGAGGAGGAGACCATACCGAGGAGACGAGACCGAGGAGGGGACACCCGAGGAGACGACAGGAGGAGCCTTCATCACAGGAACCGGGCCTGAACACGAGAATACTAATGAGAGGGACAAAACACGGGACGAGGAGGAGACGAGACCGAGGAGGGGACACCAAGAAGGGGACACCGAAGAGACAACAGGAGGAGGAGCCTTCATCACAGGAACCGGGCCTGAACACGAGAATACTAATGAGAGGGACAAAACACGGGACGAGGAGGAGACGAGACCGAGGAGGGGACACAGAGGAAAAGACTCTTCTGCTCCTCCTCCTCCTTGTCTTGTTCCTCCTCCTGCTCCTCCTGGATGATTCCTGTCCATCATATTAGCAGCTGAGATAACTGGCCTCCTCCTTCTTCTCCTCCTCCTTTTCCTTCCTCTGCTCCTCCTCCTTTTGCTCCCTCTCCTCCTTGTCCTCCCTCTCCTCTTCCTCCTCCTCCTCCTGGTTGACTCCTGTCCGTCATGTTAGTAGCTGGGATAATTGACCTGCACCTCCTGCTCCTCCTGCTCCTCCCCCTCTGAATGATTTACAGTGAATCTCAGTGTCTTCACGTCTGTTTTCTTATGTAACTGAACAAAGTTACCTAATGAATGCTGAATCCATGACTCCTCCTCCTCCTCCTCCTCCTCCTCCTGCTCCTCCTGCAGCTCTCAGCTTCAGTAAATAAAGACAGAGCCTCAGATAAATACACATCCTCTCTGACGCTCCTCCATCTCTGATCCAACAAACACACCCGCCATACCTGCCAACATTTGGGTTATAAAATCTGGGGGATTTTTGCGGTGCAGTTTTAGGGTTACCTTGTCTGGTGGATATGAGCAAATTATGAGAGTATTTGTGATTAAGTTGCTCATCCAAATAAGTATAACAGGTACGATATGCCTTGAACTTATTTAGTCCACTAATATTAGTGCTAACGTCCTCATATGTTTACATACTCTCCTGTTTGAGTCTCTCTGAACATCTGTGTGTGAAATACAGCGCTCTTTTATCCGAGGCTGCCCTGAACGCATCACTCCGAGACGCTGAAAGACGATCAACGTAAATATGACTATGTTTGAGCTTCTATGAAAAAACAAAGAGGGCACATCTAGACCTGAGACCCAGGTCAGTCTGAAACTCAGGTCAGTGTGAGGCATATAGTGGATTGCAGTATCTTCAACACATGAGCTGTGTTTACACTGGAACAAGTAGTCAGAATAAAAACGCGTCATGTAAAGATGTCGATCTGAAGATTCTGATCTGATTCGGCTCAATCGGAAAGAAATTGTACTCGTGTTGATCGTTATTTTAAACTGTGTCCATAGAAACACTTATTTTGATCGTGAGTCTTTGTTGGGTTGAACCTAACCTGACTGAATGTGTGAGCTACATCTACGTGTCGTGTTTCCGACGTTGGTGACAAGACTCAAACACTGCGGGATCCAAGATTGACTGATCTGTATCTGTCAGGACGTTCTGTCTCCTTATGTAACGCAGGATCAGTATGTGCCGCTGGGTCTGCTCGATGATCATGTTCCCCACTCTTACCGTCATTATCAGTCTGACTCTGAATCAGGCCAAAGGTGATGAGACTGATTTCTGTGCAGTTATCCCTCTCCCTCCTAAATCACTCCAGTGCAGCTAAACTCTGACGGAGGATCGGAACAGGAAGCATCTGTCACACACGGCTCTACGCTCACATTTACAACACCTTCGTTTTATGACCCTCCGCCTGTCTGAGCCATACGGACTCCCAGTCTGTTATTCCGGGTCTTCAGCGTGACAGACAGATGAGCGAGTGTGCACATATCAATCTGTGAGAGCTAATTATCACCTCCGCTGTTATCAGTCATGCAGATATTCAATGTAAATCAAAAACAGTGAAGAGGAAATGTGAGGATCTATAATCAATCAGCGGGCTCTCTCTGAGGAGGAGCTCTTTAAATGGACTGCTTCCATTATGTTTCACACATTGATTCAATAAGGAGCTCATAATGAAGATGTATGGGAACCAGGGAACCATTTATCCAACACATCGCACCGTGTAATTCATACTTCACTCTCCATCCTCAACAAGAAGAAAGAGAGAGAGAGAGAGAGAGAGAGAGAGAGAGAGAGAGAGAGAGAGAGAGAGAGAGAGAGAGAGAGAGAGAGAGAGAGAGAGAGAGAGAGAGAGAGAGAGAGAGAGAGAGAGAGAGAGATAGAGAGAGAGAGAGAGAGAGAGAGAGAGTCTGCCAGAGAGCCCAGGACCAGAGCCACGGGAAAAACCTCAGACACATAGCCAATCAGAGCTCAGGATCAGAGGGGTCTTCAAACTACTTCTTCAGAGGGTTTTAACCAATCACAGCCCAGTCTGTAACGTCAGTCTCATAGAGTCCCCCCGCGTCTCAGTCCTCTTACCCGCAATTTCCACCAATTCCAGAACGTCTACGAAAAGGTCGTATCCTCCGATCTTAGCTGATCGTAACCATTCAAGTTAACGTGTCGATTTACACCGACTTCTTTCCGTTCCTCCTCTTCTCTGGTGTTTTTGTTCCAGGGTTACGGGGATGTGGCGTACGCGTACATGCATTGTCTGATCATATACCGACTACGCTGGTTACATGGTAGAGAAAATCAAATTCCAATCGCATTTTCTGGGTGTTTTAATCGGAATTCTCCAACAACAATCTAAGTTCTCAAACTCTGATTATAGTCCGATTAACCCCCAATTTCCCCCCAATCTCCACCTTCATCCTGATGGTCTCCTAAAAGGTCGTATCCTCCGATCGTAGCTGATCGTAACCATTCAAGTTAACGTGTCAATTTACACCGACTTCTTTCCGTTCCTCTGCGGATCGCCGGACTCCTCAGCTGATCACAAGAGTTCTATTTTTTCTGGACGCCGGAGCATGGCGGATAAATTCAGCACAGATTAACCCGTGCTGGAAAGGAAGTCGGGCACAGACACAAAATAAAACATCCGGCTTCTTTTCAAAATAAAACACTCCGTGTTTCAGGAGGATCGTATTTCACACCATGCAAACGGGCGGAGACGAACAAGTGAAAGGTTTTTAGACGTCATTTCACCCCGATGACACCATGGATGAGGAGATGCTGATTCTAGAAGTCTAGAAGTAGATTTCCTCCTCTGGAAGGACACAATCTACTGCTTATATGTCTATGTGTCTGTCTCGTTATCGCACGATCTGCCACAAAATCTGCCTCACAAACAGATCCAGTAGGAATTGGCGGACGGTGAAAATCGGGGGTTAGATGAAGTCTCCTCAGTCTTCAGCTGAACTTGTCCATTACTACAGCCCCAAGGATCAGCTGATGCTATCATCACGAAGAGGAGCTCCATTAGAAAGGACTTCTCATGTCCTCTTCAGTTCTTCTGTCCAAACATCTGAGGAGGGAGCGATGAAGACGAGCAGCTCTGACCCTCTAACCCTGACCCAGTTTGAAGGCCAATCCTCTGACTGGAACCAGAGACCACCTAAACTCAGAGGTTTAGACTCATAATCTTTCCCTGAGTGACGTCACACAGATATATTTTTACATCAAAGTTGACCTCAGCTTCAGGATCAGCTCTGAGTCCTACAGTATGTTTGTATTTTATGGATTTATAGACGCTCTCTCGTTCTCGTCTTCAAACATCTACCTCTTATTTATGAAGCCAAACTTTTTGAAGTCCTTCAAGCTCACTTTGAGACGTTCGTTTCACCGCACACAGACAGAAAGATCAATTTCTCCTCTAAACAGATACGCTGAGCTCTCCAGACTCTCCCCGACTTTGATTGGGCTGTTTTTCTTTCTTTTTTTTTTTCCTCCTGAGATGTTCAGCAGCAGGTCAGCTGGGCAAACAGAGTTCATGAATGTTCTTCGGTAACTATAATGCTCTTTAATGTTGATATCACCTGCAGTAAGCACACCTGATACGCTTTAATGTGTCCACCTGGGATGAGGGCCGCTCTGCTCGGAAACACAGCATCATTACAGCTGCTAATGCAGAAGATAAGGAGCTGATGTGCTAAAGCAGGAGTTTATCTGCGCTGCATTTTTAATCCTCCTCTCTTTGAGCCGGTCATCTCCAGAGCACAGCTATTGTTTAAATTATTCAGAGGATACTCACTGATTCGCCGAATGGATGGCTTTAATCGAGCTGAAGATGCTGTCTCGAATGTCCGGCTTCAGGGTTCCTTTGGCCTTCAGGATCTCCACAAAGTACTGGAGGAAGAAGAAGAAGGAGGCAGAGGAACTCGTGTTATCTCTTTGTGTTAATAGGAAAAAGGAGAAATAATTAAACACGTCTCAATTAGTCTGAAACTCGGAGAACAGCTGTAGAGCTAACGACAGAGAGCATTACCGAGCCTTATAGTCTTATATTATAGAGAGTACTGTATGTATGAGCAGCACAGTACATTAGGATGCTGCTGTACTCTCACAATAAAGCGACAGCTGCGCCGGTCTCAAGTCATTTGAAGTGAAAATGGGATTAGCAAATTGAATGTGCATTAGGCCTAAAAATGACTCCTAATTGGAGCGGACGGGTGGAGGCTGAGTAATTGTGGAGAAATGAGTCTGCAGCCGAGGGAGGAGAAGTCTGTTCTCTCCGCAGGGAGGAAGAGGAGCATGAAGAAGGCTACTCCAGTCTGATGAGGGAGGAAGTTACAGAGAGAGGAGACACAGAGAGAGAGGAGTCCAAACCCGGACTAGACTGTTGGTGTTTAATCTGGATCTTAATCTGGACCAGGAGGAGATCCGTTCCTCCTGTGTGATGGTTTTTACTTATTAAGTCAACCCTTCGTTCTTCTGCAGATCTCTGTGAGAGCTGACGGGCCTAAAAAAACCCTCAGGGACCACATTAGGGCTGGACGATATGGCCTCAAATCAATATCACGATATATTGATCAGTTCATCTCAATAATGATAACTTTGTCTACTTCACTGTCTACTTCAGCCGCTCCAACTTTCTCTCCGTCCTCCATCTCCTCACCTGTCTTTCCCTCTTCGTTACAGACTGGATGGGGCGGAGTCACGTCTCTGACGTAGGACAGCGTTAGGCCTGTCACGATAACAAATTTTGCTGGACGATAATTGTGCTACAAATTATTGCCGATAAACAATATTATTGACACCGTTTTTTAAATTATAGATAATGATATTATATGGCATAATAATGCGAGTACACCATGTCAAAAGTGATAAACTTTAATTTCCACACGAGAACAACACTGGTTGTTTTCGTTGACTAAAATATTTCCCTTTTCTCCCACGACGAAGACGTAACGTTGACGAGCTAAACATAAGTCGGAGATGACTAAAATGTGACGAGACGAAAGTGCGTTTACGTTGATGGGACGAGACGAAAATGACGAACAGAGTTGCAAAACTCAGTCAGTTAAACGTTAAACATATAGGAGCAGCTTCAGTCCGCTCTGACAGCTCTCATCAGCCTGCTGTGCTCCTCCAACACACAGACACACGCGCGCGCACACACGTGGAGTTTTGTGGTTGACGAAAAGAAAACTGGTTTAAAGCCGAAATATTCCCACACTTGGGCTGTTGCGTTCGGTTTAGACACCAAAGCTGTCGTGTTCATTCTGTTAGCTTGCTTTTCACTCACGACGCTCACTTGCAGCACTGTATCCAAAAGTCTGTGTCTGTGTGCCTGTGCGCGCCAGCCCCCTCGTGACAAAGACACTGAATGACTGACAGGAGGGTTCACTAACTCCGTTCATTCCGCTATAGAGCCAACGCCCCCAGGTGCCGAGAACAATGCGCAGAGTGAGACCTCTTCTCTCATCCAGCGTGTTTGGTAGTGAGAGAGGAGGAAAACAAACGCACGTCAATTATCGAGGCTGGCAAAGTTATCGACCTCGTTTTTATTTATCCAGCGATAAGGCGATTTATTGATTATCGCGACAGGCCTAGACAGCGTCTTAAAGGGACATGAGACCATAGCCTAATCCATAGCCATCCAAAAACAACTTTGATTTATTTATTTTTTTTTGACATCAAATATACCGATATGAGCAAAATGACGTTGGTTATTGTCGTAAATTTTGGTATCTGTACATTTTCATCGCCCAGCCCTCGACCACATGACCGCACACTGGCCCAGGGCTCGACAGTGCGACCGTTTCACTCGCATTTGTGACTAAAAACAGATGTGTTCAAATTGTAAAATGTATTTAGGGTCACACGTGCGCATAAAGAAAAAATCAGCCACGACTTCATCATCTCCGAGTGTTTGTCTCACCGTGTTGATCAGCTCCAGCTGCTGACAGTATCTCTGCTCCGTCTGAACCAGCTCTTTGGCCGTCCGGCTGCGTTTCCTCTCCCAGCGGTCTCTCTGCTCCTGGATACTGGTGCAGCCGGGCGGACCGGACGGACCGGAGAAGAAACTCATGGTGATGAAGACAGGACACTGCAGAGAGGACACAATGGGACAGGACGTAAACAGGGTCGGGTTTTTGTTATTAAAGCATCTGCAGAGAACTCTTGTTGTGAATTGGTGCTATACAAATATTGATTGATTGATTGATTCAGAGGGGCTGAAATAGACATCACGCCTGTGTTTTCTCCCTCAGCTGGTGTTTTTAAGTGGAACTCCTCTTTTAGACCTGAGCTGAACTTTTATCAGACAGCTGTTTGACTTTCAGAGGAGAGTATCAAAGCAAAGGAAAACCAGGTGATAAATTAGTCATCAGCAGGAATTTACTGAGTCATAAATTATTTCAGCTCCACGGAGAGACGAGAGTTTGTAAGAATGAGAACTGAGAACTTCATCGTTCATATTTATCCACACATCCAGGGAGTTATTGGACGTTCCCTGAGCTCACTCTTTGTCGTTAACAGAGGGAACTATCTGAACCAGTATCTGGTCTCTGACTAAATCTAAAGACCATGTCAACCTGGTGTGTCCCTGAACCAGCTGAGGTGATCAGCTCACCTGCAGACACAGAGCAGCAGTGTCCTCCTCATTAGTGTCAGCTCCTCTGTCAGCAGAGTGAGGAGGCGAGTGAGGAGCAGTAATTAACCTCAGCACTGTCCCTGAGGAGCACTACACTGTAAACAAGAGGCTGATCAATGCTAACCAGCTACACACCCCACAGCAGGAACACACACACACACACACACAGAATGAGACCCACTGTGACGGCATGATGAGCGGAGACACACTAACACACATCAACAGTTCACCTCTGCACATTATTATAGAGCTGACAGTCTGAACTCAGGTAACAAACTGAAACTCTACCTGTGCAAACAAAACAGAGCACAGGTGAGATCATAACACCTGTCTCACGGGACAGAGTCAGCTTTAGATACGAGGAGGCGTTCAAACCGAAGACCAGCATTTAAGAACCAGGACTCAGCATCCAAGCTCTCTGAAACTCGGAGAAGAAAACCCAGGATTCTAGAAGCAACTATAACAGAACCAAACATTCTAGAACCACTCATAACAGAACCAAGCATTCTACAACCACCTATAGAAGAACCAAGCATTCTAGAACCATGGTGATTGACTGATCCTTCCTTATGAAGTCGATCTTTATCGGTTTCATATGGAAGATTATCTTTATTTATGTTTATCTTTATCTTATCCACCGATCTTATCTACCTCAGTAATGGTCTGAAAGTCGGCCATTGTAGTTTTTTGCTTTCCCAGAATGACAGGCCCCGCCCACCAGGTCACGTGTGCACACCCACGTCAGCTCCAGCAGCACACACAACAGTCATCTGTGATTTCCTTTATTTGTAAAAGTAAAATACTGCTGTGCTCCTGCAGTCTGACCTGTATGAGACCAAGTATTGTTCATTTTTAAAATGTGGAAAATAAAAGACTAAAGGAACTGATTTAATTTAGTAGTTTGGACAGAAATATTCTCAACTTTTCATTTCTATCTGAGAGAACTGCCTCATGTACAGTTAAAATAAACACAAAAAGGTTGTATTGTTCCACAAGTTTGGTTTAATGTTTTTTCATTAAAATAAGATTGGAGCATCGAAGGTTTATGTTGTCAGTTATTAAAAAAAAAAACAAAAGAAAAAAAAAACAGAAAGGTATCGGCCAAAATCGATATCGACAGTTCAAGCCTTTTAAAGATCGATGATCGGCCAGAAAATTGTGATCGGTGCACCTCTGAACACCTGTAGAACACCTTTACCTGAGTCTGCTCATGCTAAGATTGGTGTAAACCTGTGTAGCTCTACCTGATCTTCATGCTGATGGAGCAGTACTACAGAGAGGCTGTTAGAGAGGGTGAGGACTGAAACCTGACCTCACTCAGCCTTAGATATAAACTATAACACTTAGATTTCCTCATGTCTCTGTGTACAAAAACACTCTTTAGTCCCCCGGTCTGAGTCTGTGTAATCCGGACACACCCCTGTCCGGAGGAAACATGACCAACAACTTTAACGTTTTACTCTAAAACTTTGAGTAAAAACATCTTTCTGACATTTGCTGTTTCTGTAAATTAAACCTTAATCTCACAAAATAAACAGAGCGAGTTTCTTCTGTTAAATTCGTTTTACCGGTTTTATCAACTAAATACACTTAACAAAGTTTTCGACATGAAAACAAAGTTAATATTTAGAGTCCCAGGGCTCCACAGTCGGTTTAGATCACATTATTAACCGCCTGAATGTCCCTTTTCTGCCGTTTGTTCAGTTATTTCGGTAAAATTGGTCAATCTTACCTTCAGCTAACGTCTCCACTTTGAACCAAGGCGCTCTTTTTACATTCCGCTCGCTTCTTCCGGGTTACGCTGTTGACGCGCGCACTGATTGGCTGCTGCAAACAGAGACGCTGAGAAGACCCTCCCACTCTGAGTGAAACTGAAGCAGCTCCACCCTGAGAAGAAACCAGGAGGACTGTCTGTGTCTGTGTTTATGAGGGGAAAACAGCAGGAAAAGTCAGGCCTGGACTCTCTAAACATCTACCTGACATCTCTTTGATTTAGTGGTCATGAAGTCAGTAAAGAAAAACTTTGATTTATATGGGATATATTTTATATATATCTATATATATAATTTTGTGTTATGGGAATTTTCCTTATTAGGTTCTTTTTGGGTGATTTTAACAAAGGGTAAGAGGGTATCTAGTACAGTCTATTTCTACATTTACTGCTTATTTGACCTGTAACTTTTACAAACAGAGTCCAGACTGAGAGAGCAACAGGAGAAAATTCACACACAGGTTAAAAACAAGGACTGAGGATCATCTGACTGTTTCATTATCAGATAATTAAAGTTCCTCTTTTAGTTCTGAACACTGAAAATGTGTTTCAGACAATGTTCTCTAATTTTTTCAGCTCTCTTTTACCATCTCTTTAAGTCCCAGCAGCAAAACTGAGACTCATGATGTTGGAGTTATATTAATTTATATTTAAATATTCAATAATTAACAAGATAAAATAACAAAAGGAGATGTAGTTGCTGTTTATTTCACAGACTTTATCTGCTTGATGTTTTTGTCCTTTTAGTGCCGCTTTAGTTCAGTCTGGGAGTTTCTTTGTCTTCACTTTGTGGATGTTTTAGTCTCTAAATTAAATTTCCTTTTGGACAATAACAATGATCAATTTACTCTTGATTTTGGTTTTAAACTATATTTTTATATGAATATGTTCCTCAAGATCATAAAAACCAGACAGAGTTCATGTTTCTGTAAATGCAAAATTAAAAAAGCACAAATTGTTCATAGTTTCACCATCCTATTATAGATTTGCCTTTTCTATACTGTCCATTTCTAACCCTCTCTCCGTCTTGTCTAAATATTTCCTCCTGCATGTTTGAGTTTGTCTTCTTCTCTTTGAATACGTCTAAACTGTCAACAAGTGTTTTGGCCGCTCTCTGCAGGATCTGAAGTGTTTGCAGCAGAAATCTGGTCTCAGCAGTTTGCAGCTCATTATGAGGTAAAAGTGAAGCTCTCAGTAATCAGGCCGTGACACAGGAGGCTGCAGCATCAAATCCTCCAGGAAACGCCACTTTCAAGTGCAAAGAAAGACAGAAAATAGATTGCACTTTCCTGGAGCTCGTCCCGCTGCAGCCGCCTGCAGCCGCCTGAGCAGCAGGAACACTGACATCTAGTGCTGTGAGACAGGACGGGGGGGACGGGAGAGGACTAGAACTACAAGTCTGATCTACAAAGAGAGAGACCACCACAGCATGTGAGAGGGTTCACACTGCAGACAGAAACACTCACTTTACCTCACTGATGAATACACACCTGAGCAGCAGCAGCAGCAGCCTGAGAGAGGACATGCAGGAGTCTCCGCACCAAACCTGCAGGTCTCGTTAGCTCTGCCGTCTGAAAAACAACATCAGGTCCTGGTTTCACTCAGACTTCAGACTTCAGACTTCAGGCTTCAGGTGTGTAGAAGGACTGAGGCTTGAATAATAAACGTTAATTTACTCTGATTGAAAAATATTAAAGGTTGTCTGTTTGGACCAAAGCTGCATCAGCTCATCCTGCAGGAAAAAAACAAAACAAAGTATGGATTTTATAAAAGACTGAAAATGTCTGATTTTATTTTCATATAAACACAGAATAAGATCATAATTCTTGAAAGGCTAGATGTGTTTTTATTCTGTAAACTGTAATTTGAAATTTCTTTAACATTTTAGCTGTTTGGATCCAACGGCTCATGTGCAAAAATAACTTAATTTACACATTTCAGAATCAGAATCAGAATCAGAGTCAGAATGTCCTTTATTGTAATCAAACTAAAAGTACAACGAGGTTGGAGAGCTTCTCCAGTGCAATAGAAAAGTAAAAATTAGGTAGTAGAAGTACAAATAGTTGTAAGAAAGAAGGTAAAATATATACAAGACAAGAATTATACCGAACAGCAAAATAAAACGTATGTATAAGAATAAAATAGCTTTTATATATTATTTTAAATCATCAATTTAAAGGAAAGTAAAATATGAGACAAAGACAACCACTCATTTTTAATAAAGTGCAAATGTTTTTAATAACATATATATTAAAAGACTTTATATTTTCTTTTAATTACAGAGTTTTTTATAAGAGAACATGTGGTGGAACCATTTTTGGTCATTCTTTATTTTAACATTTAAGGTGCTCACTAAAAACTTCAGGTGTCGCGCAGAAGAAGCCTTTTGTTTTTGACCGCTGGCTGGCAGCTTGAGTTGGTGTTGAATTTATTGGTTACAGGTCTGTGATAGAGTAGAAGCTAGATTCACAGAAAGAGATGTAACAGTGGGATTATATTTTAATTTATGAGAACAGTCGGCTTTTATTTTATGAAACATTTTTAACAGTTTTATAAATTTTCTCTTAAAACGTCTAAGACGATGTTAAGAACGACAACTGAGAGAAAATGATGATTTTTATATTTAATTTTAAAACTGTTTAAATCTGTCAGGTATAAGAAAATATGACATAATAACAGAGAGGCTGCTAATATGAACATGTTATTAAACATGTTTGATCTTATTTATCATTAACCTACAGATGATTTTAAATTCACAGTCATCCAAACATGTTTCAGTGTGAGGAGGATCAAACTGAGCATGTGCAGAAGAGTCAGAACTGCAGTTTGTTGTTTTGTGGAGATAAACAGCGATAAACCTGACCCTGGTCTCCCCTACTGTCACATGACTTTATATCCATTTGTGTAACAGTTGATGCTTTTGTCATTTTTATTCTCCCAGTATGAAACTAATTCATCCATTCATGTGTTCATTTTACAAACTCTTTGACAGACGTCTGTTCTCTGACAGCTCTATAATGAGGTTCAACATCATCCTGAATAAGAGGAGACTCTGCAGCCCATTAAGAACTACCGTAATGTCTGTAAGAAGGAGGCAAAAACAGTCAGATCCTTGAAAGAACAGAACATGCAGCAGGATAAATAAATATTCAGTCTTCTTTTAAATAAAGTACAAAACTCATTTTTTCAGGATCAGATATTTCAGTTAAAAATCATCAGGCTAATGTTGAGCAGACTGAGTCCCTGAATCACTGACACAAAGATCCTGTCTGTCTGAGCTGACGTGTGTTTCCTCCTCTTATATCCTGATTAAAATGAACCTGACGCTGTTTTCCGTCTGTCCTCTCTGCTCCTGAAAATACGGCGTCATAACGCCGCCGTCAGGCCGTCCTCCAGAGGACCTCCACGCTCTGCAGGTTTGTGTGTTTTTAAAGACAGTAAGGTAAAACTCTGCAGATCTGCGAGTGTAAATAAAATCCATCTTTAATGTGAGGAGCAGGATTAAAATGCATGAAATGAGGCGTCCTTCTCTTTATTGTTTTCTATTTATTGTGCTTGCAGAACATTTGCTATTAGAATAATTGGCCCCAAAACAGACAAATGCTGCAAATTAGGCCTCTTCTGCCCGGAGGCGGTGGAGGCATGAGGAGAGCAGGAGACCACAGACAAAGGCTCTCTTTTTTTTTTTAACCTGAGGATAGGAAGAAAAAAAAATAAAAGCGTCAATAATCTACACAAGTGGAGGAAGTCTCCCAAGGTTCTGCAGCCGCCGGTGTTTTATTCATGGCAGCCATCGCCAGAGGACTCATAATTGACCTCTGCACTGGCAGAAAAAAGTTGAGCAGATGAAAGAATGTGATGTTTTGTAATTCAACTTTTCAGTCCCCTTCTCCCCGATCCAATAGTATTGAACCGAGCGCATGAATAATTCAGCAGGTAGCAGGCGAGGACACCTTAGCTGGAAGACGTTTCCTGAAACAAAGTTAGAGACGGCGGAAATATCAGATAAAGAAACACAAATAAGAGTCCGATGGAAATAAAGAGCAGCAGCCTGTTGGACGACAGAGAGCCGGGCGCTGAAATCTCTCTGAAAGGTTTTTATTTTCCTGCAGGATGCTGTGAAAACTCTCTCAAAGTGTTTATTGATGTGGAATCCCATTATCCTCCATGGCTGAAGGGGGTCAGAGGCGTCTTTATGTTTTAATGCTTCAGCGCCCGCCTCTTCACTTAACTCCTCTAATTAAACATGTTTTTGTCAAACGCTAATCACAGCGTCAAGTGTTGACACTCCAGTCCGCTTCACAAGGACATAATTGTATCAGTTAGACTGCGGCAGCAAAAACTGTGAGTGTTTGAGGCTCTCCTGCTTTTGTTGGACTGAAGTCTGTTTTTAAACTCTGTGAATCGGGGTAATTATTTTAATTAGACTTCTCTCTTATTCGATTATTTATGAAGTCTGAATGGAGAGAGTGTGAAAAGTTCAAACTCGGGGTGACTCCACTCCAGTGTGCAGGTGTTAGCGCTGGAGAAGACCACTGAGGCTGACCGCCATCAGACGCAGCTCTCTGATTTATTTATGGTGAATATTCACGAACCTCCTCACAGACCAGGATCGGTCCAGGTCCGACTCGGATCCCTGAACACCTGACCCACATTCATCTCACCCAAGAAGACTATCGCCCGACCAAACCTGTTTTTAGGTGATCTTCATGATGTTGTGTTTGTCTGAGTATCACGGGTCTCTGGGTATCTTCAGCTTTGACTTTGACATCTTTGATCCAAAACCTGCTTTTTCCTACAGACTCGTGTTCACAGGCTGATGTTAGTGATGGAGGGTAAAGTAGGTTTGGGTGGATTTGATAGCTGCATGTAGGGAATAAGGTCAGTAAAAGTGGTCCTGGAGTTTAAAAACACATTAAAGATTTTTTTCAGTGTGTAAATGAACGGGCAACTCTGTGGTGTCGTAATTTACCAGGATGGACTTTTCCAAACTGGAAACCAGTTAAACCAGGACGACCAAAC